TTTTTAATCTTTTAAGTAAACAAACTTTATTATAATAATCATTTCATTATTAAGGATTAAAGGTTATTGTGAAATTATTAATTCGAATTAGTGGATGAGTAGGAAAAGAATTTCACTACTCGAAATACATTTAATGAAAGTTATGAAACTATAGAATATGTAATAATGTGTAATTTTTCTATCTTAGTTCTATTACGACCTTTTAAAAAACGCTAATAAACACAATTTAGTCAACAGATACAAACGATTATGTCGGCGCTATAACAAAAAAAAAAGCTTTATATTTTATTTGATGCAGAAGAATCAAATGAAGACCCGCTTAATTGAAATGTCGCACCCATATCTAACTTGTTGAATATTATGCGATACCGAAAACAAAACAAAAACATAAGCACACAGCTGTTTGGCGATTTGCGAGAACGCTCCTTTAACGCTAATAGAAATTTTCGCCAACCCTTTGCAATCTACGGTATGTTTTGTCAATTCGCCTGCGGTAGAAGTGTTTAACGAGGACCTATAACGCGCACCCTCGGTCCCGACGTTGGCTGATAAAAGTGGTCACTCACCCGCTTTCAGACCGGAGCCAGTGATGCTTGACTTCGGTGTTCTACTGGGTACAGTGTCTTTACGATCAGTTCACTGCGGGACTGTAATTACCAAGTAAACAAGAAGAGAGTATTGATCTAAGTATTGAAAATACAAGACTTCTTGCATACAGCAACTCTGCTCTGTGAATAATCAGAGTTTCTATAACAATGTCTTTGTCTACCCAATTAATAATAATAAAATCAACTATTTAGATTTAAATGGATTATTCAAATTTGCTTATTTTCATTCGTACTTCTTAAATAGTAGAAATTTATACGTTAAAGGCATTTTACGCTTGTACACTGGTCAAAGCGATCAGAATATGGTAAAATTTACCCTATTTTATGGGCTATAGGAACATCGAAAAGCTTGGTAATTTTTACCAAAAACCTTTGGTGATGATTTTCGTAAAATTAACAATAAAATAGGATTTTCTAATATGTGATAATATTTAGAAAATGTGGTAAAATTTGGCTAACGTTTTTGGTAAAATTTGGTTGATTTGGTATAATGATACCTTAGAGGTTATGATAAGAACCATTTATTCGATATAATTTACTTTTCAATTTTGTATTTGTTACTAAATGTTTGGTAATAAGAACTGTAAATTTGAAAACAAGTATTTCCATTAAATCATTACCATATGAATGGAAAAAAATTACTAAATGAATGGTTTAAATACCATATATTTTGACTTGATTATTACGTTGTTGTTCTTTTTTCACGAGTAATGTCATTACCTCACAATACGTTATTTTTTTACAGAATTTTTTTCTCCGTATAAAATTATTACAAATTTAATATTTTCCATTTTAATTTAAAAATTTATTATAAAGATTTTCACTTAATTAAAAGAATGATTAATTAAAAGATTATTTTATAAACATATATTTAGCTGGAACCATTATCAGCACGAAGAGAAGGTAGACTTTTAACGATTTCTACAAGAAAAGGTGACAGTTCAACAAAGCTTCTTTTCAATGACAAAAATCCACCACCATTTGAAGAACTATTGCGGGACTTCGGGAGAGCATTGGGATTGCACAAAGTAAAAAAAATGGCCACTGCTTCCGGTCGACAGGTAAATTAACACATTTTTAACATTTCAAGGATTATTGCTCAAACTATATGTCACGTAAATCATCCTATACATCATTAATTTCTTTCGAATTCGGTTTGGTAGACACCAAAATATTTTTTATTGGTTTTCTATTGTTGGACTAACATAATCTGGACGGTAACCATCAATAATTCCACCACGAATCATTATATTTTTGATGGTAACCAACATAATTAACCATCGCCCCTATGCAGGAATTTGGACTGATTTATGATGGTCCAATGGTTTATGATGGTTTTACTGTTCTTCTGCACCTATCTGAAATTAAAATTTAAACACTAAAGCTTTTCGCAAAGTGAGTCGAATCTTTTGACATATTCTGATTTCGAAGCGATTTAAGCGTGATTGTCATCAAACATGGAGCTCAAGTTAAGATTTAAGTGCTCTAGTTAGTCAAAGGGAGATCGAAATTTTAATCACTCAAGATTCCAACCCCACGAACTAAAGTTAATAAATGAAAAGGCAGTAAACTTTTTTAAAAAAGTATACTAAAAATATTGAAGATATTAAATATTTTATGAAATATATGATGCAGGAACTCTTTCATAGTCCAATCATAGGAAGTCATAGAATGATCTAAGAAATGTATTATATTACGCTAAGAGAAAAAATGTGGGCAAAACTACCAGAATATGATAAAATTTGAGTAGGGCTCTATAAAACACCGAAAAGCTTGGTAATTTTTACTGATGGTGCTTTATGGTGTGGTAAAATTAACAATAAAATATAATTTTATAGTATGTGATAACTGATAAAATATGGTAATTCTTATCATGATACCTTAGTGTCTGGCATAAAAAGAATTTTTCGGCTAAATTTGCGCTTGTCTTGTATTTTTTACTAAATGTGTAGTAATAGGGACAATAATTTTAGAAATCAGAATTTCTAGTAAACCGTTATCATAACGAACGTAAAAATACCAAATGAATGGCTTAAATACCGTATATTTTGGTTTGATTACCATAAAGATGGTGGTTTTTTTTTCTAACCAGAAATGTCATTACCATACAGTACGATAATTTCACCAGGAATTTTCCCTGTTAAAGCACAAAATACGATTTTAATAATAATAACGATCATAAAGTTTAATTTAAAGAATGTTTAATTTATTTAGTATAAATTCTTTATTTTATTCATAAAAACGGTATCCCAAGAATTCAATTCTATCATCAACCGTTACCTAGTGGAATTCTAAAACATGTTTTACGTAACTACTTAATTATGTCACATATTTTTATCCACGATCAGTTTGAAATATGTATTATTAAGCCATAACAACTAAATTTGAACCTGTTTTTATAGGTACGAAGTTTATCTCAAATGAAGAATGAATTTTATGATGTTGATACTTTTTACCTTGAAGAAGATTTTCATCTTCAAGGTAGGATTTTTAACGTATTATTAAAACCAATGTGATGAATTAATGCTTGACCAATGCTAAAACCAATGTTTAAAGCAGCCATCTTTTTTCAATTATGGGCATATCATTAGAAGCTCAGAAAATTGGATTATTGATTAATAGTAAAATCAGATTAAATTAATTAGGATAGTGCCACTATTCTATAAAGTTTCAAATAATTGTAGAGCGAAGTTTGTTCTTCTAACAAAGTTTAATTTAAAAGTTCTTTACAAAAAAAACCTAAAATTGATTTATTTCCAAAGAAAACAGTTCCAAGAAACCTAGAAGAACTAAAAATGGATAATTCAAAAAAAAAAAATTTTTTTTTTAGTTTGACAATTTATTTTATAGTTTTGCATTACAGAACCGAGAATGACATTTTGAAAATGACAGTTTACATTATATATCTCTATAAAATGGGTTTTGGATATAACAGAAAATAAAAAAACAATTTTTAAAATTTTACCCTATTTTATCTATAAACTCGAATTACTGTTAAAAAAAACATTAAGGGATATTGAGATCTGATCAATACAATAGAATAATAAATAAGCAGATAATATATATATACATATATATTATCTTTATTATATACATATTATCATTCAAATTTTCCTTACTGGTGTTTTTTGTGTTTCTATTTTTAAAGCCAATATAATAAGGTTACCTATCTTTTCCTATTTTAGAAAAAAAGTTGCAGTCTGCTAATTATGTGAAACCTAAAGAAAACAAATCAGAAGTTTCCAGAAAATTAATAAGTTCCTATAGCACACGCAGACAAAAGACACCTCTTCAATTAGATTGGGTGTATCCTTTTTCAATATCTGCTAAATATATTTTAGCGAACTTTACAAAACATTTAATAAGTTTTTTTTTATTTAACAATATACAGAGCATTATTTTCTGAATGAGTTAAGATACAGGTTGTAAGTCAGTTATTACTAGCAAGGCTGAAACTTACAAGGAAAAAGAAAAAAATTGGCAAAAAAAAAGAACTATTTCATTTCTTCAATTTTTTTGCGAGAAGTAAATTATACTCTATTACCACCTATTTTCCTTTATTAAAAAAGCTACATTTACTAGTGGAATTTCTTATATATAACTATGTTATTACGAATGCTAATTAATAAATATATTTGTACAAATACATTTAGATCTATATGCTTTCAATTTCATTTTTTTATTGTTTCGTGTTAAACTTTTAATTACGCTTCACTGCAGAATTGAGATTGACAGCTACATTTTATCTTTATAAACACTAACGTCAAATAAGTGTCAAATTTATTCAATTCAATCTGTATCATAAATATGTGTAAAACTCAAATAAATTGTTTATTTGGATTCTAGCAAGCGAAGTCATCGATAATAAATCGTGGCATTTGTCAATTCAGAAGCCAATCAGGTTCGACGTACAAGCGGGACATCGCTTATGGTATCAAATTGAATCTGGATTTAAATCGCATGGTTGTGCCTTATCACCAATTTTTCTCTTCCAGTTGCAAGTACCGAACTCATAGTAATATGCAGCTTCGAACGTAATATGTAAAATTATTATAAATTTATTGAACTATATTAAGATAATAAAAGTATTTAAATGGCGACATTAATTTAAAATTAGCGCAGACAAAATTTATTCTCATACAAAATATTTTTCTTACTTTTATGAACTTCTACTAGAGTCAATTGAGCTTAAAATTTTAGGCATTAAGATAACAACTACAATTGAAATTGTTTTACCATTAATGAATTTAGAGAGGGTTTATCATATTATGGAAAATATCATTTAAATATACTCATTTCCTTAAAATTGTACTATTTTTGATATTATTCCTTAGCTTTTAAGTCATGGATATGACGGTAGTAAAATGTTGGCCCTAGATGATGGGGAACTTTTATATGCTGTTGGTAATATTATTGTTTTGTATAAAAGAGTTAATGCAAGACAGCGACATTATTTAGATCACACGGAAAATATATGTAGGTAAGTCAATGTCTGTTTTAAAATAATTTATTTGTTATTCTTTCTTAAAGTATTGAAGTTTACTTTAAATTATTAACTTATCAACTAACTAAACTAAAAAAAAACTAAAATTCAAATAAGAGGAATGTATTTAGATATTTCATTTGGAAAAAATTTATGTCATACTATACCGTTCTTTTATAACAAGTTAAGTTATACTTCAGTCGTCATTTATAATTTGATGCAAACATTAAATATAGTTCAAATATATATATTATTTTGAAAGGACTTTTAAGACCAAGTGTAATGAACTTCTGAAAACCATTGATTAATTTATATGATTAAAATTGTTTGTCATTTATTTTTAAAATATCTTAATCACAAAATATATAATAGATTTCAAAATATAAAAAAATTAAAATATTACCGCATCGAAATTTTTGACATTGGTTTGTAAGGCGAGATATAATTCGTGTTTAAACTTGCACAAATTTATAAATATTTAACTATACAAATTTTTTATAATGATTTTTTAATAATAATGATTTTTTAATTTATTAATATACAATTGAATCGTAATTTAAAACAACTATCTAGCTGTTATTTTTACTTCATTATGTTTTGTGTTATATACACAAGACAAAAATTGCATTGTTAATATAATATCAAAACAGTACTATTTCGCGTTATTTCAATAAAATACCGTTCGCTTTATAGTAAGCTCTAACTTAATCTTTACTTCCTCGAAAGATTAATTAAAATTTGATGAACTTGCTAGGATTGATTGCGAAGAAAAACACCAACTTTACACGAGCTATTTTGCTTACATTTTAGCTTTGAAATGTCCAAAAAATAAAATATAAACTTGTTTGTAGTCCAGAACAAGATAAATGTAATACATATATGTAATATTATATTCATCGTATGAAAATTTCATGATCAAATCCTTAATCTGTTTGAGTTAATAAAGTCCTCTATAAAACACATGTAAGGAGAAAAATAATTAAATTCCTGAGAAAAATACGTTTACAAATTTGCTAAAACAGAACATATTGATAAGTGATTTTTATCAATTTAGCAGAGATTTGTTTCTCTTAAACAAAAGATTTAAACAGTGAAAGCTTTACAATTTTAAAATTTTATTCATTTTAAAAATGTATAAACTGAAAAAGATAATAAACTGATATTTTGGAAAATATTCATAAGTTAAAATGCTTAATTTACATGTAATAGAAATACATTTAATTTCAGCATGTGTCTCCATCCTTCAAGAAGAATGGTTGCTTCTGGACAAATATCGTCTGAGGAACAAGTAAATACTTAACCTAACTAATAATAAATACGTAACCTAAATAATAAATACGTAATAATAAATACGTAACCTTACGTAGTAAATACGTAACCTAAACTAACATTCATTAATATAATTTTTGATTGATGTACGATTAAAAAAAAGATATTATCTAAAAGATTTTTCTAGATATTATCTAAAAAAGTTTTTAGGAATTCATTATCAAAGATTTATATTGTCATAGATATTAATTTAGGAATTTATTATCAAAAATTATGAATTAAATTAAATAGGAAATTTTTCTTTTTCTTAAAATTATATATTGAATGATTGTTAACCAAAAATTTCAATTGCATAGAATAATTTTACCTTTTTACAAAAATAAAATTTACTTTGTAAGCAATATCATGCAAGGCACACATTTTAAAGAAATTTTAATTTTATATACATTAACATCTGGTATAAAAATTATTTTTTCCAAAACAAACATGAATACTTTCATAATTAGTTTGCAAATTGAAAAAAATAATAGTTACTGAATTCAAATATTTCTTACATTGCTCGATGATTAAATAAAAAAAAATTGAATTCTAACACATTGTTCTTTTTGAAAATGTCATATATGACGTAGAATTTTTAAATTTGCGAAAAAAAATTTCAAAGTTTTCAAAATTTTCCACTAAAATTGATTAAATACTTAAATATACGTTTAAAATTAGATTTATAATATTACGTTTCATGTAATACATTATAATTAATCTGTATGAAATATACACATTATTATAACGTACTGAAATATTATATATTTTCGCATGCTTTAAATTTAAATAGGAAGCAGCAATCCATATTTGGCTTGTGGAGACTCTTCACACTGTGTCAGTTTTAAACAGACTCAACGGAAATCCTGTTTCTATAGACTTTTCAAGCCATGTAAGTTCATAGTTTTTTCAACCAAGTCATTTTGAAATCTTCATTTACTTATCATGGCGTTATCTATTCATTGTATTGAATTGCTATTCCGCTAATTTCAGGATTTTGTCTTGCTAAGCATTGAAGTGGGTGGCGATGAAGATTGTCTTTCCCTCTGGGATTGGGAAGGAGATGCTTTACTAGCACGAGTTCAGGTGATTTAATACAATTAAAATAATTTTTGTTGGGAAAACTTGATTAGAACTGTACAAAGATATATGATCAAAATCAACCAGCTACTCTTCTGAACTATTTGCAATAACCTGTGAACTGGGAAATAGAAACAAGTTATTACTAGGATATAACAACTAATCATTTCGTAAAGGATAGAGTGCGAAGGGGAATTTCGAAGATCAAATAAGAATAAAGTCCGAGTAGAAGCACGTTTTTTTTTCCTTTAAAAGAAAAAAAAATAACAAAGCAACCATGATTTCAAAAATTATTGATTTTTACACCAAACTTTGCATTGTATGCAATGCTGACCACTTTAAAACAATCATGCCGTAGACCAGAAACTAAGTTTTGGAGCTTTAATGTCCAAAGGCTTGTTGCAGGATTATCTTGCATTTTTTTTCCAGCTTGATTTTTCTATGTAGCAAGTTTACTAATTTCTTAGACTAACATTCGTGCCAATTTTATACGTTTTTCTTACTTTTATGAGTATATTTTAACACTTTTTAATGATTTCATTGCTTGTATGAGTATTTTTAACATTTTTATTGCTTGTATGAGTATTTTTAACATTTTCATGAGTATTTTTTACGACTTTTAAGAACGATGTTATCTGACATTGCTACAATGTTTAACTGAAAATTCACTTTAATAAGATTGAAAAAGAAAATCAAAGTTAAGATTTGCGCATTGGTGTGGAATGACTATAATCTAATGCCATTCATTACACAATTTATTTACACCACCTCTACACATCTCTTTATAGGAATATAAATGCAGAGCTGTTTTTAAACACAAAACACTAAAAATAATAAATTAAAATAATATTTAAATTGTTATGATTGTGTTTTTTTATGATTTTATTAGATTTGATTTTTTCATTATTATAACTTATATATATTTCATTATATTTCAGAAAAAAAAGTTCAAATTTAATAAATATATCAGTCAATCTATCTTAAAGGTTATATCTTGAGAAAACTTATTATTTTCGTGAATATTCAACACTTTGTCAAAAAGCAAATGATTTTTTTCTCACAAAAATGTCAGATAGTTTCAAAGTATAAGAAACCAATTCTACAGCGATCAGATTCCCAGAGAAGAAATTATAAAAAGTATCAATTTCTTTTTTCTCGTGTTTTTCTTTCGCTCTCTTATTTTTCGAAGTTGGTGAGAAAGTATCTTCAGTTACTCCGTTTACATTTAGTTGTAACATTTAATGCAAATGAAATACTTAGTCAAAAATACTTAATTGTTATTTCATTGCAAGAATAACAATTTTAGCAACAAAAATAACAAAAATACTCAAATTTATATCTATTAGAAACAACTGTTGCTTATTCTAAAGTATATAATATTATTAGTCTTACTTTAATATAAAAAGCTATATTCTGTTAGTTGAATTGCTTGTATTAAAATTAATAGCGTGTAATCTAACAAAAATTGAATCTTTACAGATGGAAGGTGAAAGGCTTTCAGGAGGTTGCTTTCATCCAACAGAGTCAGATTTAGCTATCACATTTGGTAAACACCACATGGCTTTCTGGAGGCGAAAAAAAGATGGTTTTCTCACAAGATCTGATGTTTTGGCACCGGTATGGAGAAAAAAAAATCCGATCTATAATGAACAACACACGTTAAAATAAACAATATTCGATACTATTGATATAAAATAACTTTTTTGAACCCGTTAATGATCAACAGGATATCTTTGGGAAATTAAAGTTATAAAGATGTTCACTGATATTTTTATAATTTTTAACCAAAAAAAAGATAGATATTTAATGAATTTCTGAGTCATCTTTAGTCTAGACATACCGTTTGAGAGCTATTTGAATTGTACTCCCCTACATTTGAGTATACGAAAATTCTCCACAATTTTAACCTGTAGTTAAAACATGGTAACTCGTGGTCCATGAAGTAATTATCATGTAGACAATACTCATTATAAAATAGTTTGCTGAAACGAATGTAGTTATACCAGAAAATATAAGGATCTATCACTAATACATCTTTGGCAGCACCATTTCAATAAATAGTTTTTATTGGCACTAATGTATATTTTTCCCTAATTTTATTTTTCTCCTATTTTTAAGTGTTCTGGTGAAATCTATAAAATATTAGTAATTTAATCGGAGTAAACAGTTTCTTTTGAGAAGTTTTCAAAACAGGCTAGCTTCTTTTTTCACTTATTTTTTTTTTTTTNTTTTTTTTTTTTTTTTTTTTTTTTTTTTTTTTTTTTTTTTTTTTTGACATGAAATGGTTATTGACAAATTCGACCTTTTGAAAAAGTATAATTATTTCACTTATAGGATTATGGATTAAAGGTGCAAGTTCTGTAAATAACATTGCCACTTTATTCACCATTAACATTTATGTATTTATTACCATTTGTGAACTATCTCATTTCTTAAACATTATTTTTAAGGCAAGAAAATTTTTTTGTGTCTTAATGAATCTAATTTAAGCATATTTTAAAGACTTTACAGTATTTAATAATTTTTTTATGCCTGGCTTAAAGTGGATTAAATACTAAACTTAAAACATTTTACTTTTATTTGTACAATTTACATTTTTATTATCAATTCATTTATTTTTGTAAAATATTAAGTAAACAATTAACTGTACGAAAAATGTATACTCTAACAATCATGTTAGAAATTTTTAGAAACATTGAATAATAAGTTTACTTGTAGTGCTTGGGTTCATCTAAAATTTGTATAATTTATTTTGTGATATAGCCTAAGGGAAATAGAATTTATAACTTATGTGATTAAGAAAGCGTGTTGTGTTCTAAAATGGGTTTGCGGTCTAAGTATAGTTTCAATCTTTTTTTCCGAGTTGTTTCGTAGAGACCTGTAATACGTTTTCTTTTTTATTTTGCAAGAAGTTTAAGAAGGAAAAAAAAATTCTTTCATTTCATGCATTTTTATTAATTGAAAATATTGATCTTTTATCAAAGGGACATTCGGGTCGCACAATTCGAAGTTGGGCATTTATTGGAGAATCGAATTTGGCAGTTGGAGATTCAAGTGGTTATCTCACACTTTGGTCAATCCGTCCTGGAGATGATTACAAAATTGTGAAGGAAGTAAGAGCTCATCAGGTAAGATCACTTTCTTAATATGAGACGTGTATTAAAATATAGAAGATGAACTTTCAGTTTTCTCTTCTGAAACTAAATGAAATGATTAGGACATTATTTACTTCGGCAAATTTCATAACAGATAAAAAAAATATGTTATTTTGATTAAAACCTATTAATATCTAAATTGACGCAGTTTCATAATTATAAAAAGTCGCAAAACGGAATGTAATAGTCATAACAAATAGCCCACTATTCCATAACAATAAATATCAAATTTTCCTAGAATTTGTTCGAAAACTGATAGTTTACAAATCAATATGGTTTTGTTGCTTTGCAGGGATATGTTTGACAAGTTTGGTTTAGATCAACTTTATCAACTTATCTGTGAACTGTCTGATAGAATGAACACATTCACACGAAATATTACCAACAACAAAACTGTTTTAATTTTGAGTCTTTTTCTTTCTTCTAAATTTAAACTTAGATAATTATTTCTTTATGTTTATGGTCAATTGCAATAGCATGAATAAAAAATAATGACCTTTTTAGTTTCTTTCTTTTATTCTAGTTATAAATAAGCTATGTTGCATGTCCTATGGAATTTTTACAACATTAATACAAATTTCAAAAAAAAAAGAATTCCCGAGGACAACATTATATGCCGAATGGGGTGCACCCTAAGAGAGTGGAACTTTTTAATTTGACTAATATTTGAACAACCTGGTAGCCTTTCAATAAATAATGTGTTTTTAGAATCAATAATTTAAATTCTTTTCATCTAAACAGGGTATTATACAAACTGAAATTCAAGTCAAAGTCATAAAATTTTACTATAAAAAAGGGAAGGCTGGAGGTTTTAAATACCGGAAGTAAAAAAAAGCGTTTTGTATCACAAGTGCAAGGTCTCGCTCATGATTTCTTTCTTTGAGATTAATTAGAAGACAACTGATGAAAACACAAGCATCCTTGTTGAGAACCCAATCGTCGTGCATTGAGTAATAAAGATTTTTTTAATATTTTATATAACCTTCGTTAAGCAACCAACCCAATTTTGAGTTTACGACTACTAATGTTTAACTCTGCATCATTTTGAACCCAATTTAGATGACAGGGGAACTCCTGTATCAAGTATTGGGAGAAATTTGTCTTTGTGGAAGACTTTTTGATGGAACTAACCCGCGTTTGCGTTACAAGGAGCGGAAAACCATGAAAACCTTCCATGGTTAGCCTGACGGCAAAGTGACTCTAACTCATGATCCGTATACCACTGAGGATATTTTACGTTTGAACTGTGTTCGGTGCGAGCCGTATGCGGAATTCGTATCGACCAGCCACTGCTGGAATTCGAAACAGGTTCACCTCATTGGAAGGTGAACGCTCTATTCCCTGAGCCACCACAGCTCAGTAAGAATGATTAGCATCAGGTTTTTTTTCCGAGAGACTGTTCTATACTTTTTTAAACTTGATAAAAATATGTTTTGATTTGGGATACAAAATTTACACTACTTCTTTTTCCCTGTTGAGTAATGTGATTCTAAGAAGATTGGAAAGCTTAGACAATAAGATATTTATTAAAATAAAAAGGAATGCCTAATTACAATTTGTTCCCTTACGCCATCCTATGCTAATCATCTCCTTTGAACCTTGTCGGAAGATGTCGAGAATCCAAGCATCGAAGATCACATAAGCAAGGATGATTAACATCGGATGACGTTTTTTGCGAGAGACTGCTCTATACTTTTTATAACTAGGTAAAAAAATAAATTTTGATTTGGGACACAAAATTTATGTCATTCCCTTCTTATTTTATTAAAATTCGAGTTGTCCAAGCTCTCTCACCTTTTTTTCGAATCACATCTAGTGAGATAACCATTACCGACCTGAAAAACCATTTATATATTATACAAAAAAATGCTATTCAGTGTTTTTTCTTTTTCTTCTTTTTTTGGCTGGTATACAACAAATTATCTATCTTAAATGATGCAAGAAAGTTTCGAAAAGATAAAAAAATACTTTAATAGCAATTTAAAATTTTTAAACATTAATTTCAGGGTGAGGTGAAATCCCTTTTAGCCATGCGTGAAGGAACCTTGATATCTGGAGGAGATGACCAATTGAAGGCTTGGGACACGCACGAAAGATTACTACACCTGGCCACCACAGATGTAAGTTTTCCATATTATCAAAGTATGTAAAATAGGTGAAAGAAGCTCAACATATATCGAATCTTATGAATATGATACGTAACTCAAAAATTTTTAATTTAAAAATACTATTAGAAAAATACATTTTTAGTCCCCCTGAAAACTGTTTAGTGTTCAGATTGAGGGTTTAGAATATCGAACATATCCCTTGAAGAATGTGATTATAGATAAGATTCATTAATAAAGTTCTTTTCGCGCGAGCTATTGTATTGTAAATATTAACGTATTTTAAATTTTATTCAATGCAGCTGATTTCTGGTAGAATTTTGAATGTGCTTATTAAAGTAATTAAGTGCGTGACTATTTTATTTTTATGATATTGTAGAGCTTTTATATATTAAAATCAAAGTTGCCTATTTATTCATCATAAAAATTTAAATCCGATATAAAAAAATTCGTTATTTTTACATTGTGAGAAAAATTATACGCTGAAATAACTTAATCATTGGTATCAATATAAACAAAAAAATACTTTTAAAAATTCATTTACATTTGCGGAAAATTGTACCAAATGATAATTGCTATGGATTTTTATATTCAAAGTATTTACGGTACTATTACTTTTTTTAATAATAATTTGCCTTACTTTATATTATATTTCCTTAAACATTATATTTCCGAAAATATTTTGAAGTAACGTACAATTTAAATTCAATTATAAATTATAAAAACATTAAAATAATTTTCAAAGATAATAACTAGGAAAATTTTGATTCGGATAAATTTCAAAATAATAGTGCTTAAAAAGAGTTTATAATGAGTTCATAAATGATAGTCAAATAAGGCTATTTTATCACCTTTCTGTAAATAAAATAAAATCACGTTTCTATCAAAAATATAATATTTCATGAACTTATGTATAAAATTTTATCAATAACCTGAAAATAAAAAATATTATAAATTTTTATTTATCTAAATTTTATCTTAGTTACAAGAAAAGCATGTGAGAACACTTTGCATGCAGGGGCCGAGTGATGCTACTCTTTACGTTGGTACAACAAAATACATTCTCGAAGGATCGATGCAAAGTTCTTTCAGGATATTTGTGCAGGTAACTACACCCACTCATTAAATAATAATTTTACTATGTTATTTAAAACTAATTATATGAGAACGAAAAATGGAAACACATAGGTTAAGAACTCATTCCTATGAAAACTCAAATTGGTTTTTTTCGCAAATTGTTTTCTTCGAAAATATTATAAGAATGATAATACACTGCTCGACAATTGCTAAGGAACAACTGATTTATGCAAAGTAGCGTTCTTGACAACCAATCAATAACAGTGAAATCAAGTACAGAGGGCGTGGTAGAGCAGTACCCGTTATCTGTATAAAAGGCATTGCACATAATCTCTTCATTCATTCGAAAATTCATAATGTTAGGTATTTGATCAAAATCGCACCATAGGTTGTTGAACTTATTTTTGCGAAATTCAGTGTGGTGTTACAAAAATTAGGAGTAAATTGTCACGAAGATATCGTTTGAGTTCTTACTATCGTGAACAAGCAGTTAGACGACTGGAAGCAGGTCAAAATGTCACCACCGAGGCAGCATTATCATCAATGTAAAAAAGCGTCATCTCGCGATTATAAAAGACCGCTAAAAGTGGAGATACTTTACGATAACATACCGGTGGACGTTGTAGGGACACCGCATCTTAAGAGTAACTGTATGTATCCCCAGTATTGAAAAGGAACAGAAATGTCACTCCTGGGTAGATAGCTGCAAACTTTGCAACCACTACCAGCACTCGGGTTTTTAGGTGCTTTGCTGCCCAGGCCTCCCCTGGCAGCATTTTATCTTGTCTGGAACTTACCAGGCAAGACCTGGTTCAAGCTCCCCTGCTGGTGTTAGACTTTCTTAGAGTGAACGAGCTCATGGACCTGATCTAGCTCTGCTGGTCGTGGGGATGAGAACAACAACACTCGTGTTTTTCCCAGAACCATCTCACGGCGATAAAATCAAGTTGGTTTGCATCCAGGGAAACCTGCATAATTTATCCCTCTCTAACCACACCATCGTCGAGAAAGAGTACGTTGATGTAAGAAAGTATTGGGTGAGGTAACCAGTAAAGGTCCAGAGTGATGTTCTCCGACGAATCCCGATTCACTATGAAGCGTGATTCTAGCTACCAGTTAGTGTGGAGAGAGAGGGAACACGTTGTGCACAACAATAGGTTCATGAACGTGATCGGTATGGACCAGACGTGACGGTATGGGTAGGCATCAAACTCAATGGCTGAACACAGCGTCACATCTTTGAGTGAAGCAATGTTACATCGCAGTGGTATTGCAGAAAGATTATTCTGGATAAAGTTTGCATTTTTAGGGATGTAATAGGTTCAAACTTTCTGTTTATCGACGACAATATGCTGATGCACAAGACCGTTTACATTCTACATACTAGAAAGATAAAATATTGTTCGCATGCCATGGTCTGCACACTTCCCTGACTTAAATCTTATATAATACTCAGCAGACGTTTTTTACGAAGAACACGCCTCCCCCGAACCGTGCAAGAGCTGAAATCTGCCTTGAAAGAGGAGTGATACAATGTCGCCCAAGAACTCCTCGATAGTTAGGTAGACATCATGAATAATAGATGCAAAATGCGCATCACATATTACTGAGGAAATCATATGTTATGTTCTGGCAAGAAGATCCATTCTTCATGGCTGCTTGGAAATCAGCCAAGAAGCCTCTTTTTTATTTCTCATTTCTTTACTTTATAAGTGGAAATATCTGTACAAGTTTTATTAACAATAAATGCACATTGTCTCTACTAAATATGTACTTAATTTCATTTCATCAATTAACGTCTATAATTAAATATTCCAAAAAATGCAACTGTCCCTTAGCAATTGTCAAGCAGTGTATATACATGACAGTAAAAATGTAGTGACATCCACATGTACATGCAAAATCCTTTGGATAATGTTACACGTCGAAGAGTAAACTCGGTTGGTGGACTACGATCATTGAAATGAATTTTCTTTAAAATTAGCTGTCAAAACTTATACTTCAACTGCTGAAAAATTTAAAAATTTTCATAATCACATTATGTTATATCACATTATATTTCATAATCATTATATTTCATAATCATTATATTTCATGATCATTATATTTCATAATCCCTTAATACGTATTTTTGAAAAGCTTCTAAAAAAATTAATATTAAAGCGAGGAAAAAACAAAGAAAAGCTATCTAAATGCACCGAGTCACTATTGAAGAAAGCGGTATAGATAAACTCAACGCCTCTTTAATTGTTGTAACAACGAAGGTAATGATTAGTAAAATCTCTAATTTTGGACAGGCAATCAAAGTTGTTTTGATATTATTAGACCCACCTTTCTTATTAGAGATTCAGCATATTAAAAACATTTTTACTTCTTTTTCGTTTAAACAAAGCATACACATTTGAGACCCTAGTAGACTTTTTTAACATTAATTTTGATAAAGATTCCAAAAATATATTATTAGGTGTTCAAATTTTATTATTTCGAATATAAAGATTACAGCCAATCAATAATAACAATAATCTAAAATAATCTTACATAATAATAAAAGCGGCTGTGTGTGTGTGTGTGTCTGTAATCACAATATATTGCCCCAGAAGCCTCGCCCAGGCTCGAAACTCGACACATAATTGTGTTTTGACATAATGAAGAAGTATTTTTTTTCTTTTTCAAAAATTTGGATTAGTTATTTAGTTATCAGTCATTTTGTAAGTCTATGCTTTTCGTCTGCTTTTTCGTCTTCAAAGAGCCATATTCAAAAAACTATTAAAAAATGCATATACTTTTCCCCACTCTTATAAATGTATGCTAATGCGAACCTTACAATTGAAATATTAATTTTCGACAACTTAAACCAATAATATACGAAGGAATTAATAATTTAATTGTAAAGTTCGCATTAGTTTACATTTATTAAAGTGGAGAAAAGTTTAACTTTTGTATTAAAAATGTGGCAACATATTCGATACGTAAATAGAACGCTTCGCTTTGATATATTTGTCGCTGTTCATAATTGTTATAATAAGTTTTTCTTCTTCTTTCCACGCTCTATTTTTTTTTCTTAAGCGAAGACGATAATTTTTGTAGCGATATAGAAATAGAAATTGATACCATAAAAAATTATATAGAAATAGAAATTGATACCATAAAAAATTAATTCGTTTTCGTGTTCTTTTCATGTATTTAGCATTTTAGTTTTTTTTTCTTAAGCGTTGTAGCTATATAATATATAAAATAGGAATTTAATTGTTTTTGAAGGAACGATCACACTTACCTTGGATCTCTTTGGTTTTTCTATTCTTTATTTTAACAGTTTTTATTAAATGTAATTAGTTATTTTCAGAAAGTTTCAGTTTGCAGGTAAGCACCTAGATTTTAATATTGAAGTTTCATGATTTGCTTTCATAGTAATTGTTGTTCTAAAGTATTAAAAAAAGATATTAAGAGATTCTCAAAGAAGAAGGGCCCAAGAAACGTCTGTGGAACGTCAAAGAAGGATGGAACATGACCGAATTTCGACAAGCAATTCTAGAGCCCAAGAAGTATCAGAAAAATGTCAATGAAGATTGGAAGAGGATCGTGTCTCAACTAGCAGTGCTAGGGCCCGAGAAACACCTGAGGAACGTCAAAGAATATTAGAAGAGGTTCGTGTCTCAATTAGCAGTGCTAGGGTCTGAGAAACACCTGAGAAGCGTCAAAGAAGATTGGAAGAGGATCATGTCTCTACTAGCAGTGCTAAGGCCCAAGAAACATAGCGTGGCGGACAGCTGGCCGCCTGAGGCGGCTAGTATATAATAAAAACTGTGGTCTTTAAATTGCACGCTGTAAAATAGCATTAAGTGGTGATGATTATTTTGCGTGACTAAAATGCATTTAAAGCTGCAAAAACTTTAAGGAATGCAATTAATATGCGGGAAGCTCACGAAAAGGTAATTAAAATAATTTTATTGATGAAGTTTTCAATAACAAACTTTTGAAACTTCATTCTAGTCTAGATCATTTAAAGTATACAAAAGAGGAAGAAAATCAATACTTTTATAGTTAAATTTTAGACTATACATGTACCTCTGAGGATATTTTCATCATCATAAATTCCTTACTCCAAAGTGCACAAATGTGAGAAGATTGTGAAAATGTAAAGTATTAAAAGTTTGAATGCTTAAAAAAAATTCTAGCTATAAACACACCAGAAAAAATTCACGGATCTAAAAAAGTTGAAAACATTAAAGGGTTTTGCCTGTTAACTAACATTTAAATATCAAGATTTTCTGTCTCTATTAACTGTTTGTGTAAGTTAAAAGTTAACTGTCTGTATAAGTTTACTAAAAGTTAAATTTTATTCTTCTAAAAAATTAGTAGCATATTCGGGCGAATATTTTTATTTGTTTATTTATTGTACATATTACAGTAATATCGATTTGAATACTTTTTGTTCTGAATCTTAAATAATTCAAACATTAATAAACTGTTATTCAGAAAACAAAACAAAAGTTAAAATAAAATCAAACTTTATTCTGATTTATTGTATTCTCGGCTATATTTAATACCAAATTTACAAAGCAAAATAATGAATAAAGAATAATTCGTTTTAAACACCAGAGATTAAAAACAAATTTGAAACAAAATATTATGTCAAATTGATTACTTGACTGAAACTGACTTTTTCTCCATCCTCTGATGTCATACAAATATTAATACAGTCATCCCTATTTAATTGAATATTGGATAATCGAATAACCCGCTTATAAGAATAAAATTCAGTGGAACCAAATTATTTGGCATAAAAACCAACGTAAAATTTACTTGATTAAAAACTTCAATCGCTTCAAAAATATACAAATTGGAAATAACTGTCTACATGTCTCAAGTGCTCAAAAACAGGCACCTATTTTCAAGACTTGCAAGACGTGAATGCGAAGAAACAGAAGTGATTGGGAATATAAAAAGGAAAGTTCCAACGAAAAATAAAGGTGAGAAATAAAACTAGAAGTATAGCAGTAGCTGAGAGAGAAAAAGGATGAAAAACATAACAAGAAAAACCACAGTTCCTGGAGGGGCAAATTAGCGTAAAATGCATTTACTCGTATGCAGAGATGGGGAGGAACTAATGCCGTTAACAAGAGAATCAGCAGTCATAGGAATAAAACAAGATTCCAGGGTATCAAGAAGAGTCTGGGGTGAAAATAATTTTGGCATTGTCGAAATTGAATTTATGCCCAAGATTCCAACAATAAACAATCAATTGTTGGAATATCTTACCCTTGGCGAATACCTTGGTATTCTTTGGCCAAGATCTTACCGCTTCTGTTTCTTTGGATTATTTCTTCAAAGTTAAATTTTCTCGTTTAAACGATCATTTATGATTGCCAGTTATCACTTACAAGGGAAACTAGGGAAGTGTGACTCGCCAATTTTGAAATAAACTAGTGGGATGTATGCCTTATGAGGAATAATTTTAGGGGGCAACATTCGTTGCGGCCCATAGAAGGTCCTGTGAGAGATAAAAAATAATGCAATATGTAGTAAAATCAGTGTTTTATTACTTCAATGCAGACTATTAGTTATTGTAATTATCTCATACTCCAATTAATTTTGTGGTACTTTCACGTACTATATAATGCATATTTATTGTCAAAATTGATTTCGAAAGTTTTATATATCTGTAGTTTTTTAGAAAAACCTGTCAGATTAATTTTTAAAAAAAACTGACATCAAATTTTTTAAAAAAAAATTTCTAAAAATTTTCTCAATTAATTGAAGTATGTAATTGCAAATTAATTAATTATTTAATTAATTGATTTTCTGATTAATTTATTTATTAGCAAATTAACTAATTAGCCAATTAATTACAAATTAATTGGAGTATGAAACAATTACAATAACTAATAGTCTGCATTGAAGTAATAAAAGACCGATTTTTCTATATATTGAATTATTTTTTATCTCTCATAGGACCTTCTATGGGCCGAAACGAATGTTTCCCCCTAAAATTATTCCTCATAAGGCATACATCCCACTAGTTTATTTCAAAATTGGCGAGTCACACTTCCCTAGTTTCCCTTGTTAGTTGCATAAAAAAGTTTATCTATTTATTTATTGAGAAATGTATCTAGGCTTATAATAGAATTTTTGCTTTTCAGTTGAGAAGATCAGAATATAATTCGTTATTTCATTTTCTGATACAAACAGGTTTCACTGGGTAGTTTAAAAATTAATCAAATCTTTTTAGTTATATAGTAGACGAGGGTGTTTTTCCCACCCGTTACATATTTCCCTAACTCATTTAGAATGTGGGAAGATTAGAAGTAGAGAAATTTTCTGTTAAATGTGTGTCAAAACAATCATCCATTATCGCTATCTTCGGAAGGAAATAAATAGTATTATAGTGTATATATTGTACTTTTAATTAGCATTAATTTATATTTAAATTAAATCTTTAATATCATTTCTATTATATGAAACTAACACCAACAGCTCTAATTATAATTGTTCATTAAAATAAGTTCATTTTCTCAAAAGAGTAAACTTTGTTTTACACATCATTTCGACGTAAAATTTCGTAAAAAACATTGCATTTAACATAGTATAGCACTGTCGAATAACTAGCTTATTTGAATACAATTGGCTAGATCATTACAAATTATATATGCAATCAGTTACAATTAATGTTTCATTTCCTTTTCCCCTTTTAAACGGATTTGACTGTGTAAAAGAAAAAGCAAAACCTTTGAAGTACCTAGATTTATGATCTATGTTAAAAAACACGATAAATAAAATGCTTATTTAATGTAATCCCTTATATGTTGATAATCCATTTTTTATCAGGGTATAGAAGGAGAAATATTAGATCTTGCGATTGATGATGAAGAAAATACTTTTGTAACTGTTGATCGTTTGAGAAATATAGGCAGATGGACCACTCGTTATTTACTATGGGAAACAAAGCCTCAGGTACTTTTAGATAATATACTGCTTATTAAAATTTATATTGAGTGTTTTATGTCTCAAATAAAACTATAGCATATAATACTTTTATTACCAATATTTTTCATCAACATTTCATTAACTTTAAATTTGATTGTTAAAGACAGTTACACAAACTGTATGTTTATGTAGTATATTTTGAAGTTTTTTATACATTATCTCTTTATTAAAAAATAGTAAGGAGTCGAATCTGTTATGTATTATCAACTTTNGTTCTTCGTTTAATAAATATATTTCAATAACACAATGCTTTTTGCTTTATAAATGTACTTGATTGACAAAAATTTATCTGCTTTTCGCGAAACATATTGACGTTTTAAGAAAAAACAAAGATTACTACGAAACAGTCTCTATTTATCTATAAAAGTAGAAAACTGATTTCTACCTATCGTATCAACTCCAAAGAGAACTCACATAAAACACAGCACATAAATCCCTCAAAATAAACAAATTTAAAACCAAAAATATAAAATAACATAATTTATGTAAGCTTTCAAAAATGTTATTGTGGTGGAGTACTATAGAAACGTTTCGCTTTATTTAAGACTGTCCGAAATGTAAATGAAACATTTTAATAATGATTGCATAAAGTTCACATTTTGAAGATTCAAGAATGAATAAAAATGCTTCTAGGATTTTTTTTAACGTTTCAAAGCGTAAAAAAATATATTTATTTTACGTTGCTAGAATAATCACTTGGGTGTGTAGATACAATGTGCAGTTTTAAGTTTACATGTTCTAAATTGCCTAGATATAGTAGGGGACAGTCATCACAACAAATACTATTTCAGCATTATACTAGGCTAAAATACCACTATTAATTTAAAACACTACATTTTAATAATCAATCCATGGAATTTAAATTTTATTTCAGATGGAGTGTTGCAGTATTGGTTTCCATCCAGAAGGGCGTGCAATCGTAGCTGGAGGAGTGAATGGCAAACTTCTTGTCCTTCACTCGGAAGCTGGACTAGTTGTTGCAACAATATTTGTCGCTGATGATGCTTTGAATGCCCTATCTTTCAATGGAGGTTTGTGTAAAATAATTTGAAGTACATCCCGCACAAATTGAATCACTCTCTGAAAAATCAGTTCTTTAAATATCAGTTAAGTTATCGTTAATATCAGGACTTTTATATAATGAACCATGCTTCGATTAAAAAATAAATATGAACTATGGAATCGAAATAGTACATATAGTCTGTCAACAATATAAATTTAAAAAAAGATTCTATTTTTCTACTACATTGTTTAACATAGTTTAGAATTTTAAGAACCTTTCAACTAAAACATTTTAAAATGACTATTAAATTCTTTAAATTAAAATATTATTGATTAATAATTAATTAAATAGTTAATTAAAATATTTTTTGTATAAAATTACGCTTGAAAAAAAAAATTGGATTTTTTTTTGCCTAAGAAATTTCAGATCTCTACTCAAAATGTAAAAACTAACATTCTGGTTTTCGAAACTTAAAATATCGTCACTAATTAAATAGCATATTTGAAGTCGGTCTAAGGATTGAATAGTATTGAATTGGAAAGGATTGAATAGAATACCGTAAGGATTAAATAGCCGTTTCCACTTGCCCTTTTCACTGAATTATGCGGTAAAATATAAATTTTGACGAAAGAACACGAATTTTAAAGCATTTTAATGCTTTTTCTCTGCTCCTAACCAAACCACTGAAGAAATTAATGGGGAAATTTCAACTACAACATCTTGAAAAAGTTTTTCCATAAAAAGTGAAAATGTTGGTGACTATGAGGTTACATCTAAGTACATGAAATTTCGATTCTAAAAAATTATTCAAAAGCTCCGTTTTTTTCCCTGTGTTCTCTACCGTAACCTCCGAGAAAGAAAGACAAAAAAATTTCTTTCTCATCTAATTTTATTGAAAAACAACAATTATAAAGTGATTCCGATAACGTAACATATATAGAAGAATCATTTATCCATAAACTGTTGTTTTTTTCTCTCTCTCGAATTAAATTATAATTTAGAAAAGATATTTTACAAATTATTTAAAGAAAAGATACAGAATAAAACATTTTGGGTAACTGATGCTTATAAGAGTAGTTTAAAACTTGTATTAAGTCAGAAAATATTTTTAATAGTTTTCATTGTGAATCCTAGGAATAAAAGAAGAGTTTTCTAGAAAATTTCAACAAAGGGTTTAAAGCGAAAGATATTGTATTTCTTTGTATTTCTTATTCTTATATTTCTTTGTTTCATCATATACTTTTTTATTGCTCCTTAAACAATACATAAAAATAATGTAAATAGAAAGTATTACAATAGCTTTTAGTTAAATCGCGTAAAGAAAGAATTCACAATTTAAAAAATATTGTATAGGGAGAAAATATTAACGATTTAAAAAATGCATTATTATCAATATTAATGATTTTTTCTTTAGATAAAAATATAAATATTATTTCTTTTAAATATGTTTGAATAAAATTACATGTTTAAAATTAACTTTTTTTAAAAATAATAATACCAAAAAAAAATTACCATAAGTAATATATCAATAAAAATTAAAAAGTTTATTTATTAATATTAGGATCACAAAATTAACTGACTGCAGCTAATAAAAATGTTGCTTCACAAGTAAAAAAAAATTGAGCAAAAAATGTATGTAAGTTAACGTAAAAAATGACAAGATTTAACAAGAATTGNAGTATTTCAAAAAAAAAAAAAAAAAATTACCGTAAGTAATGTATCAATAGAAATTAAAAGTTTATTTATTAATATTAGGATCACAAAATTAACTGACTGTAGCTGATAAAAATGTTGCTTCACGAGTAAAAAAAAAAATGGAGCAAAAAATGTATGTAAGTTAACGTAAAAAATGACAAGATTTAACAAGAATTGTTTGCATTCTTTCTAAATTCTAATTAGATTGTTGATTTCCGGGAGCGTTTATTAACAATTCTTATAAATAACGCGGAGCTTTATATGTTCATAGAAAGACAAAAAATGGTCGAAAGACATCTTACATTAAGTTAGACAAAAATTAGCTCCAATAGATAAATTTATAGGCAACGTATGTGAAATGAAATTCACAAAAACGATCTGTATGTTTCACCGCATAGTAACTCAACGTGCGGTAAAGCAGTTCTCCAGGAGAAATTGGAGAATTAACGTTACATCCCAAAATTTTATGGATTGTTCGATTTATGTGTAAATTAATTTTAAAAAGAAGCATAGTTGCAGCCAAATACAATAAAAAGTTTTCAATATATTCTGATGCAATAATTCTTATAAATATGGATATTAATTCATTCTGTTTTTAAATAGATTTTTTTACAAAATTAATATCAAATTGAAAAAAATATTTTAATTGTAAAAGTACGGTAAAGAATTTAATTTATTAAAATAAATATTTTATAAAAAACTTTTAATTTTTTGTCAAAATTTGTGTTTCAAAAAATCGTCTGAATTAGTTATCAGATTTCAGATTCACATCTTGAATAATTGGGTATAATATGAAAAAAACACAACTACTTCGATTTAGTAGGAGCAACATATGACGCAATGCTAAACGAATGGAATTTAGTTGTTGTTCATTTAGTTATTGTTATTAGTAGTTGATGTTATTTGTTTTAGTTGTTGTTGTTTATTTAGTTGTATTTAGTTTCAATAACTTTTCTTTATAATGCAATAAAATCTGGCGAGCAGCTATTTAAACGATCGAACACTTCGTTTGTTTATTTGTGGCTTGAAGTTAGGCTCGCAGAAAATGCCGTTCATGGGTTAAATTTAGTAGGAACAACACAACCTGTGACGTAGGCTATATTATACCCAATTAAAACTGTAACTTAGTAGACAAGAATCGGATTCTTCGATCAAAAGTTATGGTGGTTTTTGTTTGCTTTTTTTTTTTTAATTTTAAGCAATGTACATTATCATTTACTATACTTAACAATATTTAAAGTCCTTATTTGAAAAGAGGGCCAGTAAATATTTTCCTTCTAAATAAATATCATTAATATAATCGAATTTTTATTTTATAGATGGTTCAATATTAGCAATAGGTTGTGAAGACGGTAACATCTACGTCTGTGGATCCAAGAACCATGGTTATCTTTTCAAAATACATACAGTTCTAAAAGTAAGTTGACATGTTGCACTGAAAAAAAATATTCGATTTTTTTAGAAATATACTATTGCGTTCCTCAGTAATGATTTGGAATAGAATTTTATAACTTTTAATATTCTTGGTACTTATCCGCAAACTACCCAAATTCTTCATGGATAATAGTTAAGTATAAGAAATTTAAGAATACATGTATTAGGAGCTAAACAAAAACAAATGAATATGCTTATAGAGAGATAACCACATAAAAATTAATAATCATTCGGCTATAGCATATTATTAATCTCAGCGACCGAATAGCCGAAATTAATCTTTAATTCATTGTAAGAAAAAGAATAAAGTACAAAAAGGCTTTTTTTCTATAATGGCCTCTAAGTATTAGATGCACATAAGCTTCATTTCTTGAAATCGTAATCATTTGAAAGCTGCTCATGTGTAAATTTTTCTTGCTTTCAGAACAACGGTCCTATTTTACAAATGGATTGGTCTTCAGACGGAGAGTATCTGCAGTCATCGTATAGAAAAGAAAATTTTTGTGAAGTTTCACTGTGTAAGAAAACAAACCACTTGTTATGTATTAATTAAATAACATAAGTTTTTCATACTGGAAAAATATTACATTTAATTTTCATAAAGACTGTTTATAAATAATTTTATATAGAAGCAAAAAAAAAAAAGAAACAATCGGTATTTTTAATCGTATTCTAAGGATAAAAAAAGAAGTAAATAGAATAAAATTTTTAAAAATTTCAAAAGAAGGAAAAACAATCCTCATTTAATCATTGGGGCGCATATTTGAAATTGAGATAAGCCTCAGTTTATTCTCAAGTGTCTACTTTATTGGGACCCTACGTCAAAGGTATCCTTTTCCACAATCACTGTTCTTTTTTTTCCACAACCCACATACAGTCACATTTTTACATCCTTGCAACATCGTTATCTGAACTCAAACACGCCAATGAAAAATTTAAATCCAAAAGAGCCATAAGGAATCATAAATTCGATCCACTAGCTTCAAGTAGCAGCATAATACATCATCATCCAATTTCATTTTAAAATCAGTATCTTTAAATGCCACCGCTTGCGCGTAACGCGACAAAGACACGAACACTCGCAAAATCTTTATTTTTGTAGAGATAGTTATTGTTTGTAAATTAACTCTTAGTAGAATTATAAGAGAAGAGACAACCATTATTTTAAATGGATTTATCTAAAGGAACTTTACTATCACTAAATTAATGATAAGATTTAAATAAGTAATGAATAGAAGCATTCTCCAGAAACATTTGAAATATGTATTGTGTAATATTAAGTATTGTTAATTTTAATAGTATGCGTAAAAACAAAACAAAAAGTTCTATTCAATAGAAAATAATTCCTCATAAACAAAAATAATTTTTAAACTTACTTTTTAAGCACATTAGAGTATTTTAATGCCATTATGAACCAAGGTAAGCAATTATTGAATATTTATAACAATTCCAATTCCACCACTAGACAAAAAAGTTTTAAAACGGAGGCTATTAAATCTGTTGTATTTAAAAATAATCCTTTTGAAATTCGAACTGTAGGAATCAGTTTTTAGAATAAATACAGGGTTGAAGTCAAAGATTGCTTTGATGTCATAAAATACAAAAGATTTAAATCAACGCTACTAATATCACTTTTCTAAGAACAATAATAGTTTTGAGGTATCGTCTGCTTAAACTGCTAGCATACAAAAAAGATGAGGAAAAAAAAGCTACTTAAAGTTCATATAAGAAAGTTTTTATAGATTATCTTAATTATTCATAAAACGTTTTTTCCATTTAATATTTTAATGAAAATGGGGTTCTATATTAAAAGGATTTAAAAACTAAAGTAAGAAATTCTCAAAAATTGTTGGAATAAAAATAATTGGAAGTCTGCGAGAGCAGTTACACGCGGGTATCAAAACTGATTGGCTGCTCACTCGACATTTTTGTTTATGCCACGATTCAGCAGCCAATCAGGTTCGTCACCCACGCTGGATGACACTTGCACGTATCCAATTAAATCTGATACGAAAATTGATTCCGTGGAATAATAAACTAAGCCTAATAGTTTTAACGCTAACGTCTCGTTTATACACAACATGCTGATTTCAACGGTCTTTTTTTTCTGAAGTTGCAGGTACCCAATAGGATACCTGCAAGTGATGTAGTCTGGGTATCTCATATGTTGAATGATTAATCATATGTTGTTGATGCGTGGTATTTCGAGTAAGCCAAGCCCGTCAAGTATTAATTCTCTTAAGTGACACATTCTATATTCTTACATAAAAATTCTTTCCCAAATATTTCAATTCATTCACTATATATTTCTTACTTAACACAAAGACCGGCATGAAGCCATGTAGAACAAAAACAAATTAAATAAAATCTAACTTAAGTAAAAGACGTAGACGAGAAAGAATTATATTTCAACGAATTCGATGTGCGATATGGCGCTACATTTAATTAACATCACGTTAATTAGCATTCTAGCTTATGTGGAGAAACTTAGCTCAACATTAACACACCTTTTTGTTTATGAACGATCAGCTGGAACTGACGCTATAGGTCACATGTGTGGGTATCTGTGATCTTCCTGAAGTGCAAATACCCAATTATAAAATATCGTTTGCAAAACAATGTACTGATTTTACCCCATATCACTTAATGCATTAACAATTTGATTTGTGATTGTTAGTTATTATCAAATTATATTTAATAACTTTTCTTATTTTTTGCTTGCTTTCATACTGAAATTAATTTGTTGATTTCGCTTTCATAAAAGCAAAAAACTGATGAGGGCAAATTTTTTCTTTATACCCGAATATTGCTTTTAGCTTTAAGTGTCAATAGCAAGTTTATTAAACATCATCTTTATACGAAGCCTATTACGGTGGTGGTGTATTATTACAATTAATTTTTTAAATTATTCTCAATTGCTAACTACTTACTACTACTCAATTACTACTAATTTGTATGACAATCTGACAATGTTTCTCATTTATATCTTTTCCTTCCATATTTAAAGTGGCAAACAAGTTCAAATATTTAATAAGTGCTCCGAATAGGTACCTTGTGCAATATTTTGCATATTATGTAATACGACACAAACATCCTACTTCGAAACAACGCAAACCTACTAGTTTTCTTAGCTAAAACTAAGTTAACAATATCGAAACAGGAAGAAAAAAAACTTGATACCGGCATATAAAATAAATAATAAAACATTAAGACATTTTGAAGATGAAAGTAAGCTCGGCATTAATGGAATGGGAATATTTGCTTATAATTGTATTAGCGAAAGGTATTGATTTCGCTTAAAAGATAACCCATAACCATTCTATCTTCCAAAATAATAATTTCAGGGAAAGTATCAGAATCGAAGAAAGTAAGCACATCTCAAGCTCAGAAGATGGATTGGCCACAACACACTTGCACTCTTTCTCATAATGTTTTGGGTGAGATGTGTTACAATTTATTGAAATTTATAATAATTTTTACACATTTAAAAAATGATTTTTCTTAAAAAAAGTTTGAACGAATGCATTTAACAATCATTCTTAAACATAAAAGTAATAATTTAATACACAGAACAACAAGGAAATGTAGATTTATCATATTGTTTAGTTTACAATCACATCATGATAAAGGACTTCAATTATTTATGCGGTTCTATTTTATAAATAACATTTCGGTTTAATCATTTATTTATTCATTGTTTTTCCTCATTTCGAAATTTTATTATTTTAAAAAATAATAAGAATTTAAAAACAAGTGTGTATTTCATATTGTTCCTCAGAATGCAAAACTGATATGGTCATTGATTTCGAAAAGCGGCTAAAAAATATTGGGAATCACTGTTATTATAAATCGAAAAAGATAAAAAAATCAAGCCATGTTTCTTTTGAATGCCACAAATGTTTGCAATTAAACAAATTGCATATTTGCAAATCTTTCTCTCAAAGATTTGATATTTAGTTGCCAAATTCGCACAATCGTCCATATGATATAAACTGTCTATACTGTAGTATAATCCAGGGATCCCCAACCCTATGCGCGCGGGCACCATGGCGCCCGACGATCACTCTAGGTGCGCCTTCTGTTTGTGCCCTACGATAAAATATTTCAGTTTTCCAATTTCCCATGCATTTTTTTTTTTTTTTTTTTTTTTTTTTTTTTTTTTNTTTTTTTTTTTTTTTTGCTTTTTCAATATTGATGATAAACACAACCAGACTAGAAATCGCCAGGGAAACCAGCTCCATCCCCACAGATATACTGATAGATTTATAGGGAACGACAAACTTATAGCAAGAGAGATAAGGGCTATAAACTCGTTCAGAGCTAAGCTAGTTTTGTGGATATCACATTTGAAAATGAAATCTCTTGTGCATTTTCCGAACATGAAAAAAAAATGATAGACAACAGTTAAATTGACTTATCAACATTTGTCATCAACCTCCAATTGCTTCAATTCAAGATCAATTTGAGAAGCCTTTTAACAATTTAATATCATCGAGCCTATGGTCATCTTTTTTGTAAATCCTTTTACCAACCAAATAAACGTAACCGAAATAGCAACATACATTTAAGAATTTCTTCAAGTAAGGCGAGAAAAAATGAAGATAGAATTTTGGATCCTCAAAATGACACTATCCTCAAAGCTATTATATCTGAATCTGAAAAAACGAGAAATTCTGGAATACAGAAAAAAATTTACATTCTTAAAAAGAGCAGCATATAAAATAAAATCGTTTTTTGGTTCCACATATACTTGTGTGAATCATTGCTTTCGACAATGACTATCATAAAATCAAAATATTGATCACGACGACTTACAGATGAACACCTTGACGATTGCTTGCGAGGAGGAATTTCATCATATTCTCCTAATTCTGAAGCGCTCACCAGTGAAATGCAATGCCAAAGATCACATTGACTGTATTTTATAAATAATTTTTATGCTTCGTATGGTTTGCAATAATTTAGTAATAATTTATTTTACACTAGAATATTAATACTAATTATTCATAAATTAAATCTTTTGTGCATTACATTGTAGAGTGTATTACATTGTAGTGTGTATTATTACCTACGTCTACCAATCAAAAAATTATCTTGAAAAATTAAATGGTGCCCGCCATTCGACCGATATTCTGGTATTTCCTCTTAAGTACAAAAAGGTTGGGGACCCCTGGTATAATCTATACTGTATAATCGTCTGTATTAAATTTTAACTAAAATTATTTTTACGTTCTAAAATAAAAGTGCTATTATCGAAATCTGACAACGAAAACAAAAAAAATGCAATAAAGATCACTAGGGTACATTAATATTATGAAATCTATTTGTCTAAAGAAGGCAAATCTCTTGAAAAAAAATTTCTCATGTGACATTATTTTAATGGGCTATCAAACAAGAAAAAGTCTACTTCTAAAGTCAAATTGATAAAAAATAGATCAATAGATCTAAAGTATTATTATAAGTAATGTATGATATCTTTTAACAAAATGATTTTTGCCTAGAAAATTTACTTTCTTTGTCTTTCAAAGGAATCTGGAAACAAGTAAAGGATGTTTTCTATCTAAGCTGTCACAGAAAAAACTCAAAACTCGTAACAGGGTCACAGGATGGAACAATAAGAATATTTCCTTATCCATACGGAGAAACAGTTGAAGTAGGTGATTTTAATTTCAATAACATTTTAGCACATATTCAAACAAATAAAAATGTATATCTTTCGTATAAAAAAAAACTTAAGCAACACAGAAGTTACAGACTGACTATTTTTGAATGCATTATTCAAGTTAATCTTTAGCTTGAATCTTTGGGGGTTTAACCCCAAAGATTCAAGCTAAAGATTAACTTATGAGCTTCAGGGAATTGAAAAATTCTAAAACATTCAAAAGAACAGGATTCCATATCTTGAAATTTGATTTTTCTCGTAAACTTGAAAATAGCAGTTAAGTTTGGAAGTTAATGGCAGTCACGTTTTCCTAAAAAAATACGGATGTATTAATAAACAGAAATGGCCATTTCTAAAATTTTTATTTTTGTCAATGCGCTCACAATTTTTTTAAAAATTTCTTTACTTTCATTTATTATTTGAAATTTTTCAATAAGATACATTTAATATTTCTATTTCATGAAGAGAAAACTAGGTTGATGATGATCAATACACCTAACCTTCCAAAATGTCACTTTAACATTTTATACAACATGCAAAATATAAACGTAATACCTTGAATAACTTTTGCTCTACAGACTTGATTTTCCATGCACAAATTTGCAATTTTAATAACGTGAGGGATACGCTTTAAACATGATAATTAATTAGTGTAGATGCTAATTTTAATTAGGAAATTGGGAACAAAAACTTACTTCTAAATGAAATTTTTCTTTTTCAATTGGTTTGATTTACGACCCTCAATTATATAAATAATTCAGTCAGAAAAGCATTCAGAAGTTCAAGCTATTTAAAAGTTCAATTTTTCTACTAAAATTATTTAGGGTATTCAAAAAACAAAAGGAAAATTAAAGTATTAAAAAAACATACAAATAACTAATTTTTTTATCTTATGATAATACTATCCAAAAAAATATTGTTACAATTAGAAATTTTAACGATTGTTTACAATTACTGTAACCTAATAATGATCGAAAAAATTCTACATTTTAAGATAAACAAATTTTTATATTTTAAATTATTACATTTTAAATAAAAAACGAAATTTAAATTTTGAAGACTGTCCTTTAAATAGTTCTCATGAAATGAAACAAAAAAATTCAAAGATTTCAGTTTGCTATCTGTAAAAAACAAAATTTAAAATTACTAAATATTTATAACGAGTTGAGTGTGATTGCTAAAAACTAGTCAAATGTAATCAAAACAATAATTTTCTTTTACATGTATAGTAGACCAAATTGGGACAGAATGACACAGACACAGAAATGAGGTGTAATTGTACATGATGACATGTAGGTTAACTTTCAGTATAGTGTTAGGCTAATATTATTCTTCATATTCAAATTTGATTGTTAATGAGTAAGTATTATAAATAAAGCAAACTTACTTTATTCTTATTCATTTTGCTAAAACTTTACACTTCTAATTGCTCTCAGCTTTGGCAATTCTAATATATGTACAAGAAAAGCTTATAAGACTTCATTAATAATATTTAATCTAATATTTAAAAGGAGTACCATGATATTAATATTTTTGTGAATAATGTGACTTATTATAGTAATAATTTTGTCTTATTTTTTAGTCTCCATTTGAAGAATGCAAAATAACTTGGCAGCCAATAAATGTAGTGCGTTTTCTAAGCTCCAACTGCATATTATCATGTTCTGGAACGTCTGTTTTAGTTTGGAATGTCAAAAAATCTTCTACTTAAATTATATAGTGTATTTTTTTTATATTTTTAAAAGCCAAACAGTCCTTTATACATAAAAATTGTACTCGTCAAAAATTATTTAAAAAATAATGAAATACATATATTTTAGCAAAAAAATACAAGTTAAATATTATCTAACCATTAAATAAATAATCGCAAGATATTACCAGATTGGAAACTTCATTCCATTCAAAAATAAACAAATATGAAATAACAGCACATGCTTTAAAAATAGGGGCCCATTTTCAAGACTTGCCAGACGTGAAAATTAAAAAACAAAAAATACTATAATTTTTGTTTCCCTTACTTTCATGTCAGTTTTCTTTACATCACTTCAGCAAGTCTTGAAAATAGGCACCAATTTTTAAAGCACTTGTAACACGACGACTGTAATTTATCATATTTGTTTATTTTTAATCATATTTGTTTATTTTTAATCATATTTGTTTATTTTTAAAGCGAATGAAGTTTTCAATCAGGTAATTACCTAGGTGTGTTTATAATAGACAAACCTCTTGTTTGAAATTAAGAATGAAATTTGCTTTTAAATTTCAGAATTAAAAATTATATCTTATTTTAAATTTATTATTATAATAAGTTATTAAAAATAATTTGAAATGCATTGCTATCACATCATTTTTTTGCTTTAATTATTATTTGTTATTTACCATAATGTTAGATGAAAAGTGAATACAATGAAACATTACATTTACATGTTCGAATAAATTTTGTTTCTTCATTATTTGTCATGTTGATTTTTTTAATTGAGGTACCATCTGCCCATAAATCATTTGACGGAATGTTTCTTTATTTTCTTACATGTAGATATTATTATTTTACTGCTCATTCAATTATTCAGCAAACACCAAAATGAATATTCATAGCATAAATATCTAACTTATTCATATTTTTAATGCACCTCAAATTCATAAATGCCCCGACTATCATAGACAACTCATATGGTAGATGTTCTTTCATTTGATGTCATAAAATTCTAAAACCTTTTACATTTTCCTCTGACTGACGTGATTTTTTTTTTCTTTCTCTTTGATACTTACCGAGCATTGCAGCTGATTTTTCATTATTATATTTTTTCCCTTGTTTAATATCAAAATTTCCTTATGAATCACATCAAAAACATGCATTTATGTTTTCATTTGGATAAAATTATCTTTTATAATTCGATTAATTGTGTCATATAGATCTTAGACACAGATTTTAACTAAAAGCGATTTTGATCTTTTAAGAATATATTAAAGGAAAATTTTAAGGAATATTTTCCAAATTTCTATGATTAGATGTTGAAGGATCATAGCAAATAAAGAGATCTATGGTAAATGAAAGGAGCTAAACATTGTAATAACTATAAAAATAAAAAAGAATCCAATGACTTAGACATATACTAAGAATACAATCTGAAGAAATGTAAAAATATCATTAAATAGAAAACTACAATGGTCAAGGCCTAAAGGATGGTAGAAACTAGAACTATATGGAAGAGCAAATTAAAGAGTATCTGAAAAATCTTAAAAGTCAGGGCTCCACAACCACAAGAGCTGTAGCACCAGGATGATGATGAAATTTATCTTTTAAAATTGGGCATAACTTTACAATACATTTTTTTAAACCCACAAATGTCATTCCATGCTCTCATTCAAAAATAATTAAATTCAAAAGAGAAGAAAACAATTTTTGAGAAAATGATTCATCTCTGTAGCAATCACGATATAAAATCCCAATCTAACAAAAAGCAACCTCACTGAGAATTCATCTCATAACTTGCCAAATAGCACAATAACAGTTTTTTGAAGATTTTTTCATTTTCAATTTTAAGCTTTTAGTGTCAAACAAAGTACAGATTCATACACTTTAATAATATGTTGTAAATTAAGCAAAATTCAAAAATTGTTTTAGCATTTTTCTTAGATAATTTCTCTAAATTTCTTATTTAAAAATAGAGAAAAAACTAACATATTTCATTTGCTTTTTTTCAAAACCTGTCATGGAATCTTTTACAACTTCCAGTTTTATTAAAATATAAATTGAATTGTACTTTGAAAGAAAATTCCTATGAAACAAATGTTTTTAAATTAGGTATTCTTTTATCTGAAGTTTTCTACAATTTAAAAATTCATGTTGAATCACTTATTTAAAATACTATCTCTCAAACTTCTACAAATTTTTGTTACATAATATAAAATCTAAAACTTGTGGTTTAAAAGAAATAGAAGTACAACTAGTTTTTAAAGTTTTGATTATATATATATATATATGTTAAAGGTTCATGAAATGTCCAAGAAGCTTTGTTATTTGGAGGAGTAAAAAAAGTATAAACTGGAAATATAAGTTACCCCTTTTTACACAAAAAATGTCATGTACAAAAAAGCTTTCAAAGATTAAAAATTTAATAATTCTAATGTTTGCTTGAAAAAATGGAAGTTATGAAAAGGTAAGTTTAACCAAACAAAGTTGTTTAAGATTATCTTTATCTAAATCATATATGATGTTAAAATAGAATTAAATGCATTGCAAATCTCTAGAGCATTTTTAATGTAATGGTTATAAAATTTAAGGTTTAAAGCAACATGGGGAAATTAGCATCAGTTTTATGGTCTCAAAATTTATTTTGAAAAACATAACATAACAGAATTATCAAGCTCTCGCTTATTATAACAAATAAGTAATTCCTTATTACAAACACATTTTTGTAATACATAAAGTTATAGTAAAGAAATGTCATGCTAGAGTAAATAAATGCATAATTCTTAAAGATGATAGCATTTTTGTTCACAATAAAATAAAGGAATATCAAGTCTCAACTTTTTACAACACAATGGTGGACAACCCCTTAAACAAAATGCATTTTTATAAAACACAATAAGTTATAGTAAATAGATTTCATGCTTCAGCTTACAGTAAATAAATAGATAATTCCTTAAAGTAAAAATATTTTTTTTAACATAATGTATTATAGAAAAGAATAATCTCTTATCACTATAAAATATATATTTTCATTAAAATATGAACTGAAAATAGAGTAAATTAAAAATAAAAAAATCATGGCGTAATGCAATAAGAAAATTGTTCTTTTATTAAAACTTTTTTCTCTTTTTATTATAATTCTAAATGTTTCTTTCATGTGGTTCTTTATAAGGGTAGTCAATGTATTCAAATATTTCTTTTTCTGAAGACACAGGTAGAGATTCTCCTGGATTACCTTGGAAAAAAATTAAGAGATGCCTTTAATTTAAAAAAAATAATATTTAAACAGTTTAGAACTTATTATAACAGGAATATAATAGCTGGAATAAAAAATTTTATTGTATCAAGACCAAAACAAGAATTTTAAACCATTATACTTAACACAATAAATGCACCCTATAACACAATAAATGCACCCTATAATACAGCAAATGCACCATAACACAATAATGCACCATATAGCACAGTATAAATGCAATACAGCAACTTGTTCCGGAGGAGAGTTCATAATTTTAATTTATTAAAGATAATTTAAATTTGTATTCTCCATAGTGTTAAGTAAGATGTTTTGACTTTCTAATTGTGAGATTTTTATAATAATTTCAATTCAGTTTCAATTGAGTGGAAGCAAAATTATCTTGAAGCACCATTAATTTGCACATTTAGGATTCTCAACAAATTTGAACATATTTAAAACACTACAGAAAATATAATTTTAAAAAAGTACTGAAAATTAAAATAATTACTCCTGAAAGAAATTTATGATTAGAAAGAAAGAATTTCATTTTTAATATATAACTTAATTAAAGATATCAATAATGTGTTCTGTAGCTTCATTTTGTTTTTGCAATGACTTTAAATACCAAAATACACTTACAAAAAATACTAGGGGATATTATACAGAATTGTCAATCTAAGAGTTCCAAACTAACAAATGCAGTTAAAACACTACTATTTATGTAACAAAATATATTTACGTAACAATATATACTATCAAGATCATCGATCTAAAGTATTCATGAGTTACAAAATATTGGGAATAAAAGAGTTATATTGAAAATTATTTTACTAACTCACATATTTACTGACATAAGTAATAAATTCAACTTTAAAGACATAAATTAATCTCACATTAAAAACTAGAAACTTCCTTTCTATCTAGTGAATTTCTATGATTTTATTGTTTTAAATCTTTTTAAAGATTCCAATTATGGTATAATTATAGTTTTATATAATAAATACATATATATAATAAATTAGAATTCATTTTCAAAAATAAAATCACACAACATATTTAAAATTATACTAAGAAGTATGAAAAATACCTCTGCTCCCGATTGGTCGAATGCAATATTCATTTAATGTAAATCCTTTTTCAATTGCATGACTTCTCATTTGTTGGTTGAATAGATTGCTTCCCGTAAAATAGAGTGTAGCACAAAAATATTGATCATTAGGAAAAATTCTGAAAATTGCAAACATATTTGTAGTTTACAACAAAAATATTAAAATATACCACACAACAATCTCCATGGTCATTAATTATTAATACAATGACGATTTTATTTTTAAATGCACCCACTCTAGAATTTTAGGAACAAGTCGGAAAGTGAGATGGTAAAGAGAAAAAAACTGGTAGTAAAACCATTTATAGCTAGCTTTTGGGAGGAGTAAAATAAGCTCTAACTATTCTAAAATATTAACTATTCTTCACAATTTACTTTTTCTAGGGTCTAATATACATGTTGTAACTTAAAAAAAATCTTGGTAGTTAGTAATATTTAATTCTTCTCTCAAAAATTAGCTAGAATGAAATGATTTTCTGACCAGTTTTTGCTCTTATCCATCATGTCTTGGGATTATTTGTCCTGTATAAGGATTTAAGTCATGATTCCCAGCTTTTTACCCAAAATAAAAGTTACAGATGAGCCTGCTGTGCTACTGCGTCAAACACAATTAAGCATTTAAATTTCAGGCAATTAGGCACTTTAAAATAAAGACGAAAAAACATTATATTTTTGAGCAAAAATGGCTATTCAATTATAGATTAGTTGCTTAATACAAAAAAAAAAATTTAGTATCAATATTTAGGAAAATGACAATATGATTCCTTAAATATCTGTAAATGTGATCTCTTATTAAGAAAAATCAATCACTAAATATAATCTAATATCAGAAATCTCCTATCAACCAGAGGCAAACTTTAAAAGGAATAAAATTTTTATCTGTGTAACATCATATAAACATGGGTATTTATAATATCAAGAAATTTGAATACTGCAGCAAAAAAAATATATAACACAAAGATGCAAAAAAATTAAACAAACAAATAGAAAACACTTTATACATGCACATAGCTGCCACCTTGTATAAACATTAAGAAAGATTAATTTTCAAAAGATCAAGTAGCAAAGATAAAACTACTTTGCAAACACTTTAAAACTCAACTACCTAACAAATAGATCTTTACCTACATAAGCATGAATATTTGATTTGCCCTCGTGAGGAAAGCAATTTTTGTTGAAATTCTAAAAATTGAGTTTTATACTTAAACACACGATTGTTGCTACCACTAAGAAATATTTTCCTCAAAGATCATACAAGTTGACAGCTTTACAAATAAACTAAAAGCTGCTGCACAAAATGTACAAGACAGTAACTCATTTTTACCCACTGGCTGTTTTTCTAGGGGGATTATTTGTCCCTTATCGACTGTTTAGCTATCAAATAAAATGGGGTAGCTAGTTTTGCTTTGGAGAGGAGAATTCAACTTGAAATAAGGCAAGAGGCTTAAAAACTGAAATATTAATTACCTTATGTCTATTCTTCGAAATGGATAGTCGTCTTGCAGGCAACAAACACCCTATAAGTAATAGGTTATTAAAAATAAACTTCCATTTTAGATATATTTTTTGCAGCTGAAATACTTCTGGATAATCATAGAATAATATACAAATTTGTTATTTTAAAGTCATCAAAATATGCTATATTTTAAAAATACAAATATATGTTCCAACATAAATTTTATCATACTATTATTATATTCATTAAAATATCAAAAGAATTAATATTTGCTAATTATTTATACAAATTTGATCTTTTAAAAAAAAGAAAGTATAATATACGTCAACTATTCTTGATTTGTTCCTAATCATTTTATAAATTACTAGAAAAAAATTTGAGTGAAAAGCAATAAATATATTTACGTAGAAACTACATCCATTTTTAATAAAATTATGAAAGTTTTAAGGAAGTAAAAATTGCAATTATAAGCCACAAAATTATATAGCAGCAGAATTTTTATAATAAGTAATCAAAATATGTATACCATAAACTTTGCATCACCCAAAGATAATGTTTCTTTAACAAATTGAGCCTTCTCCATTTTTTCAATGATTTCCTTTAAAAGTTTAGGCTGAAATTTAGAGACAAAATGTACTTTATCAGCATGTTTTTAATATTTGCCAAAATGGAACATAGTGAAAATTATGTCTCATCACTTAACTAAATATAGATCTTCATTCTATTAAGTAGATCTCAATGTATATACTAAGACTAAAAGATAGAAAAACAACTGTAGAATATTTTGTAAGGAATTTACAATAAAAATCAAATAAATGCAAGTTACTGAATTCATATTTACAAAAAATATGAACTTCTTTTAAAAAATGAACAAACATAAATATGGTCCAACTTAAATATAAAATTAGTCCAAGAGCTAACAAACAATTCACAATATATATAATTTTAAACTTGATTTTATTATTAGCTTGAAGATGTCAAATACATTTATCTTACCAGTATCAATAAATAAAAACATCAATGAAACACTTTTATGCAATAATTTTAATAATAATAAACTAACTTTTTTAGGATCAGTAGATGAGTAGCTAGGGTGAGTAACAAGAACATCTATATCCCCACTTTCTTTTAAGCCTAAAATTGGATAAATAATTAGATATTAAGTATAACTGCAATAAAGTTAACAAATACTATAATTTCCCACATAATCATATCATAGAAAATTTTAAATAGATATTTAAAACAATATCGTTATCTAATCTCTTATAAATTTAAATTATTATTGTCGGTCAATAATGTTTTCTTAATTCTTTGTATACTACAAGTGGATAACAATCAGGCAGATACAGTTTTGAGGCAAGTCCATATTTTTTTTTCAATTAAAATTTCTTATACTCATAATAAAATTAAAAAATTTTTAATTCATTACTTATCTAATACTTTTTATACAATTGCAAGTCATTACTTGATATTTTATATTGACCTACATTGAACTTGTTTTCCCATATCTATTGTTCACAATAAATGGTCCCATGAAAAATGGTCAATCAAGGCTATACTATATTATGAAAAATGGGGGAAGAAAAATTTCACAGTGGTAATTGTGACACAAATTGAAAAACTCTAAAAACTTTATGTGCAAAAAATCGCTATCAAGATATCAATTTATGTATGTTTCCCATTTAACATAATTTTTTTAAATTAACATTTACAATTAAATTACCAACTAAAGAAGAATATTACATTTTTCACAGCAAATAATTCAAGAAAAAACTTACTTTCTTACAAAAATCGTGAAAAAAAAAACTGGATATTAAAAAATTATGAATATGAATCCCGATATTGAATTTAAAAATCGCATGCCTATGAATCACAGTACTGGAATTCAAAAACGCGGTACAACAAATTGCGATATTAAACTTTTAAATCGCTTACTTATGAATCATGATGCATAAGTTTTTTGATCACATGAACACGAATGCATAGTTTTTAAATCACGTATAAATTCGAAAATCGATGTTTGATAATACAATCATAAAAATACGAATCACAACATTGGGTTTTAAAAATCGTGAATATGAATTGTGACACTGAATTTTTAATTCGTGTGAATAGGAATGGCGATACAGGGTTTTGAAAATGAGAAGTACAAATCACGATATTGGATTATTAAATCACGTGAATAGGAATCGCGATGTACGATTTTTAAAATGCATGAACATGAATCGCAACGGATCTTTTAAAACAGGAAAATATGAAAATCGATGTTTGATTTAAAATCTCGTAAATAAGAATCGCGATATTAGTAGATTTCTGCACAGTTCCAAATATCCCAAAAAATCTGGAAAGCCAAAAGAATCAAATTGGCGAAAGAATCACATGTATGTAAGCCACTTGTTAACAGGATATAGCAAAAGTTTAAAAATTTTGTCGGATTATAAGTTTTTGATTTGAGGAAGTCTGCAAACCAATGGTCTTAAGATATACGGAATTCTGCGATGTTCGAGGAAAAATCACATGCCCTGTTTCTAGTTTTCAGACCTGGAAGAATGATACGAAACCCGGGATTCGGGGGTACACCGGAAATACAATCACCCTTGTTTATAGCCAAAGGTTAAAAACCATCAAAAGACTGATATCCCTTTTTTTTTAAAATAAGTTTTACTTTTTTTGAGAAATCAGATAGTTTTAAAAGCATTTTAATTTAAAGATATATTTTATGCAAAGAATTTATAACACATCTATTTCTTTTTGTAAAAAATAAAATTTCAGATATATGTCAGTTATTCATTCAAATACAAGCAAAAAATTACTTGCACTTGCATAAATCAGATTACATAGAAATACAACTAACTCTCACTATGTCTCGTATACATAAAAAATTGTTGAGAAGATGCAAAAAAACAAGTTATTACATGCTCCTCGGGAATATAATTCCATAGAAGGGAAAAAAATCATGCCAGTAGATTTATGTTGTCAACAAAACTTTATAAGAAAAATTCTTTTTATTAATAGCTGAAAGAGAAAATTAGAAGAATTCTCAGTATCAATTTACATCATTGTTTTTCCTTGATGCAGCTTTTGATCAGTCCTAATTAAAAGTCGACTAACTCTTCTTGTTTTGAAATATTTGATTTGTTTATCAATAAATAGATTTATAAATGTGAACCTTAAGAGATGGGTAAAAAAAGTAGAGAATTTATATTTTAAATAGAGACCCACTTTCAGTAAAAAGGAACCCAGAAATATGGTCCTAAACTTGGGTCCTTAAGAAACCATAGTTTCCTAAGTCTGACGGAATTGCTCTATAATTATCAAACAACTTACTTTAGTTAGTTCGTTAGTACAGATTTTTTTTCTTCATACATGTTCAATGAAAACGTTTATTTCAATTAAATGAAAGGAGATTACCTCTCCGATAGCTCCCACATATGGTAACAAGATAGTCTTTATCAGCTTGTTTGCAAAGTTCTATGATTTTTTTCTATAATCAGAAAAGAATCAATTGACATTTTAATGAGATTTTAAACTACACATTTATTTTCAGTACAGTGAGCCAAATGAAAAAAAGGCATCACTCCCAATAACTTTTGATTAATTGATCAGATTTTTATGCACTAAGATTCAATTTTTAACTGTTTTGTGTTACCATATTCCATGATAGCTATAAATTAGGTTACAAAATGTACAAATGAACATACTTTTTTTTTGCTGATGGATTCAGATTTTTGATACTTACATTATAAGAACAGTCACAATAGGAAAAAAAAACGGTTTAAGAGTGGTAAAATATTTGAAATCCTAGACGTAAATTTTTATATGTTTTATTACATCTCTAGAACTATTTTTGCATACAATTATAAAACTCATTCAAAGAAAATTCCAAGCAAAAATATAATTAAATTTTTTTTAACAATGATACAATAAAATCAGGTTACAGACACTCTCACAAAACGAAGATTTCTCATTGCGGACATTCTAAATTTAAGAGAGAAAAAAAACTAATTTTCTTTAAATTCCATATATATATATATATTCACCATTTTTTAAAGCATGTAAATTTTTTGACTCTCATCCATAACTAAAAATATTGTAAAGCTATTTCACTAATAAGAATCAATCATTCTCCTGTCACCTTTATCTTTGAAGAGAGAAAATGATACTGCTCACATGAAATATTTTGGACAGCATTGTCTTTTGATTTTTTTTATCTAGACTACACAGGTTTTAAGACCCCACAAGTTGGAATGAAGCATTAAATACTCTCGATATCCTTTCCCCACAGAAAATACTTTTCTTGTAATCAATTTGACCCCTGTATTTAACAGGGCTGGGTATAAAAAAGAAAAAGAAGAAAAACAAAAAATTTATTTATGTGTGTGTTCATATAACTCAAACATTTATTCAGACTCTTGAACATATGATATAAATGCAACAACTCCATAGTTCCTGGTGCCTTACAGGTAAGTAATGTCACATTCTTTTTTGGTCTATACTTCATAGGAGCTTTACCTTTAAGGAGTTATTGCAACTTTCTTATCGAGCAATGAGGAGGTGTTAGAAGCAAACCTATTGATTGGAACTGACTAGGGAAGTGGCATATGATTAAAAATAAACTTGTATCACATCTTTCTTTTCAACTGGATTAATACAAAACAAAGACATGTATATATAAAAAATTTCTTTGTCAATTCATTCTGTACTAAGTAAATATCAATGTAAATTGTTATTTAATTATTTCTAAATCATTGAAATTATTCTAAAAACAATTTATGTACTATTCTAAAAACAAACCATATTTATGTATTATTTGTTATTAGTCTACGCTTTCGTAAATGGACAAGTCTTGTAAACAGATCATTTTTCGGTCCCAAGAGTGCCTACGAAAGCAAGGTTTCACAATAGAAAAAGCTTTAAATTGTCCAGTAGAAAATTTTTTGCTAATCTAATTTTAAATCAAATCTAATTTTTTGGAATTAAAATTCAAAAAAAAAAATTATGAAATTAGTTCATTATTTTCCAAGAATATTTAACTAACTTTAAATATTAAACTTTTTTGACAGCTTTATTGCTTAGGAACTATTTAAGCGATTGATTAGGAACTATTTAACTGATTTCATTCAAAGTTTTAATTTTGTCATTCTAAATTGATAAGTTTTAGATTTAGAGTATGCAGAAAGAATTTTTTAAGTTAACAATTCAAAATGTTTATGTACACAAATAAATTGAATAACGAACATTTAGTTAAATTGCTGCAGAGAGGCATAGTAACACAATGTAAAATTAACATTCATGGGATTAAACTTTCTGTCGTATTCCTCTCCCCTGTTTTAGGGAGAAAAACTCAAATCCATAAAAGAAAACAAAAGTAATGAATCAAAGAAAAAATGTTTTCGTGTTTCAATTCATAGGCAACATAAACCAATTAGAATATTTGAAGTCTAAACTCAAAACCATTAAGATTAAATCTTAGTACATGAAAATCTGATCAAAAGATCATAAGTTATTCAGAATGACCAGGGGTCTGTCTAGGTTTTTTTGAGAGGTACCTATTTTGTGAAAATTTAGACATAATTTGTGAAAAATTAAAAATTATATTAAAAAATCAACACAAAAAGATGGATTTATCGTTTCTTAAGGGATACAAAAATAAAATTTTAAGAAAAAGTATTTTGTGAAACTACCGTTTTTCCTAAAATTGAATTTGTGAAGGTACCGCTAAACGGTAGTAAATTTGGCCTGGACAGACCCCTGATGACATTATTTTTTTTTGCCCACTATACATGAAATATAAATAACATACTTCTAAAACTTCCATTTCTTCACGAGGAATTTTTTTCTCAAAATCTTCAAAATATCTAAGATAAAAAAAACACAAATATAAAAACATAGAAAATAATTAACATTAAAACTTACAAAAACAATTTAAAACTCACTTTAAGCCAATTTTCTGGTGATGATTAAGTTTTTCTGTGTTTTTCTTTAAATCTAGAAAGTTATAATTTTTTTAATAAAAAAGACTGAGTTAAATGTGATGCAAATGTGATGCGAAAATTAGAATTAAAAAACAAATATAGATTTAATGATAAAAAAGATGAAAAGTAATCAATCTTAAAAACGATTTTTCGTCATCAAGGTAAAGGTTAATATGCTTACTTGAAATAGGAAAATTTTAATATTCAGTACTTAATCTTTAGTCCTTTTTTAATATAAAATTACAATTATACAATTTTTACTCACAATATACATTTTGTACTTATATAATATTTTTTTGTAGAGAATAAATATTTTATTCATAAAAAAAAAAATTTTACTGAAGAAAATTTATAAAGTGCCAAAAAGAAATTATGAAATTTTTAGGAAATGAAACCTAATAATTCAAAGTTTCAGAGAAAGGACCAAATTAGTAAAATAATCTACCTAGCTACTATTTGTTTGAAGCTAAGAAAACAAATCATTTATTTCCTGAATGGTATAATGTTGCTAGAATTGTATCAAAAATCTTTGATTTTAACAAATAAGTTTTACCATTGTGTATTGTTTATGATTTTTGCGAGAGTTGAATCAAAACTCTCTGATTTTAACAATATGTTTTACCATTGTGTATTGTTTATGATTTGAAATATTGGTGAAGGCATTAGCAGAAAATATTTTCCATTAATAAGAGGCAAAATTCCGAACGCTTTTTACTATTTGTTAATTACAATAACAAACAAAACAATTTTCAAACACTGATTCCAAGAATAAATATTTTACCTTCAATATTCATTATTCCTTCTTTAACTAATTTCTGTGCTGCAGCAGGTCTAAAAAAGGTTCATATTTTATGCATATATTTATTCATAGAAGCAAAATAATTATTGAAACTCATGCATTTGCAAATCATAAACCCATTAGCAACAATGTCTTAAATGAAAAAGCATTAATTACAAAGCTAGCTAAATTTTATCTTTCAATGAAATTGCTAAAAGAATTTGCAATAGTGAAAAGGGCAATTTTTGTTGAATGACCTTTTCTTTGCAAAATCACAATTTGAAACACATTTGGCAAAATATACAATTGTCCAAACTTACTAAATATCAAAGAAAATTCCCTAATTTAAAAAAAAATTTCAAAAGGTCACAATGACCTCACCTGACCTCCCATTCTAGCACCCCTAAAAAAAGCAAAAGAAATAAACAAAAAAGATTTGAATTTTTGATACATAGAAATCATTGATTTCTTTAGTTTTATAAATTATTTTCTCTATCTAATTCTCTAAATATAATCTCGTAATCTACAGTTAAAAATTATAGTTTTGGCATTAAATATCAAATAAAGACAAATGTAATAGTTTTTAGAACTTTATATAGCGAAACGGAACAGGGAGCTAGACATATTTTTATAAAGTTTTAGCATTAAAAGAAATTAAAATATTTCTTTTTTTAAAAAAAAAATGAAAATTAATTAAAAAGAATTTACAGTCTTTAAAAGATAACAAGACATATTTATCACTCTTTACTAAATATAGATAATAATAAACAAAATATCAAAAGTTTTAGCATTAAAAAAATTAAATCAGATTACAGATTGTTCAGGTTAAGCCAAAAAAAAAAAAAAAAAAAAAAAAAAAAAAAAAAAACAAGGGATAAGGCATTTTGAAACATTTTCATCTATATTTCACTGAACAACAAACAACAAATTTAAAAGAACATTTTTATAAAGATTATTACAAAAAATTTTAAAGTGTATATAATTATAAAATGAAAAATACAGTAAAAATTACATTTTTAATTGATTGAGTGCATAAAAATAACTGCTTACCCAATACCAGAAATTTTCGTCAGTAAGGTTATAGCTTGACTAGTATCATCCTTCCTGATCTTTGCACGCAGATTAAAAAAAAATATTAATTTAACAATACTATTATAATAAAATTTAGTTGAATAGTAAATATACTTTAACAACCTCTTCTAATTTTCGAAGCTTCCCACTGGAGATAAATTCATCTATTTTATCAGCAATTTTTTCTCCAACTCCTTTCTAAATAAAATGAATTATAATAGTTTACAATAATATAAAAATCAAAAGTAAGTAATAATGTGAAACAAGTAAATATGATAGTTTGAAATATATACTGTAAATTATGATATGTAAATATTGGAAGGAAAAAAATTTTTAAAAATTACAAGAAAATTTATTAGGTTCTTACCAACTCTCTAGCTTCTTTGCCACTCTTAATTCTAACTGGATGCTTTGAAAGAGAACTAGCTGCTGTACGATAAGCATTATACTTATGAATATTTCTGTTGACATTTCTTTCATAATCAGCAAGCTCTGAAATTAAAGTTTAGTAACTTTAATTTGTAATATTAAAGCACAAATAGTAACAGCTGAAAATAATTGTATAAGAATAGTTAAAAAATTAGAAAACAAGTTTTGACAAATAGTTCATTGTTTAAAAAAAGAAGGAAAAAAAAAAAGAAAAGGAAATTCGATATTTCGAAAAGTAATTCATTTCAATAGGTGGTTATGGCAATCGGCAAATCTAACTGATTCCCTTGAATGTTCCAAATAGAATGAGGGAAGTTTTTAATTCTCTCTCTTCTTAATGCCCTAATCCAAAGTTCAACAACAATAATTGATAATATTCTATGAAAAATTGTTACAGAAGAAAATAATTTCATAAGCATTGTTAAATAATAAAGAAACTAGGTATTTTGTTAAGTAATTCATTTCAATAATTAGTTATGAAAAATATAGCTAATTCACTCTGAAAGTTTTACATACAATATGACGGTAGTTTCCAATCAGTGGCATACGTAAGGGAGGGGTTTAAACACCCCCCTTGAGCTCAGATAAAATGGCAAAAATAAAAATTTTAGTAGAAATTATGCGTGCTATTTTTTTTTAAGACTATATATTTTTAATTGCCTTATGCCTACTTTTTTTTCTCACGGCATTTCTCAGAATACTGAAAAAACATTTACTATAATAGGGTTGCACTTTTGAAACCAAATTCACGTGATACTGTTACGGACTGGTTCCTTTCTGTCCTGCCAGTATAGTTTTCGAGACTAGCTGTCATTCTCGAGGTCTTTACACGATGATTCTGGAATCCTAGACGTTCTGTCGTCTTAGAGACAATTCGGAGGTATAGAGACAATTCGTCTTAGAGACAATTCATCTTAGAGACATTTTGGAGATGCGGTGAAAAATTATATAAAAGGGGAAACAGAGTACAGTGGAGTTAGTTAGTCAGACTAAGAGTTATCTCTGGCGTTTGTCTTTCAGAGCTTGTCGTTAAATCTGTTTCGTTTTGTCTTAACAAAAAGTTCATTCAATCACCGAACCCGTCGTTGCCACTAATTCGACTAGTGAAAAAATCAGTAACAATACCATTGAAGATACTGTGCTCGTTGAAGTTATTCATTCCAGCTCGAAACTTTGAGATCCTAGCATAGCGGATATTTCTGTGCCAATATATATATATATTTACATATATTCGCTGTTCTTGGATCTATAGAATGTCAAAACGCAATAATTTAACAATTTTTAATTATTTTGAGAAAAAATCACGACCTGAAATTAATGAGGTGACAGCATCTAGTACCAATGTAAGTTTTTCTGTTGTACAGAAATGTGATACTTCCGTTGAAAAAAACGTGTCTAGCATAACAAAATCTGATGAATGTGAAAGTGGTCCTCAAAGTGTTACTTCCCACCCATTTGACATTGGACTTTTTTCAGAAGATATTACATTATGTTCCTAAACTTAAAAAATCAAATCAAACTTTAACTAAACAATGCTGTCTAAATAGAAAGTCAAAATTGTCTAGCTGTCTAAATTAGGGAAATAATAGTGCTTTATTACAGACTCGAATTTCTTTTAGTAGTTTCAGAAAATTATGAACACCCCCCTTGAAAAAATTCTGCGTACGCCACTGTTTCCAATTCTTTGTCTTTATTTAATGTCCCAATTTCGCACCAGTTAGTTGCATATTTTTTCCAGTATAGCGTAGCAAATTAAATAGTTAACTCAAATCAAGAACCAGCTTCACTACGTATGTAAAATATTAAAACATAAATCTCGAATTTAGGTAATTTATGACTATATACCAAGTAGAAAATCGCAAAAATCACTATTTGGCCCTTGGCTATCCGTAGCTTTCCTTTTACTTGTCATGATCTTTTGAAAATTCTACACAATTTTAAAATTTAATAGAGTAACCATTCAATTTTAAAAACACGAAAGTTTGTAAACAAATCAGACGATCCTGTTGCCAGACAATTCTTACTAACTTATAACATTTTGCAAACTATAATAAATTTTCGTATACAATTACTAATAATGAAAAAAAATTTATTACCTTATAATGAGACTTTTTCTTTAATGATGCACAGAAAAATTTAGAGTTAAAAAAAATTATACTACCGGAAGTTTGCAGACGTAACCGGATATGAGTTCGGAGGGCCACGCACCATCATCATAAACACTTTCGGTTTAACAGTAAATTTCAGAAATGGAGTACTTTAAAAGCGGATTAAAATCTGTTTTGGGAACTCCACAAGATTCCCAACAGCCAACAGCTGCTGAAACAGTATGTGAACTTTGATTACTTATTTATAACTAAACTATTTTCTTAACAATGCTATATGTATTCCAAAAACAAGAAACTGTTCTTTATGTTTTGAACATGTTCTCAGATTCAAAATATTATTTATGTCTTAGTGAAATTCATATCATTATGCTCTTTTTATATAATAAATTATGTATGTTATACCCTTTATTGTTTTATGAATCATTTGTAGCCGAAAATTGTCAGCGCTCGAAACTAATGTCATCTCCACCGCATAGATACATATGGCGATGGATTGCATATAAATTACAGGGAATCCTTGAAGATTTCCATATCGTGATTTGCGGCAGAACAATTACCAAGTCTTGGCTACTTACGGGTATTGGTCGGGGGAAAAAATCACAGAAGGGGACCAACTCAAAAGGGTATAACCCATAGCCACCCCCGAGCAACAATTTTCCAATCCTGCAGCACTTAACGACCAGTCACCAGTTTAGCAATTTCTTATAAGAAAAACGAAAACTTAAATCTTGACTTTGTTTTAGTTCAGACAACAAATTTTAAAAGAAATAGAAGCTTGTATTATAACTGGGATCAACTACTGCCAAGATTAAAATCTTCAAAAAGAGAGCGAGTTTTTAAATGTTGCTGGACTGTAAAATAGCCCTCAGGAAAACCTCTGCATGTTTTTGTTTAAAAAATAAATTGTGTATAAGCATAAAATCCATTTTGTGAGGATATTTCCGTATCGATTGCCGAGATGCCAAATAGATTATAAACTTGCAAATTATTTTTCAAAAAACAGGTAGTATATGTGTGCCTGGGGGTGGTTATAAGTTATACCTTTGTAGTTGGTCCCTTTCTGTGATGTTTTTTTTTTAAGATTTGGCGGTTACTCTCCCACAGATCACACTACGGAAATATCCCCAATTTGGCGCCTTGGCGGTTATTCTGCCACATTTCAGAAATATCCCCATTTTGGCGCCTTGGTAATTGCAGTTGGTTTGATAGATCGCAATACTGAAATATCCCCAGGAATCCTAAATTACCTGTTATGCATTACGCGAGTTTGCGTTGTTTAACTTTTTATACTTATTTTGTGTAAATTTTCACAATTTATATTTGTTTCGACTTATTATGGATATAGCAGCAAAAAAAATTTCTAGAGCATCCGCAATTTTTTTTTTTTTCCCGCTCATGCGTTATTCAACTCATTCTCTCATTTATGCGTTTTGAAATTAACAAATGTAAATAATTTTGTCCAAAATGAGTGGTTTCAAAAAGTTAAATGAAAGAATTTCTTCAAGAAAATTTCTGATACTCGCATACTAAATTATATTCACAAAGTACAAAAAAAACGAAATAAAAAATAGCAACATACACGATTATTTTTGTATTTTAATAAACATTTTCTTAGATCCGAAACTTGAGAAATAATTATTTTGCACCGTTGATATGGTAAATTTCTCAAAAACGACAAAATTAGGCTTTTTAAAGGAAAGAAAAGTATTTTAAACCCTTATNTTTTTTTTTTTTTTTTTAAGACTTGGCGGTTATTCTCCCCCAGATCACACTACGGAAATATCCCCAATTTGGCGCCTTGGCGGTTATTCTGTCACATTTCAGAAATATCCCCATTTTGGCGCCTTGGTAATTGTAGTTGGTTTGATAGATCGCAATACTGAAATATCCCAAGGAATCCTAAATTACCTGTTATGCATTGCGCGACTTTGCGTTGTTTAACTTTTTATACTTATTTTGTGTAAATTTCCACAATTTATATTTTTTTTGACTTATTATGAATATAGCAGCAAAAAAAAATTCTTGAGCATCCGAAATGATTTTTTTTTTCTTTTCCGCTCATTCGTTATTCAATTCATTCTCTCATTTGTGCGTTTTAAAATTAACAAATGTAAATAATTTCGTCCAAAATGAGTGGTTTAATAAAGTTAAATGAAAGAATTTCTTCGAGAAAATTTCTGATACTCGCATGCTAAATTATATTCACAAAATACAAAAAAACGAAATGAAAAATAGCAGCATACACGATTATTTTTGTATTTGAATAAACATTTTCTTGGATCCGAAACTTGAGAAATAATTATTTTGCACTCTTGATATGGTAAATTTCTCAAAAACGACAAAATTAGGCTTTTTAAAGGAAAGAAAAGTATTTTAAACCCTTATAGATTCTTTACGAAAATAGTTTGCAAAAAAACAACAGCTAATATATTTTAGTTCGTGGGCCGCCAGTTGGTAACCACTGATCTATAAGTAACAGTTGTTGGATTTTAAAATGCTATTTTGACTGAATCATTTACTGTTATTAAATGTCACAATTACTTGTATAGGTGGATAAGTTGGTAGAAAGAGTACAGACTTCAACTTTACTTGATGATCGAAGAGATGCTTGCAGAGCTTTGAAAGCTCTTTCCACTGTAAGTATTAGCATTCTTGTATATTTTAGCCATATATTAGATTTTTGCTGTTAAATTGGGAAAAAATAATTTATAATTTTTTAAAAACTATTTGACTGTTTGTTTATTTTTCAAAAATAAAAACATTTCTCAATTATTTTTTTTCTGTATTTATTTTTTATTTTGTTTACTGTAACTAATTGTTCATATGTGATTTCTTAAATTTCAGCAGTAGTATATAAGTTAAACAAGCATTTTAATTTATTAAGTTTTTTCTAATAAACTAATTTTACTAATTATTTATTCAATTTTTCAGAAATTCCGCCTTGAAATCGGAGCACAAGCAATGGATACCTTAATCCATGTATTAGAATGTGATAGAAATGATAATGAAATTTTAGGTTATGCACTCGATGCCATCGGCAATGCTATTAATCGTCCCAGGGATGACGAAAGTATGTTGCTTATGCTTATTTCCTTTTTTTTATGAAGCTTTGAAATGTTTTGAAAAAAATATACTCAATATCAGTTGTAAATTTTATCAATGTTTAAATCAGATAAAGCTAAATGTAAGGGGTAGTGTATTAATATTTATGCATAATCAAAGCTTAACTGTTATATGCATCGATTTGCACATTATTTTTATAATTTTAGGTATATTTTTAATGAAATGAAAGAAAAAGAATAATATAAGATACAATTTACTAAAAAAAAAAAACAAAAAAAGAAAATCCTTAATTGAAAACTTTTTTTAACCTTTTCAAGACTGATTTATAATATTTTACAAAGAAAGTTTTTCTTTTGGCAGCACATTGTTTTTTTTTTCCTTGTTTTTTTTTACCATTGATAATGTTACAAATAAATTTGAAAAAAAAAAAAACTCTGGAGGACTCACTTCCTGCAGTTAGGCCCTGAGACATTGATATCCCATTTGTCTTTTTCAATCACTAATGGCCCATGAAAAAAGACTACCAGACTGTAAGGAAATATTCAGAGATTTACGAAAGTCTATAATATTAGAGCGTTTAGAAGTACACTTTCACTTTGTTTACAAATAATTTATTGTGGTGCAAAGTAAATGTATGACTTATCCTTATTTCTTAAATTTCTGAGTGATTGTCCTAGCTTTTTCCCAACTTAAAAATCCAGACATTCCTGCATATTTTTAAAAATGATTTGTCCCATTTTATTCAATTGGATAGTTATAGGTAGCAAGGAAATTTCAGTACAGTTTTCCCCATGAGCTCAATACTTGAAGGGTTAAAAAAAAATTTCATTCATTTTATAGTGACTTTCTAAAAATTAAATTGTTTTTTAAACTAATGAAAAAACTGCAAATAGTTAGATTTCTTTCATACTTTGTTTCTGTTTTATATGAAATGAAATCTCATTATTTATAAACAATGCATGTGTGTTTTTATTTACAAATATTAAATTTTCTTTTTTATTAATATAGATCCTAATTATATTAATGGTGGTACTGATGAGCTTGGTATGCAGTTTACTGAAATATTCATTAAGAAACCTGAAAATGTTTCGTTACTATTGGAACTGATTGAGGTAATTATTAGTTCAACAATAATGTTGAATAATGTGTTTTTAAAACTGATTAAAATAAACTGTGCAGATCAAAAATAAAATATTTTTTATAGAACTTAACATGAAAAATTAAAATGTATATATATATTGATTTAAAGTTTTAAAAAAGACTTTAGTAATTTCTACTACAGGTTCAGAACCATTTGGTGAGGTTTTTAAACATCTAAAAGTATTTACCTAGCATTGCTAACTTTTCTTTTGCAGGCTATAAACAGTTTTAATAACTATTAATAATTTATTGATTAACCATAGATTTCACTAGTAAAATTTTGAGCAAATTAATTTTACTAGTGAAATTTATTTTTGTTATGTATGAGAAAAAATTCTTTAATTCTTCTTGTTTAATGTGTCTTTTTTTTTTTACTAGAAATTTATTTGTATATTTGTTCATCAATTTACTTTGTGTTTAATATATTTCTAGGAATTTGATTTCAAAGTGCGTTGGCCTATAGTTAGACTTTTGGCTGGTCTTTTAAGCCACAAACCAAAAGATTTACAAGAATGTATATTAGTGAGTCCACAAGGAATTTCAAGACTTATGGACTTGCTTTCAGATCCCAGAGAAATAATAAGAAATGACGTAAGTTATCATTGAATTATTTACGTTAACTTAAAGTTCCGTTTTGCTTGTTGCTTTTAGTGATTGATTTTTACAGCTAATATATATATATATATATATATTTTATTTAATTTTTTTAATGAAAAATTTCTTCTTGAGATTGGGCTTTTTAATGGAGTTTTAATACACAATTCTTTTAAAAAATTAACTATATAGTTTCAATTCACTATTAGTTAGTATGTATAATTGTTATTTGGAATTCAATTATCCCGCAGTTTTATTTTATATTTGTGCTTCCTATGTGTTGTATAGTATTCCAATGGAGTTTAAATAAAAAAAAAGACATGAAAACATTTTTATTGAGTAAATTTAGAGACTAATAACAACCTGAAATGGTATTTATATTTCTATGACTTATAATTAAGAAGCTTAATTTTATGTATTTTTCAACAATTTGAGTTATCTTACTCCAAAAGTATAGTGCAGGTTTAAATAAAATATCTGCTGTTTACAATGCTCTAATACTCTAGATGAGGTATAGATGTATCTCTATAGCATTCTAATATTCCAATCAAACATTAATGGAGAAAACTATTGATACTCTTAACTAATTAAATGTATTCTGTGTTTGTAAAAATAAGTGTGGTATTTCAGGGTTGATGTTTTATAAAAACAAGAAAAAAAAATCATATTTCCAAAAACTACTCTTCTGTGCTTTATACTACCAAGAATGCTACTTTTGGCATGTGTAATTGTCCACTGTCATTGTTGATTACTCTATTTTAAATTATGCAGTCGTAAAGAAAGAAGGAACAAAATGCTATTGGTTCTGAATTTTTTTTTTTTCAAATAGTGATTAAATAAGAAACAAATTTATTTCATAGTATTAAGGAGGTTGAAGGTATTGCTTTGTCGTAAAAGGTACAATTATATGTAACTTTACTGTGCCAACCATTTTGTTTGAACTTGTAATTTATTCCCTTTGTTTATAAAACTAAATATTAGTTTCTTCACTTATGAAATCCAACTTTGCAATTTTTTTTTTTACTTATTAAATATATTCAAAAAATTTCTTAAGTTATATTTTCCATATTCATTTGTAAAATAATTGTTTTTAATGCTTTCTTTTTCTTTTAGACATTAATTCTTCTGGAATACCTGACCAAAAGTAATGCTAACATTCAAAAAATTGTAGCTTTTGAAAATGGATTTGACAAGCTTCTCCGTATTATATCAGAAGAAGGCTACAGTGATGGAGGTAAAGCATCCAGTAGCATTTCTGAATTTAAATGTTATCTAGCTAATAAAAATTGAATTTTACTTTCTGCTCTTTAATTCTGTTGACAAATTTTTTTATATAAGTTTCCATTGTTTAATAACTGTATTTTTTAATTATGTATATCAGAAAAATGTATTGCATTATATTTCGATTTTATTATTGTTCTTCCGTAATTCATGCATGCTTTTCAAAATTATAGTTTTATTAACAGCATCTGAAAATTGAAATTAATTATTGTGAAATATAAAACAAATAAGTAATCAAAATTATTTGAACCAAAAAAATTCTTGATTGCTGATCATAATATCTGTCAAATAATGAAAGAAGAAAAAAAGGAAAACTGTTTCCCTAGTCTTTCAATCTTCATTTATAAAAATCAGTTGAATCTTAATATAAACTTCTCAAAATGATCTGTGAGAATGATAAAAAGATAAATACTTCAAGCAAAATAAGGCATGGTATTTGAGAAAACATGTTCCTTTACATTCACATAAAATTATTTCTGTTAACACCTCTGAATGAAAGAAAACTTTCTATTCATATTTAAAGTATAAAAGGAATGTTTTCTGTTGTAATGTTAATGTTTGTAAATACGTAGTAATGTTAACATTTAAAATGAGAAAATTGGTGAAGTGATAACCAACAGTAACACTGACTCAGTAGATCTCTTTCATTTCGCTACTGAGTGGTGTAATGTAAATGGTCTTTTGGTGCACCCTCGACAACACCAAATCTGCTAAAAACTTCACCATTCTCTTGAGACACATCTACACCATATTGGATTCGTTTTTTTTTATTTGAAATGCAGTCCATATTGATAATGCTGTCAGGAATGTAATGAACATGTACATGAACCAGGGACATGAATGAATGGCGAGCATCTCTGAAACTGTTCTGTCCTCCAAGAGGCCTGCACTTCCTTTATTTTAAAATGTTCTCCACTTGAGATATCTCTTTTGTGTATTGGACTGCAAGACATATGATGCTAATAAAGCAAATATGAGAACATAATTTAAAAATAAATCTCTACTTAAATGGTAAAATAATCAATCTGTGGTGTGCAAAGATAGGTAACGCTGGGGGAAAACTCCTTAAATGAATATTGCTGAAGAAAAGAGTATAATCAGTAGAGCAAACAAAAGAAACTTTCAAAAGTAATAATAAAAAAAAACATTGGAAAATATATATTTATCGAAATCAATATTTTGAGTTAAATTTTCATCTAAATATAAGCTGAAATTATTCTGTGGGAGAAAAAATATTTTCATCTAAATGTTTTGAAATTTTTGGGCATTAAACATTTTAATGCCCTAAAATTTCTTTATTCACTTTGCTAAGAAATTCTATTATTTTCCTTGTTAAATCATAAATAAATAAAAAATACTAGTAATAAATTCATACCTGCCAGCTTTTACGCATTTGGCGTAAAATTTTATTTCTATATTAAAAGTGGTAGTAAAATGTATTCTTTCTAAGTATTCTTTCCATTTATAAACTTAATACAGTGGGTGATCGGTTAACGAACATAATCCGTTCCAAGACTATGTTCGCTATCCGAATTGTTCGTTAACTGATCATCGATTTACCATAGACTTCTATGTGAAATCGATTAATTCGTTCTGGAGACCCTAAAAATTAAATTTTAAAAAATGTATAATTTCTTAATAAGTTTTTAAAAAAATTATACATACATATAGTCTTGCATATTAATCAATCCATTTCATTTTATGCTTATGGGGCGGTCCAATGTCGATTGCTTTTCTCTCTTTTTTAGGATTTTTCCGGAAGTAACTAATAGCATTGTCGTTGTAAAGATCCCCAAACCTATTGACATCAGCTTGGTTTGGGTGCCATTCTAAGACCATTGCTCTGACATCCTCCCACTTTTTCAAAATATCTTTAATGGCAGATGTCGGCATTGGTCCTCTTTCATCATTAGTACATCAAGAGTAGGAGACACATTTCGCTGTGTTTCTTGGTGTTCTTCATTCAAAATTTCTTGGAGTTCTTCTGTCGTTAGTTCATCTTCTTTAAACATTTCTCCTTTCAGTGATCTTATTTCGTATGCAAAATGATCACAAATGTTTAATATAAATTTTTTTCAGGCCGAGAAGTGTTCGTTAGAATTCGTTTTGTTCATTAACCGAATATGTTTTCGTTGTCCGAACACAAAAAATCTTTCTTGAAATTGTTCGTTATCCGAATATGTGTTCGTTATCCGAACACAAAAATCTTTCGTGAAAGTGTTCCTTAACCGATTTGTTCGTTAACCGATCAGTTCGTTAACCGATCACCCACTGTATAAAATCTTTTTGACCACCACTATTTTAAAAAATTTAAGCATATACATTGCTGTAAATTCTGTCGTGTTTGTCCACATAAGCTTTATCCAAAAACAGCATATGTTTCTGCCTAGAATTGTAATTTAAATTCTAATTTACTACCACTGGGGAAAACAATCCTCAAAAGGATTAAAAGTTGGCAGGTATGTAAATTTGTCGTTTTTATGTCTTTCTATTTGGTTGATTATCTGTCCCTTTGCTGGATAAATAATGAAGTAATTCTTCCCTTGGTCATCTTCTCTGCTCACCGCTGTAATTAATACTATGAAAAATGTATGAAATATTTTTCAGAAACACCAACTATTATTAATATAGTGTTGTAAATCTAATTTTTCATTAAAAAAATTTTTTAAACTTATTGGTGTAAAAATAAATTTTCACCTCAAAAAAATATTTCATATTTAGGAAGCAAGTAATACTTACAAGCATTTTGGAATAGAAAATCAGATTAAAATAACAGTTCTCATTTATATATTAAGCATCAACAATTTACTCTAAAAAACCTTTGTAATTTAACCTAAAAAATTTGAAAGATATTTTTCACATTTTCGTAAGCATAACTTGTTTGTTGTTTCAGGTGTTATAGTTGGAGATTGTTTACGGGTAATGTTAACATTACTTAAAAACAATACTTCAAACCAAACTTTTTTCAAAGAAGGCACTTATATTAAGCACATAGCTCCTTTTTTCGACCTTCAAGACCCAACAGAGCAGGGCATGAATCCACAGAAAGTAGATAATACCCTCATGATGCTACAAGTATAATTTTTACTGTTATGTATCTTTTCTTTTTAATTCACATCTGATTTACAAAATAGTAAATAAAGTATTTTTCTATTTTAGATTGTTCGAACCTTGGTTTCACCAAATAATCCTCAACAAGTTACTGTGGCTGCTCAAAAAGCAATGTTTCAATGTGGTGAGCTTCTATATTATGCATATGAGTTTAGTCGATTCCTAGCCTTCTCAATTGTTTAGCTTACAATTACATTTAATTATTCCTAGATTAAAACTGTTTTTTTTTCCTTCAAGATATAGTGAAACATCTCGGCAGCGAACACTCTGTTCCACAGTAAAATGGTCGTTAATGGAGGTTGATCATTCTTAGGAGTTACCTCCATTGACTTCAAAATTTTATCGAGAGTACACAATTTTTCACGAGAGATTTTTATTTTACTCAGTGTCATTTTCTTGTTGCAGAAACTGCTTTGATATCATGAAAACCAGATCAATGAATAAAATTTAGATTCAATAAAAATGACCTTTACTGATTTAATTATATGTAAAAATTTATCAATGATGAATGATAACACTATTTTAAATAAATGAACAATTATGTTTTTTGTTTGACTTTGCATTTAATTTTATATAATAACATGCTGCCATATTTAACCTTTTCTGCATTTAGTGTGGATGTTCGGTCGGTCGCTGAGGGCAGTTTCGATGGTCTGTCTTTAAGATTTTCTTCAACATAGAGTCGATAGAAAACATTCTGTGCCTTCTAAAAGTGGTCAGAAATAGAATGGTCGCTGCACAGAGATAGTCTTTCTTGGAGGTTTCACTGTATCAAATTGCAAACAAATAATGGCAGTTGCTGTCATGTGACGAGGGGAGCATTTCAATCATAATTTGTTTGCAATTTCATATTTTGTAAAAAAAATTTAAAAAGTTATTGTGTACTCTTGGTTTATCTAAATGCAAACTTGGTTCATCTGATTTCAAATTACTAATGCTGTTAAAAAATAATTTTACATGAAGGGTTTTTCATATGCTTAGCATCCTGATAAGATTTTACTTATATATTTTAAAGATATAAAACATCTTTTCGATTGATATGATCCTCATTTTTAAGATATTTTATCAATTTTTAGAGATAATATTGAAATTAATAATCTACGATTATTTTTTTAAAAAAACTACTAAATCTGGCATCGTAATAAATTTTCATTGTGTTGTACTGATAAAATTTCAAAAATTTTATTATGGCTGATTGTATTGTAAAAAACTTAAATATTTAAGCCAGTATATAGCAATTAAATTAAAAAAAGGGATTTTAAAAATTCTTATTTGAATTTGTTTATTAATTGATATAAATAAATATGTGTTAAGAAAAATCATGGAAAAAAAAGGAAAGAATAAAATAATTTTTAGAAAATTTTGAAAGTAGAATTTGTATTTGTTTAAAATTCTAAATCACTAATTTGATGCCATTATATAAAAGCTTAATTGCTACTAATTTTAATGAATTAATAAAATATCCATAACTTATTATAATTTATGTATTACTGTACAGTATATAAATCTAGTTTAATTATCTAAAACTGTAGGCCATTTTGGTTAATGGTTTGCTCCTTCCTGAAAGAAAAAAAAGCAACTTTTTTCTTGGTTGTGTGCTGTGTATGTTTAGTTATAAACCATAGTGATTTCAAGTGTAATAATAAATGCCATTGTGCAAAAACAATTAATATCGATTACTTTCATCAAATCAATATTATGTCCTTTGCAGAAAAACTTATTTTCTTACTCATTTTGATATTTTTACAAGAAATTTAAAAAGCAAAGTATCTAATATTTAAAAATCTTGAAATTAGATTTCTAAATTTGTTATTCACTTTAAACTTCATTCTAACTTTGTTATTTACGAAGGTCTTTTGGAGCAACTCTGTTCTATCTTAATGGCATCTGGAGTTCCAGCTGATGTTTTAACAGAAGTAAGACATTTTTCTGATTTTTTATTTTTCTAAAACTCTGACTTATAAAAGTTATTGAGAGGGCTCATTTTAAAATAGATCTTTATGAAGAAAACAAGATACTACTTGAAATGAATAATGCCAAGAAACTGAAAGATATAGTTGATAATATAATAACTTCTAGTTTCATAAATTATAAAGATGATAAAGTACATTTATAATTTATGAACCAAATGAAGTTTTTATATTAAGGTATCGCTTTCTTTACAAGATTTTCAAACAATAGTTATCTTTACATTATGAAATAATAACATCATGGTTTTTTGTCATGTTACTAGCATATAAAAAACTTACATTAAGTACATCTAGTCATGTTACTCTACAAAATAAAGACATTTTGCATTTGAATTATAAATGTTTTTAAAAAGTGCAGTTAAAATAAATTTCTACTTGATACAATGAACAAACAATTGTTTAACCTTTTGGAGAGGGCTCGTAAAACAGTTGCAACTTAGCCAGGTGTGTACAATTGTACCCCTTTTTTTGTTATAAGGATATTAATTAATAATATATAAATTTTTTGTATTACTATCTTTGTTTTGTCTTCATAATATATCTCTCAACATTACATGTCTCTTATGTTGCAAATATTTGTATGACAAAATAAAAAAAAGACTTGGAGTACAACTGTTGTACCAGTCATCTCCAATGAAATTGCACTGTGGAACATTTATTTCTACAAGATGGATTCATCAGATTAAATTTTTTTAAAAGTACATTTAAATTTAAGCAATAAAAATTATTCTCTTTCAATGACAGTTTAACATAATCTGCATTTTCTTGACATCTTGGAGAAAAGACCAGAATTTTATCACATGCTAATATCACTCTAATATAGTCAAAATTATCTTATTAGATTTAAATATACATTGATTTTAAAAATTTTGTGATAAGTTACTTATTATTTTTTATACATTTTTATCTGTTGTGATTTCTTTAGTGTTTTACGTACATTACTAATGAAAGTTCTTGTATTTTGATAACTGAAATTTTTAAGCAAAATTACTTTTTCATTTTTTAAAATAGACCATCAATACTGTGGCAGAATTGATACGTGGTAATCATGGCAATCAAGAGTATTTCTCATCAGTGAATGCCCCAACAACTCCACCCAAGTAATTCAATTATGTAGCACTCTTTAACATAAACGTAGCATGAAAGGGGGGAGGGCACATGTTTTTTTAATAGTTAAAGTGTTAGGCGATATATTATGCAATTAATGATTATGGGGTCGATATATATATATATATTCCTTTTTAATATTTCTATTTATTTGGTACAAATCTTTCAAACTGGTGTCAAATTTTCAAAAAATTAAGGTAAATAAAAAAAATCAAATATATTATATTGAAAGAAAAGATTACTTTTCATTAAAAAATAATTTGTAATTAAAACATTTCTTATGAAATGAAATTAATTAGTTAATAATAAAAATCTTAATCATAGATACCCTCTCAAGTTTCTTCTAAAAATATATGCTTCTAAACATGCTTTAAGTTGTTTACTGCTAATGAAACAAAAATAAATTTAATCATAGAATTATTTTGTTGAATAATATATCTACTACAAATTTTTTTTAAAAATTTTTATCGTTATTTGTTTTAAGTGGTAGCTTTTTGAAGTTTCAAAAATAAATAACTATGAAGAAGTTTTGGAAAGTTATTAAGGAGGTTTGTGCTCTTTCAATGCTTCACCTATGCTCTTGAATATTAAAATTTCTTCCATCCAATTTTATGTGTGTTTTTATTTATTTTATTCTGCAAATAGTCTTTTCAAATATTTTAATGCTGAAAGCAAACTTGAATTGATTAAGCAAACTTGCTTTTGCAAATTGTAAACCTATAAGTTTTTTGCCATTTTCTTTGCGTTAGCTTATGCTGGCAAGGGGAGGAAAAGCATTTTGAAGGGTTTCAAAGTTTTATAAAATAAATTTTTTAATGAAAATTTCGTTTTATGCCAAGTTACATCTTTTGTTTGAATTTAATCTTAAAACTAGTCAAAGTTAAAGCAAAAAATAAGAGGATGTCACTTTCTAAAGTAAGCATGGGATGTTTTTGCTGACAAGGGGTCTAGCAAAACGTAACAAAAACATCCTTATATATTTGAATGGCACTTAAAAAGAAGGGGGGGGGAATCTGAAGCTGTGAACTATTAATATTATTGCTGTGAACTATTAATTCTCTTACTATTTACTTGTGTTTCTTTTACTAAAAGCATTAAACATTTTTCTCTTTATAGATCTGCCATTGTAGTGCTTCTTTTGTCAATGGGAAATGATAAACAGCCTTTTGCTCTGCGTTGTTCTGTTTTATACTGTTTTCAATGCTTTTTGTATAGAAATGAATTTGGCCAAGCTCAAATTGTTCAAACATTGTTGCCTTCTACTGCTGATGGTATGTGAATAGTTTTTGTGCTTTAGGTTTTTAATAATATTCCTAGGTTTTATTTTGTACAGTTAAATATATCGTATCACAATTCATTCTAAAGAAATGTGTGTGAAAAATCTGAAGCAGTTTGATAGCATAGTTAGTTAGGGCACCATTCACACTTCTTGTAGGGAGTAAGATAAAAGATAGAAGTGAAAAGATAGTCCAGAAAAATGAGATCAAGTATTTGCCCATAATTTGATGTATAATGTAGTTTTCATACTTTTTAACTGTTTACCCATTAAAAAAAATTACATTATTTTGCTAAAATAATGGTGCTGCCAGTACCTTATCAGATTTGTCTTTGATTATTCTGTGAAGAGGCTGAAATGAAAAAGTATATGGAAAAACCCTCTAAAATTATTGATTTAGTGAAACATAGAATATTTAAAAAGTTCTTCCAAAACTGATTAATCCTATTTCTAAAGAATCATATATTTGAGACCTCATTTTGTACCAAAATAATCAATGAATACTTTAAGTTAAATTTATTTTGTGTTCAATGATATCTATTTCTCAAATATTTTTTATGAAATAAATGTTCTTATTTTTTATTTAATTATTATGGATTTTCTAAAAATATTTAATTTCTTTACTAATTACAATCTTCATCACATTCATTTAAGTGAATATGTGAATTTTTTTTAAATTGTTTTTTTACGATTTTTGTTTAGAACAATCCACCCCTTTGATTATTCATCGCCTATTAAAATTAAAAATAATCAACAATGTGAGAGATAATTCAATTTTGTAGAAAGATTTATTATTACATTTTTTTATGATCTAATATTTTCTGCAGATATATAATGTTTTGCTGTGTTGCTACTTTCAGATTAATTGATTATGTTTAAATTTTCCAAAAATTACTGCTAATGCAAAATTTATTTTTTTAAAAATAAAGATTTTTTATAAATACTCTATTGTAGATTTTTTAAAAGAAACACTTATTTAAGTAAAGTATTCAAATTCATCAATCACTTTACTAATAATATATGTCACCTGTATTTAAATAAATGGGTGAATTTTAAATTTCATCTAGTTTTCATCATTTTAAATTTCATCTTATCATTATTTTAGTAAATACAGTTACTGTTGGCCAAATTCTGTGTGGTAGCTTATTTAGTACTGATGCAATATCTAATTGGTTTGCTGCTGTTGCCTTGTCTCATTCTCTTGTGGACAATCCCACTCAGAAAGAACAGCTATTACGAGTTCAGTTGGCAACTAGTATGGGAAATCCTGCAGTTTCTCTTATGAATCAATGTGTTTTGATGTTGCAACAAGTAAGTGCAATGCAATTATTATTAATAATCTAGCTTTATATATTTCTTTTTTTTGTAACGTTATGTATTTTTACTGTATTTCCTTTTTAATTTCAAGCATTAATAAAGCTTTTTGTTAAAATTCTTACCACATATTACTTTCTAATTGTAAAAACACTAGCTATGTTTCACAATGCATTCTTTTAATTTTTTTAGGGAGGTAAACTTCAGACCCGATTAGGACTTCTTATGCTAATGAGTACTTGGTTAGCCAATTGTACTGTATCTGTCATGCAGTTCCTAAGTATTCCTACTAATATACCATTTGTATCCTTTTTTGTTCTTGTATTATTGATTAAATTCATGTAAACAGTGTTGTTATATATATATTGTCTTAAACTTTTTTTCCTTAAAAGACTGTATAAAATTGAAACATTTATTTATTTAGGTTTACTATATTTATTAAAGATTTCTATTTAAATCTAAGTACTCTGTGCCAACAGAAAAAAAAAATTTCATCTCTAAATCCTACAATCTCGTATAATCAGCATATCATTTAATTTTTATTCAATGTTTAGAAAGAGTCCTAAAACCATAAAATTCTTTACTTCTCAGCTGACAAGCTAGTATCTATCAATATGAAACTGAGTGAACTTCAACTGAGGATCAAACAATACAGCTCAATACCTACCACGGAGACATTACCATACACTGCAGATTAGTTACATACAATACACATAAAATCAGAACTAGTGATCAGTATTTGTGTATGCTGTATAGTTAGCCCCTTCTGTAGCTCAGCTTAAACAATTTAATTAATGAAACAGAATGCTTATTATTCCTTTTTTTGCTTGAACTAAATAAAAAGAGATTAAATTTACCTTTTTAAGAAATTGCCTATACCATAACTGTTTATGCATTTGTTTATTTAGACACTTAATGTTATTTAATGAAATACTTGGTATGTAATTTAAAAGTTCATTAACTCTGTTAAGCTTACTTCCCAAGTTAATCTTACTGAAGGAGATGAACATGAAGACTTGGTTCAAGGAATATGTGCTTTTCTTTTAGGCATATGCATTGAATTTAATGATAATTCACAACCTAGTTTTACAAAGTGAGTAAACACTTGGAAGTCTTCCCAACAATTTAAGATTTTATGCACTTGTTTATCACTGTTGAAATTATTTAATTACTATCATTTCAGAGATGATTTGTGCCAATTAATTATAAAACGCATTGGTCTTGAAACATTTTTGGATAAACTTGTTGCAATAACTAAGAATGAAAATTACAGTAGAGCTGCTCAGAATCCTCATCTTAAATTCAAACAACCTTCAGAAGTATTATTTGATTATGAATTTTGTCGACTTTTCAAGTGCTTAGAAGGTAAATTAAATTTCAATAGAAATTTTTTTATATTGTTTATATCATCAGCCACAAAATTTTGTCTTCTGTTAAGTATCAAACAATCACGTTAAGCAATCAAGGGGGTTAAATAATATTAAAGGTTGGCATTTCATAAAAAGTCAAAATTTCTTTAATGATTATTTTATGTCAAAATAGTATTGTATTTCTTTTTGCCAATTGGAGACTTAACAAATATACAATTATTTAACCACTTCCCAGTTTTGACCGAACACCACTCGGGTACTTGAAAAGGGGCCTTCCCTGTTTTGCCTGAGCGCCGCTCGTGCGGCTGATTTTTTTTACTCCATTGCAATGATTTGCCTGAATTTTTTTTTCTTCAGTTTATAATGTTTCTAACAGATGGCTCTGGTAGTCAAGTATAGGTATGATTGCAAAAGGTTTTGATGCTTTTCTTTTACTCTGGAAAAGGCGTGAATTTTGTTTTCACTAGCTTAGTAGAAAAGCCAACTTTAAGTAAAAATGCAAATTGTTTTTTCTCTAAATAAAAATTCAAATTATTTCATAAAATCAATAATTGTAATAGTTTTGACTCTTGATTTGAGTTTATATAATCGATTATAACAGAAATTTGTTTCTCAAAAATATGCTTATTTTTTTACCCAATTTGCCAGAAAAAAGACGCTGTTAAGCAGTTAAAGTAATTTTTTTAAATAATAAATAGATATAAGATTTATTTTAAATAATTTCAGTACAATCACTTACTTTTATTTTGAAACAGAGTAAAAAAAAAAAAAACTTAACTTTTTTTAAAAACTTATTGATGACAGTGTTGTTTCTTTACTGGATATGAGAAAAAGGTTTTTACTTTTTATATTGAGTCTTAACAATCAGGTTGGAATAAATTGATACACATGTTTCATTTGTTCAAAAATCAAAAAAAATTTAACCAGGTTTATGTTATAAGCTTAATTTTTAGGATATTTTGAAATGTTGATGATGTGTAAAATACATTCATTCTCTGTTATTTTACTTTAAATTTTGATCGATTTTTTTATCATTATAATACTATGATTTTATGTATTTTCAATGAAAAAAGTAATATGCATTCTTTTTGTGTGTGTGTTTTATAAGACAATTTGAAATTTAAATGTACTAAAAATATATTTTATCTCATCTAAAACCTAATTTTGATTAAGTTTTTAGTGGCAAGTGTCTTGCCTTTTCCTGTAGTTTTATTTTTAAGGTTTGTGATTAATTTGTCGTTGAATGTTAAAATTGCTTTGCAATTCATTTGAAAGTATAACCATTCCAAATAATTTTAGCTTTATGTTTTATCAGTGTTCTCCCTAAGTGCGTTTTTAGAAGGGCGTGCCTGTCTTGCTCCCTTTTATCTCTATAAATGCGCGCTTCTTGCCCCTTTTCATAAAAATAAGCCACCATCCCTTAGAAACACTTCCTTTTTATTTTATTTTTCCACGAAAATGTTTTTCTGTTATTTTGAGACAAAGTGAAAATTACTTTGTGAATATATAGATAAAATAGTATAAGGGGACGGTTTAAGCATTGAGGATCAAATTCAGTTATTACACATTTTGATAAATTTTAATGATGGTTAGTAAGTGCCCTTCCTGAGCCCAAAGTGTCCTTTTCTATGAGGAAGCAACCTTCCCTTTTTTATTCCTAGGGAAAACTCTTTAGATTTTTTTTTGTCAAGTTATACATTTATTTTTATTTCATGAATTTTTTTTTACAAAATGAAAAATCTTTTGCTATTACTATTAAATGTGTAATTTAAATAAACTTAAGTTGTTATCATTCCATTTAATTCTGCTTAAAAGTTTTATTAATCATTTATTTTATTTTCATGCATTTTTTTTATCTTCATTGAAAAGTTCATAAAATTATATTGAATTAAAACATTTAAGAAGTTATTCTCATATTTTTTTTCTTTAATAGGTGTTATAATTAAAGCTGTTCAACCAAAGCCAAAATTGTTGAATGGACCTGAGTCTTCTATGTCTCCTGAACAGCAAGAACTTCTAAGACAGTACAAAGATGTCATTAGGGATCAGGTATTTTATTATGGATTTTGTCTTCTGTTTTTACTTTATTAATAGTTTTCTCAAATTTGCCTTAAATTCAGTTTTTTTTTCTTGGGAGAAAATCTTATGAAATAATTATATAAATTTATGTATCCTACTTTATCTAATCGTCTTCTAACTTAAATATTAATGTTTATGCCTTAATTTATGATATATTATTTTCTCAAATATATAGTTTTCTCAAATTTGAACAATTTAAATTTATGCTATTCTTGGAAGAAAATCTTATGAAATAATTATATAAATTATGTATCTAATCCTTTTTCTAACTTAAATATTAATGTTTACTATTATATTCTTTTATGTAGGATCAACAGCTGCATGACCTGAAAAGTCAAATGACTGAATTGAAATCTGAGTATGAAGCTGTTAAAAATAATGCAGAAGAAATGGCTAACTCTATCCAACAACTGAAAGACCAAAATGCCTTACTAAAAGCTCAAAGATGTAAGTTTCAATTTCTGTTCCATTTAAACTATTTTTTTGTACTTCTCAAATTTATATAAATAGATAATTACATAAGGGCAGTGAAATCATGTAATTGCAAACATAATTTTTGAATTTATTTTCTGAAAAAATAGATTTAAAAATAGCTTAGTGAGTTTTTAATAATAATTTATAAATTTACATTTATTTATGATTAACTGAAAACTTAGTTTTCTTTATTTTAAAATAAAATTTTTATCTTAGACATAAATGTTATAGGAACTTTTGATTTTTATAAATTTAACTTTTAGTGTACAATCATTCTTGTCTTGCAGCTGTTTCAGGAAACAATTCTAGTCAGGAGGTTTTGCTGTTAAAACAAGAAATAGAACAACTAAAGATGGAATGTGTTAAAAAACAAGAACAGCTGGATTCTAAAAATGATGACTTTTTCCTAAAAGTAAGAATGAGATTTTTAAACAAATGTCAGTTAACCTATTTATTTAAGTAATTAATGTTCTATTTTGAAAATTTTACTGTATTGTTAACAATTTTAAAAACTATATATTAATTTTAGTTATGTTTAGTTTGTTTTCCGACAAACAAAACAATTTGGTACTTCGCATTTTCTCCCATGCAAGTAAATTCAAATACTTTATTTATTTAATTTTTTTTTCATTACTGACTTTATTGCCTGTGCCGGCAAAATGCATAAGCATCAACAATTTTATTACTAAAATATTTAATCAGAAAAAAGTTTCTTCTTAGAAGTTTGCCAAAAAAGTTTGTTCTTTTACAAATAAAAATTAAATTCATCAATGAATTTATTAACTTTCATATTGTTTCCATTTGTCCAATATTTTTTGCTGCTTTGGGGGCTGATATTCCTATTTAGTATTATTCAACTTTTATTTTATGAAAGAAATTCAGATAATTGAAGTTTTACTGTTTATGCTACGATAAAAAAGGAATTTTCTAATTTCTCTTCAATAATAAAGATTTAGAATTTGAAATTTTGGAATTATTGCATCATTAACGAAAGAAAATTTGTTCACTATATAGTTGTCCAAAGAATCATCTGGGGGTTTTGCTTAGTGATCAAATGCTGGCTTATAATGCCCGGCTCAAACTTGTCTTCTGTAAATTTATTTCACTAAGTCCACTAAAATGGCGGACTAGAAGAAAAACTGGTTTGTGTTTCTCGTTTGACGTCATAATCAACTGTTGCTCATAGTCTCAGACAAATTTTTTTTCCAATTTTGTATAACCTAATTATATAGAATCTGCAGAAATCTGTGGATTAACAAACTTTTAAATAAATGGAAGTAAATTGTACCTGCCACGTGTAAAAAATATGTATGGACAAGACATAAATTGCCTGAATTTAATAATCTCTGTTTAACAAAAAAAAAAAATTATTTCCTTGCCCGTTGACAGATATTTTGCTTTTGAAAATGATTACTTTTTTTAGTTAGCTATCTTCTGTAAACTGTTGTATTATTCAACTTTTAATATGTTTAAAAATAATGCAATCAAAAACTTAATGTAATGCATTTATAGAAATTTTTCATAATATTGAAAGTCCTGCACATTTTTATTCAAATCTATTGTAGCAATAACTAATCCTTAAAAAAATGCAGATTTACCACTGACTAAAACTATTAGTTGAGCTGCAGTAAACCTATTTAATTCTTATATTCTTAATGGCATACATTAAGAGTATCTAAAACTGAGTTTTAATTGCTTCATTTAATATTTTTGTTTCTTTTAAAATTTCAGTCTACTGTTGAATCTTCAGAAGTTGGAGAAGCTGGTGATAAAGCACAAACTAACCAATCAAGTTTAGAACTTGAAAGTATTATTAAACAACATGAAAGTGAAATTGCATCTAAAAATGTGGAAATAGAACATTTAAGATCAGAATTGACTCAACAGCAAGAAAAAATTAAAGCTGCTCTAGAAACCGAAGAGTCAGTAAAGGTAAATATTTACAGTGTTTTTAAGTTACGTAAATTTTACTTGATGAGCTATATTTTAATGATTTATAAATGATTTTGAAATGGAAAAATGAATTTGTAATTACAAATGCATGATTTTGCCAAATACTAACTATAAACTTGCTTGCATATTTTACTCTATATAAATAGCTAATTTGATGAAAATAACCTTGCAAAACAAACAATCATAAAATTTTATTTTTAATTATTCCTGACAATACAACTATAGGTTATCAAATATGTATCAAAATTTTCAACTAAAAAAGTAATGGAATTGTACACCTCAGATTAAAAATTTATAACCCACATTTTAGCTGAGAAATAGACAAGCATGTATTTTTATGATATATATTTACTTTTACATATTTTAAATTGAAAAACTAATGTTGTTGTTAACTATTACGAAATTATACTGAAATGAAACCTCTTCTTGGATATGTTGTTTACATTACAGTGTGGGAAACTTTTATAGGATGTAGATTATCTCCTCTAAATTTTAATTATTTTAAAGTTGAATGCGTTTATTGAATGTATTTATATCTCTTTTCCTAAATAATATTGACTCTCTTTTAATCATTTAATTGAATGCTTTAAACTAATATTGATGTTTTGTTATTTAACATAATGTTTGTAAAATAAAGGCAGAATTTTTTTTCTATTTAATTGTGATTATTTAATGTGATATCAGCTTTATTAAATAATATTTAAATTTTTTAACCTAAACTCATTAGCACTGAATTGTGTGTGTATCAAGTGATTATTTGTCGTTAAAAAAAATAAGATGGGAAGAAGAAAAACTGGATCATCTTTAACCCTTTTGCGCCGACTGTTTCGTATGTGTGCCAGCATGAAAGGACCTCATCTACCGGACGTCACGGCAGTATGCCAGAATAATTTCGCATATTTGTGTTCTGGAGTGTTTTAAGAATTATAATTTTTATGGCACAAGATGGCATTGTATCTCCATAGAATTTGCACATGGAGACATATATGCACATTGTTTTAGATTATATGAACGTAAGGAAAATTAGGGGAAAGAAATTATTCCTNTAAACCAGGTAGTTTTTCAAGTAATAATTGTCTCTTATGTGAACTGAGGAAAAATATAATTTCCAGCTTTATTTTTTCAATTGGTAATTTTTATTTTCACTAAATGTTAGGTATCAATGTTGTCGTTTTTATAATAGATTAGTACGCATTTGTATGTCAACACATTATTTATTACCTTAAACTGTCTGGAATTTATTATTAAAGGGCTGCGCTTGCGTAAAATTTACAATCGTGGAAATTCAGCTTTTTTGCCTTTTGGCTAATCTCATCCCTGATATGAATAATGCAGTTTGCGAAGAATTTGAAACCAAAAGCTACATGAATGATCATATTTCCTAACTGGTTTTATTGTTTCCTAATTGATTGATAGAATAGTGAAAAAGCTTTTACAATGATTAATTTTATTCTTTAGGTTGAAGATGATGATGACTCTATAAATGACGAATCTGATGAATTAATAGATGATTATTTGAGTGAAATAAAAGATGAACTTGAAGATGGAAGAACTGGTGCTGATTTAGAAAAGCTCGATTAAAAATTTTTAACCAAATCACTCATAATCATTTGTGGATGAAATCTTTAAAAGTACTGTTTCAGATATTTTTTTTTTATTATTATTACCTGCAGAGAATAATTATATACCGTTGGATGACATTTTTAAAGTTTTTATAAATAGCGTCCCATTATGTCAAAAATAGAATAGTACAACTTAACTCTTTTATTGATGATTTTTCCTGCATTTTACTGTTCTTAATATAAATTTGTTTCTTTTTTTTAATGCTTTTTTGGTGTGGTTATTTTTTATTAGAAAGTCAAATAGTCATACTATTATTTAAAAGCTAAAACCCTCAACAGTCGGATATGAAATCCAATTATGACCATCAAGTATAATTATATTGTAATTAGTTATACTTAAATGAAGTTGTATGTACAACCATGAAAGTAATTATAAAAAAAATTTCTAAGTATCCAGTAAGTAACAGTGTCCTGCTACTTATATGGCAGCTTTGGTGCATTAAGGGTTAAACCTTTCAAAGTATCTCTTTTAATTGAATTGTTCATTTATTTCAGACTTACAATTTTTTTACATTATTTATATGAAGTAGTTCAACAGTCACATACTGAATTCGATATAGAATATTATATATACAGTAAATAATCTTAATTTTATGAAATTTTGAACATGTATATTTATGGAGACTTTTCATAGCAAAAATTAACTTATATGTCTGTTTTTCTAATGTTTATTAAATAAACTTTGAAAAACGTGTTAATATATTTCTGATATATAGAGGCAATTATAATTTTATGACAGATTTTTATTTGATCTGACTTGACTTTACATTTCATAGTATCATCCATTTTTTATTTAACATTATTTCTTGTACGGAAAAGTTTAAACATTATTGAAACAAATATTTCCTTTTAAGTGTCAAACATTAAACCTATTTATTATGAAGCATATTTTAAGTGAAAGAAAAAATATTTGTTACAAATTTGGAGATTGCATTGATGAGTATATTTAATTTTTTTTATTCAAGAAAAAATCTTATATTGTTTGAAATTTCTAACCATTGCTTGTTATTTAATATAGTTAATTTATTTTTCTACTACTCACACTTACTGTTATAAGTCATTTGCATTTATGAAATTAATAAATATTCAGTTTTGTTTGAATTATTTGTTGGTTGTATTAAATCTCAGTCACTAAAGTATTACCTAAGTGGCTGCCCATAAACTATAGATCTCAAATCATTGCACTTTTGTAACTTGAAATATTTTTTTCAAGTGTATTGTATATTTTATAATTGTACAGAAAAATAAATAAATTTATGTTTTTCAAAAAAAGAAAGAGTTTTAATGAAATATATCTTTCATGAAATATCCATTAGAATTTTAATTTGTCATATGAGGATTAATCAAGTAATGAATGACTTTGAATTTTTGTAATAAATTTAGGAAAATTGCATCTAAATATTTATAGGGTATTTCGTAATGACTGCCTTTAATTTATATTTTTAGAATACATAGTTTGCATTCTATAACTTTGCTTGTACATACTTGTAATTAAATTCAAAATTACTTACTTGTCAAAATTGAAGTTGAAAAGTGTGCACCTTAGGGCTTCCAAAGTAATATTTAAGTAAGAGAGAAACAAAAAATTATTGCTAACAAATGAATCACTGCTGAGGAAGGTAGGACTGAAACACCAAAACCAGTTTGATTTCTGGGGAAAATATTGCAATTGAAAGGTGAATTTTTGAACTGGTAATTAAACTGGTTTTTATGTTTTCAGTCCCTCCGTGGAAGTGATTCATTAGACTTTAAAAGCATTTTTTTTTACTCCCTTATACATTAATTTGTTTCTTTTTTTGCTTTGTTTTTGACAAAGATTCTAAAAATATTTATTAAATGGGCTGATTACTTACTGCCCTGCATTTTTTCACCACAAGTATGCAAAAGTTAATATACAAATGGTAGTATCTGTATCTTTCATTCTGTAATGAATGTTGATTTTATTTAGTTCATTTAAAGCAGCCTATAATTTTTTTACATTATTCTTTTAATATTATAATATTCAATCTTGCTTTTCAAAATAACTTCAATTCCAGTAGCCTTTTTTTTCCCCACTTTAATATTTTCAGTTTGAAATATCTGAAGGAAGCATAGTGCCTGGTTCCTCTTGTAACTGTAACAATGCATGAAAAAATTAGTGCATGCTGTGGATCGAACTAATACTTACTCCTTTGCTCTTATTGTACTTCCTAAATGGTTCTCAGGGAAAAACAAAAAGTTTTATAAATGATTTCTTATTGCTAAATATTTCATTGTTGCTAGATTATACTGGGTTATTCATAATTCCCTCCGCCTGTAAACGCCATTTTTCTTTACTACATCTGGCTTCAGTGGTACATGTTACTGCCATCTACTGGCAATTGCTTAAATTAAAACTTGAATGCTTTCGGAATAATTCCGCTTGTTCTTTTTTGCCATATTCATCTTCGTTTCTTTTACTATAACGCTTTGAAACCCTGGAGGGAATTATGAATAACCCTGTATTTTTAACTATACCAAAGCTTTCTTAAAAACTTTACTTATTGTTATAATTTACTATACTAAAGTTACTATACTATTTTAATGCTGATTAATTTAACAAAAAGCTTTCTATTTTCCATAAGCACCATTAATAGTATAAATTTAATGTAAAGATAAAATACCTCTATTTGTACCCCAAAGCATTTTTTAATTTCACAAAATTTTAAGTCTTAAATTTTTTTTTAATAAGTTTTTTTTTATACTCTACTGTGTGGTTTTTCTCTCTGATTTCTTTCAATTATGCTTATTACTTCATATAAAGTTGCTCTCTAGCCTTGTTCTGGGCCAAGTGGAATAAGTAACAACAACAACGTGACTACTTAATTGCAAACGACTTGCATCAGGTGTAGATAGCTTTAACCATAATTGTTTTCAGAGATATAGCGAAATATGCTAAAGAAACTTTTTTCTCGACTCTCCTGACAAACTATTATCTTATTTTCTGAATTGTGGCTAGTATTTGTTTTGAACATCAAAAGTGGAACCCTCAAAGTGGCATATTTATTTATGCCGAAGAAATTGGTTTTTATTTTTTCTGCATAATGTTTCATTTGTAATTTAATTTGCTTGCATTACCAACCAATTATCATGTTTAATAATTATATGTCTATTTTTAAAATCACTGCAGTGTTTCTCGTTTTTTTCCCCCACGCCAACCAGGATATAGACTTTTGTCATTCGTGTATCAAAAGGGTATATTTGTTGACCACTCTCACGTGGGCACCATATTATGTGGGCAAACGTTGCTCACACAATAAGGACAGGTAGTTCAGAGAAGAGAAGGAAAGAACATCCATGCCTTATCTGGGATTTGAACTCTCGATCTTTCTTTCCTGAGGTCAGCTTCTTGACCACCAAAAAAATCTAAAGATTTTGATTGCAACAAATGGCTTAGTCCTCTAATAAAATATTGACCAGGAGTTATGAAATTTCGTTGTTTGTACTCAATCTACTATAATTGCTTTTCTACTTCTTAAACAATTCTTAAAGCAATAAATGAGGAATAAAAATAAATGGATAAAACGAAAAATAATAAAGAATCTCATATTTTCAACGTATGTATCATGGTACTGATGGTTACGGATAGCTAGTTTAGGAAGTTGGCACCTATGTGGTTCTTGTCTTCCTTCATGTAATTGCCTATTTACCATTTAAATGCCAATGCTTCATTTTTGGAACATGTTTCTGTTTCAGATTGTTAAACTGGTAACTCTTTATTCTTACCATTTATAAGTGGAAGAGTTTAACATACCTATCAACTAAAATATATTAATAATATTTTTTTTTTTAAATTTCCGGAAATCAACCGGTTACTTAATCAAATTAGATGGCAGAAGATTTAAATTATCTGGCAAGCACCGCATACCAAATATTATTAATTTTTTTAACTTATTTATTTTTATTACTGCTTATTATTATTTTGCAATTTATTACTCTATTTCAATATTTTCCAATCCAGCGGCATTTGACAACCCGCTCTCCTGTTAGGCATTTTCTTGAATAAATAAAAAAGGAAATTTAATCGAGTTCAGGTAACAAATTTTAAAGGAAATAAAAGCTATCATTACAATTGCGACCAATTTCAACTAAGAGAAAAATTGTTAAGTTATCGAAGCTAGTCATTAAAGACCGTTGGATTGTAAATTAGCTTCCCGGCTTCTTATTTTGAATTTCTATCACAAATCCTTAATTAGACTGTACCAAAAGCGATTGTCTGTGTAAAAATAGAATTAGATTTATCCTCTTTTTTTGCATAAGTTTTTAATTACAATGAAAACTCATAAGAAAGGTAGAAAATTCGATTCAAATAATCTTAAAGTTTTATGGCATATTAAGATTTCTTTATTTAGTCTCGTTTTATGACCAAAATGTGAGGAAATACGCTATCAAAATATCTTAATATAATGTACAAAAAATGCTGAAAATTAAAATTTATAATTTTTTATGCAACAATTAAAGATAACTAAAAAAATATTAATTAAATTTCATTCAAAAAAATATTTTATAGCATTTATGAGTTTACCAAATTTACTATCTTTATAATTCTAAATAAAAATCCTATTTATTCTGCCATTATTTAAAGCTAGAGTCGATATAGTATCTTACTGTTTTTACTCTTACCTGAAATATTTGAAATACATCGTCACCACATTCTCCGTCATCACACTGACTAAGATCTAAATCCGACAATATATGGCAGGTTCTTGTATAGTTCTCAGAACTTTCTGTGATTTCGTTAACAGCCAAGCCATTACACTTTTCATTCTTCTGACAATTGCGAAGGCAACTTACCAGTAATCCTTCGTCCACTGTATCCAAAACCCAACTGTCGTGTACTGGACTTTCTACAGAAAAATTATAAAATCTGCGCGATACTGTAAATTGTGCAAAAACTGTAGCAGCAGATGTGATGATCATGATAACCAAAGTTATATTAGTATTTGCCATTTATAATATCTTTTTTTTTTCTAAAAAGTAATAAAGAATGTAAATGTTCAAAATATTCTGCATCTAACAGTTTTTTCGGTAATAATTTACAAATATATTAGTAATTCTATTTGTAAAAGTAATTTTATTCTCTTGATAAAATAATTTATAATTGAGTTACTTTTTATGTTATGACTTCCAAATAGAATTCGAAATCTCTATACTTAATCAATTAGTTTTCCTTGTAGTCTCCATGAACAAAAAAAATTGTAAACATTCTCTAAACTTAGCAACAGTTTATGATGGGTTACATGATTATTCCATTACTTTAATATTTGACACCATATCACGCAATTACGGTTCTGGGTTTTGTCTACTAAATTTCTCAAAGCGTGAAGATTCATGGACATTCGTGCCGCATTCCCATTACATTTAATTTGTTGTTGATCAAAAAAAGATGTTCATGCATTGTTTCCTATGCGACCTTAAGCAACTTAATGTTTCACAGAACGATACTGACTTAATTCAGAAACTATGCTACTTTGGAACGTTAAAAAAAAACAGAAAAAAAAGGTATTTCGTTCAAATTTTTAACAACAAACAATTTTTAATAAGATAAAACGTTTTTGTTATTTAGGTTGACTTCCGATCATTTTTAAGTGACGGATGCCGTAACTTGAACAAAAAACTCATTTTGTCGCAAAAAATTATTAATACCTTAGTAAGAATGATAAAAATAATTCATTAATAATATATCTGGCAAGAAATCATTTTTAGGTAAACAAGCTTCATTAACTGAATAAGAAAATTGTAAACGTAACTTAGTTCTTATTGATTAATAAAACTAAGCACCGGACTCTACTACGTACACTACTATTATAACGTCTTTATTTATTATAATAGTAGCTTCATTGATCAGAAAATTTGTGAGTAAACAGGCAATCATTTTTCCATGGTTAAATTAAATGTAAAGTTTGAATTTTCGTGTTTTTTTTAATTTGTACTTTAAAAGCAACTTTGGCGATTTAAAACGATAATGAAATACTAGAAAAAATTAGTCTCGTCTCCGAGGTTCTAACGATTGCGTTTATTCATTTTTTTTCTCCAAAATTAATTAAGCTTGTATAGCTTTTTTGAGTATAAGTTTCATTATTATTATTATTTATTTATTTTTTGGAATCTGTCTCATACGCTTTAAAGTTAAACAGAGATTGAAGAATTATTTTTCTAGGGAAAGAAAAAGTATTATCGAATGTCTCACGTCCAACATTTTTAAAAGCTATGTTTAATTTGAATGATACTGAAATCATAAAGCTATGATTTTTTTTTAAAAAAATTTAAAAAAGAAAGAAAGTGGTAGTTAACACAAGAAAATATTCACTTATTTTAAAAATTAATTTGTAATTGCTTTTGGGCCGTCGATAATTGTTATATAAAGTCTGAATGCTATATTAGCAATTCGGATGTCTTCCTGGGACCCGAGAAATTATTTATTGCACACTTTCAAAGCTATTTTAATGTATTGGGGGCTCCATAAAGCCTCAACCCTTTATAATCAGGCCAAGTAATATAAAACAACGCTTATTAGATAAATTGGATTAAAAATGCTTTATGAATTTTATTACTGTTTAAAAATCGAAATACCAATCTATAATTAACTGATTATTTTAAGCTTATTTGATATTGTAAAATAGAAAGAGAAAGAATAGGATAAATTGGCATACACATTTATTTTTCTTACTAAACTAACAATCATAATTTTTCCACAAAAATTCAGCTCCGGTACCAGAAAGTTTTTGATCGAATTTTTGATCCAGTCTTTTGGATTGTTCATCTGAAAAGTGATTTCTCCAATCACCGACTTTACCTTTCCTAATAAAAGGAGAAACATGTTTTGGTCTCTCTGATGCCCACATGGCAGGAGTGTTTTTCATTGTATCAAAGTTGCTGTGCTGAACAATACTGTCTAATATAACCGAATCCTCAGTTGCCTGCTGGAAGGAGCCACCAAGAAAATTGCCCATTTTCCTAATGCAGCTATGAATATCCGTTTTCATATCTTCGTATAAGAGAAATAGAACATTGGGATCATTTCTATGTTCATACCAAGATAATAAGTTATCAAAATAATCACCTGAATCGACTTTACCAGACAAGAATAGCTCAAAATATTCATCAAATGTGCCATCTTCAAAATTATACCTTTTAAAACCCTTAGTGTGGTGAAAAAATGACACGCAGCAATCTTTAGGATTTCTTGCAATGTAAATGTATTTTGCTTGTTTGTTTTTAGGAATCAAATGGAACGGTAAATGCGTTTTAATGATTCTTGGTCTGGGTAATTTTTCGACGACATCTTTACCATCATCCTCCAAATGGGGCACGTAGTGATTTATATTTTGTCCCATTTCAAGAGGTTGTCCATTGTTCTTTGCCAAATACAGGATGTTTTGAGTCCATGTGGTGCCACACTTTGGATACGTGACTATGAAAACGTCATCATTTTCTGGTATATATGTCAAAGCTTGTTCATATAATTTAATTTTAATTCCGGGACCTAAAATTAAACCGGAGGTGTGCATAACGTAGGAAGGCCTGTCACTCAAACTTACAAAGTTCATTCTAATCCTAAAAATAAAATCAATCCATTAATTACTAATATTTATCTTCATTGTACAAAATATTGTAACTTTTTACTTATAACATTTAAATTTACTACACATAATGAATTATAGCTAATTTTGTGACATAAAAGTTTTAGAAATCGTTAAAAATTAAGGGGCTCCACTTCCTGATCGCTGTGCTTGCCAACTATACCGGAATTACTTTCGCAGTTCCTCGATGGGTCGTAAAATACCTTTAACTAAATGGTAAAAGGTATACTATCTGTTCTGTATAGTAATTATTATATTACATGCTTATTATGTTGGACTCGTATGGCGAGCAATGGAATTTCAAATTTAAAAAAAATACTACACTTTGAAACTGTTCTTCGCAATATTAGAGAATATAGAAGTTTGTTCTTTGGTTGGTAGAATGTCGAATTATGTATTTGTGATTAGCCACAAAATAATTCATATATGTTGCCAACGGAGACTCTAAAATACAACTCGATTTGAGTACACGAGATAAAGAAATGTATATTACGACTATTGTAGAATTTCCATAGCAAATACAGAAGATTTTTTCTAGTTTTAACAAAAGTAAATAGGTAATGCATTCATGTCTTAATTTAATAATAATATTGGTACTTTACTAACGTCGCACTATAGAGCTGCAGAAGGCGACTGTTTGGGAGAGCTCCCTATTAATGATCCGAAGACATGTCATCACAGTTATAGTTTACTGCAGATGGAATGGCTTCTCCGCTTTATTGCCTTAATTTGATAAATTTTATACAAAAGAATTTTAGGAAACGCTTGTCACAAGTAATTCGAACTAATATGTAATCAATTCGTAATCACCTTAAATGCTTGCTAAATTATAAAAAAATATTTCAAATTGCTTTTATAAATTACTGTACTATTTCTCTTTCTCTACGTAATATAAATTTCCAAACAAAGTTGAATGATAGGCAGTATAAGCACATAAAATTTTGATTATGTATTTATTTACATGCATTACTTCGTTAGTAAATATAATATTAAAAATTAAACCAAAATTAACAGAAAAGAAACGAAACAAAATTTTCCCCATACACTTAATATGGAGTGATCAACAATAGGTATCCTAATTCGGCAGAATCTCGAAAACTATAGGTATTCATTCTTTTTCTAGATTTAAAAGTTTATCTTAACTCTAAAATTATTCTTTATAAATTAATTTTCTAAAAAATAATATTCCATAACCATAAATTGTGGAAAAAATTCGCTTTTTCGAAGTATGATACATAAACTTAGCTCGATAAAGGCATTCAGGCTAATTATATGTCAAATAAACAATTCATTTTTGATAAGACTTCAGTTTTATGGATAAGAAATTTATTTCTTGCCCAAACTTATGCGAACGAACTGAAAATAAATTTTTATGCACTCATGTTTGTGAAAATTGCAACACCATGAACAAATTATGCAAATTGAAACAAATTTACATGAAATGTAAAGTGAGGTAAGACATGCAAGTGATTAGAATTAAAAGCGATTGCGCATGTTTATTAGTATAGTATCACTATGCGTAATATGTGGAATAAATTTCATTAATGTCTAACAATTCCTTCATAGTGTTGCAATTTTTGCAAAGAGCTGAATCAGATAACACAGGAAAACATATTTTCCATTTCATTTATACAAATGCTTGATCTTGCCTAATTCGCGGGTAAGGATTTCAAATCTATAATTAGTTTTCCTTCTAAAGCTACAATTTTTTTTTTTTAATTGAATGACAATTTTTGGTCGAAATGTACAAGTTTATAAACTTTATATATAACAGGGGGTCGTATAAATGTTGCGGTAAACTTCTAGGGTCGTTAGGGCGCATCATCAAAATAACATAAGATCCATGCCAGGAAATGTTGTCTTTCGCTGCTAGGGGCGATTCCCTATAATGAGCTTTTTAGAAGCACGTGGAGAAACAGCTCATAATAGGGAAGGTACCCAGAGGCGTATCTAGAGAAAATGGCGCCTATGGCAATCCTCCCTATCGGCGCCCTTCTTAAAATATTTTTATTATTCTCTATTGTTTAACACATATCTATTATATCTATACACACCAACATATATATATATATATATGTATGTGTGTGTAATACAGTACTGAAGCTCGTTTGATTTGTTAGTTACCAAGGATTTGCTCGAAAATGGATATGCGCAAAGTGATATTATACTGGATAAGTTCATAATTAATAAAGTTGATATTCAATTATACAATTTTATGATTTTAGAAAAATCACATTTATTTAAGAGGGGAAAAAAAGAGAGAAAGAAACATGAATCACCATTTTGCGCATATTTTTAGCCACGGAATTGCCCGAAATGCATTTGCACATGGTAGAAATTATATATATTATCCAAGAAGTTTTTAATAAACTTATTTAAAATAACATACAATTAAATCAATGATTTCGCATAGAATTTTATTACTTCAGTTGAGTATCCATTGTTTTTTATCAAATTTTTAAAGAGTTTGCCTATTTTTTTTTTGGATAAATAAACATTACTTTATGTTCTATTTAATTCTATTCAGTTAATTAAAAATGGTATTTAAGTAGATTAGAATTCTAAACATTAAAAGCATTTTAGAAACATTAGAATTTTAAAGTAATTAGTTTATTTATATTAAAATTAAAATCACTTCTTTGATCGTTTAAATCAACAAAGCAGATATTTTCTTCTTTTATAATACCCAAATCTAAAAAATTATAATTAATATTATCATCTTGATTACAAAACAAGATTAATTCCTCCGGGTAAATGTTATTTAAAAAAAATTGTGTAACCTTGAAAATTAAAGATAGTTAAATCATCAATAAATCTAAACTAAAAACTAAACTTAGTGGCGCAACAGCCCATAGAGGAACAAAGCCTACTGTGCCCATCTCAGTTAACTTGACCTTGGGCTCTGGGGTGCAGGAGCAGATGTTCTGGTTAGGTGGTCAGTCGAACGCAAAACCCCCAGTGTTTAGTTCCCAAGCATGCTTGGTACTCATTTATCGACCCACTGAAGGGATGAAAGGCTGAGCAATAAATTTAAAAACATGTTTAATATTAAGAGCATGATTTTTTTCTTCATAATAGTGCCAAAATAAGTTAGCTAAGAGAGATGAAAAATTAGATCCTTGTGGTAGTCCATCAATTTGAATAAAAATTCTATTCATTGTAAAGGTAGTTATTAAAAAGACAAAAATTAATTAGAATTTTCCAATGATCAAAATCACAATGAAAGATATTTTTAAAATCATAGTAATAATTCAAAAAGACATCTTTTGGTTTAGAAAGGGGAAAAGATCCTGGAAATCAAAAGTCGCAATAGATTTTATTATCTTTAATATATTCTAAACTCGGATGATTATTAGTGATAATTCAAGAAATACCTTCTTTAATAATGCTGATAATAATTAATATTAAAGTAGTTAGAGAAAATGGAAACCACTATGTACATATTTTTGAGCCATTGTGCTTGAAATTTTTAAAGGAAAATAAAGGCACTAAAAGTATAGACATTTTAGTTTCGTTTCGCTTTTTTTTTCTTTTTTAGGATAATAAAACTTTTTTTAAAATCATATTGTAGACTTGGGACTATTCAAAAGAATTAAATATTTAATTAAAAGTTTGTGTATTTAAATTAAAAATTCTTCGCTTTAATTTTTGTTTGTTCACTTTATACACATAAGTCCGAAGGTGGTTGGAACCTATCAAGTAAATTAGAAAAAGAATTACCTTTGATAATCCTATTATTAGTATCAGATAATCATGTACTATTAAAATTTTAATGGTTCGATAGAGAAAAGTTAAATCTTTTATTTTAAATTACGAAATATTACGATAAAATTGTAAATTACTTTATTTTTCTTTAAATCCATAGAAATAAGCTAAAAAATTAGTGCATACAATAATTTGAGCAATAAAATCGAATATAAAAACGTTCTTCCCCTTAGTAAACATGTCATTCATTTTTCATCGAATTTAAGTTTTTGATCTTCAAAATTTTCCCTAGAAGCTCAGATTAGAAAAACTGGTCGAAACACATTGCATCGTAATGACACCCTCCTCCCCCCTAATATATTTCCTTTAAATTTTAGCTAAATTGAATATTATTTTTATGTAAAGAAATAAAAATGTAACAATAGTACAATAATAACTGAAAACACATTTAGAAAATCTGCACTAATATTGAAATGTTAAAAAAAAACTAAACTCAGTGGCGCAACAGCCCATAGAGGGCCAAGGCCTACTGTGCCCATCTCAGTTTTCTTGATCTTGGGCTCTGGGCTGCAGGAGCAGATGTTCCGGTCAGGTGGTCAGCCGAACGCGGAACCCCCAGTGTTTAGTTCCCAAGCATGCTTGGTACTATTGAAATGTTAAAAACACACATTAATTTCTTTTGTTCATATTCGTCACACAATTTTCTCATATTTCACAAAATAAATAAAAAAATGAAATAGAGGATAGAAACTTAATTTCTAAGAAGAAATGTTCTGAATTAATATAATAAATACAAACTGTTTTACAATAATCTATGATAAAAAAAATTGCTAAAAGAATTACTTAAAAAAAAATATTATTTTGAGCGGGCATAAAATGTTTTTTAAAGGAAGGTAATGTAATATTATTATTAAATATTTTGAATAGTTCTGAGAAGTTTCTATAATTACGGTTTATTAAAAACAAAGTAGGCTGTTATGTGACCAAATTACTACGTTAAACCTTAGTTAATAAAAATGTCGTTTCTTAAATTTTACACTCAAGCGGCAATTAGGTGAAAATATAAAAAAAAGATAGAGACGAAATGCATGTTTACAGAAAAAATTATTTAAAATTCATATGATCTAATTTAATCCAAACACATAGATCGACAAATACATAATTATTAATAAAGTAAATTTTGCCTTAGCTGTTATTCGTTTAAAAATTTAATGATGCACACACATTTTTGTAAAATTTAAATATTGTCTTGGGTGATAAGTAAGTTTAAAATTTTAAGCGATTAAAAATTTTCCCAATCGAGAACCTTTACATTAAAATGCAACTTCAGTTTACAAGCAACAAATAATTAATATTTAAAATAAAGGATTTAACTATCGATATTTTTTTGACAAAGCCATTATCCGAATAAATCTTTCCAAAATTAATTGAATTTAATTAGTTTTGAGATATTCTTTTTTAAAAAAAAAGCGAAATATAAATCTTTTGAATATTTTGAGGAGAGAGGGCTTTTTGAATTTTTATAAAAATGCATATGTTTCATAAATAAACAAGCTCGAATTTTTCGATAAGATGTTTATTATTATTTTTTACTTATTTTCTTAAAATAAAGGGAATCAATTAATGAAAAAAAAATGATTGTTGATATTGTGCTGCTTTAATAGATAGTTATAAAATACATATTATAGCCTCAATGATATTTTGTTTCCATTTTATTTTAATTATAATGGACAGATATATAAATAAAGGACACTTTATATGAACCTTTATATTATTTATTTAAAACACTTTATATTATTTATTTAAAAACAGTTTTTTCACGTATAATTTATGGCTATTAAAATAGGTCTATAGCAGGTAAAAGATTAAACAATTTTGTGTCTGAGATGCTTTGAAATAAAAAAAAATACAAAGTAAGGTCTTGATAAATTACACAAATCTTTTTTTTCTCAATTTGTAAACAAACGGATTATTTAAACTTGAGCTTAAGTTATTAATTTAAAATTAAAATTGTGTGTGAATTTCTGTGACTTAAGAGCAAAAAAAAAAATCAGTTTGAGCAACTAACAGATGCGTTCCTTAATCTATTCATTCAATAAATAAATACATTAAAAAATAAATAAATTAATTAAAAATAAATAAATTGAACTTTTATGAGTGTTTAAACCTAAAATCTATCTTTTAATGAATGAAAAGAAATCTATTTCTCGGTAGTCGGCACTCTTAACTGAGCCAATGTTACGCAATTTACACAAAAATATTTACTTATTGCAATAATTTTTCAGGAAACTTGAAAAATTATGTTTCCAACATTTCAAATTTCAACATTCATTTTCTTTTTCCCATTAAGTCATTGTTTTTAATAATAATAATACAATAACGAGCATTTAATTACACAAAATTCACTTTTTATTACCAAAATATCATTCTGCACATTAAATGTTTTTTTTTAATAAAAATAATTCTATACAAAAACAAAATATTATAATGTAGTAAACGCCCCTCTCAATCTACATATACAAAGATCCAAACTTGCTCTGCTCCGTGTAGAAAAGTATTTTTTATTGAGAGCTAAAGTTATATTTATTGTATGATTCTTTGTTTATTTAATGCAAAACCATTTTCCCCCTCTACGTATAAATAATAAATAATTGAAAAAAATTATGTGAAACATAATTTTGTTTCAGGTGAGAATTATAAATTTCACCAGAATTATCTTAAATTCTGCATGAATTCTGCATTAAATTCTTTCGTTTTTAACTACCACTCAATAAAATATTTTAAAGAAAGTGGAGCAGTTGGCATTGCTAGAAAAGAAAATATATCGATCGCTACAAAATATAACGTGAAATAATAAAGTGAGCATGATGCATAAATAAGAAATGATTACTTACAATTTAATCCTTGATTATAAGAAAATCTAACACTTCGTTTAAATTACACTAATGACTGTCTTTTTTTTTCTTCATAAAAAAAGAATAGATGGGGTGTATTCATTGTTAAGTATTATCATTGGTTTAAGCAAGGCAGAGGCACCTCCTATTTTTAGTATTTAAATGTTTTGCGACAGTGATTCCCACCATGTGTGGCAAAACCTCCCTTTTTGAAAGGATTTACGCCAATTTACAGCAAGGGTTCTATTTGTATATTCCACAAATTCGAAAGCCGCTTTTCAAAGTGATTTTCACCCCTGATAAAATTTAAGATCTATACAAGCATTTAAGGGTATGATAATTGGGCTAAACTAGACACAAAGGGACACTCCATGTTTTTCGCATTTCTTTGCCCTCTGTCACCACCAAAGGGCTATTCTCTGCCTGCAGGTGTTCTATTCATCCCCGGATAATTGCCCTTTAACATCCTGGTAATGTGATATGAAGAGATGTTTATCTAGTCTTTTTGCTTATGGTACTGGAAAAATAAAGATTTATCTGAGGATCCCATCATTGGAAGTTTTTATTCTGCATTCTGGAGAGTTTTCTAAATGATTCTTTTCAATGTTTTATTTATTTTTTTAAAATTTTTATTATTGTTTTTAAAATTTGTATTTGTATGTATGTGAAATTTATTTTTTTAAAACAAACAAAATATCAAAATATTTTGAAAAAAAGAAAGAAACGTTGGTGTTGGTTGATTTTGCGCCTTTTTCAAATAATGCGCCCATGGCTCTCGCCCCGCCTGCCATACCCTAGATACGCCACTGAAGGTACCCCTAGCAGTATATGGTGGTATTTCCTGGCATGAGTTCCTAAGCAATTTTAATCCTGATGTTGTGCCCTGATGTTCCTAGAAGTTCGTCGTAACGTTTACGCGACCCCTGATATATATAACGTTTTTAAACTTGCACATTTCAACAAAAAACAGACTAAAAATGTCATTAAAAAAACTAGCTTTAGGAGCAAAACTAATTTTAGATTCGAAATCAGTGATTCGAAAGTATCTAAGATCTGTTAAAAGAAACTCATGCAAAAAAAAGTTCCCTAATGTAATCAATAATTTAAGGAACTTTAATGTATTTTGGCGTGTCCTTTGAAAGGTAAAAAATAAATAAATGAAGTAAAATAAATTTAGCTCTTTACAGTTAACCTGATTCAGTAATTGCGCAGTAAGAAAACGAAGTTTGAAAGAACTATCCCAAGTGTCTGTAATCTACTCGGATATCTTTCTCTATTGCAGTGGATTGATCGCTAAGAGACACAGTTCCCAGCAGATCACCGAAGTCAAGCATCACTGGTCGAGCTGCGGTCAGTGTGCTGGTGGGTGACCACTTGGATCAGTCTGCGGTATTGGTCCTCGTTAAACAGTTCTACCGTAAAGTGATCGACTTCGCGTGCAGGTTGTCGGGGGTGCCATCACCTCTGCAGAGGATCAAAATTGTGATGGCATGTCTTCGGATCATCCTCAGGGATGTTTCCCAGACCGTCGCCAATAGCACATTGTGCTGCTCTAATTCGACGTAAATGAACGACAACAACAATTCTTTATTCCAATTTAGACAATTTTGAAACTACTTGTCTTAACTTTGTAACTACGCTAGACGATACATTACCTAAGGTTTCGTTGAAGAATTGCAGGGATTCCGAGAGTTAAGATTTTTTAAAATTATATTTATAGCCAATCAATAATTCATAATTTATTTCATATTTCGGTTGAACTTTACTTCCTCAATTTAGACGTAGATCTGAAGGGGAAGAAAAATTTCCCCATACCTCTCACTGCTTAGCAACCGACCACATGACTTTCGATTCCAGAGATTTTACGAACATGTACATCGCATGTGCTCGGTGGGTTTTAGCGGAGTCGAGCATCAAACCCCGGTTTTTCCGAACCGAAGTTCGATTCTCTACCACGGTCCAAGAAAACTTATAAGAATATGTATTTTTCCATAACAATCTATGGACTAAATTATGAAAAGGATATGCATTCATAAAAAATAACTATCAAGAAGTTAATAAAAGATAACTGTCTACACGCAAAGTCAAAGAAACTTTTTAACAGTCATTCTATTTTAAATCGTCATTCAAAACTGAATATAGTCTCGTGCACAGATAATTCAACTCAGAAATATGAATCAGATAAATCTCATTTAATAAGCTAAAAGTAAAGGAACGCTTCGTCATAAACACCTTACCTTTTGTATATAAAGAGACGATTTTAAATTACACGATAAGCAAACTGGAAATCCAATATTCCGAAAAGTATTTAACAAGCTAATAAAAAAATGCAATTGATAAAAAAATATTTTTTATCTAGTAGTCTTATATTGTAGTTTGATTATCTATTATTTCATGTATTGCTATGATGAAACAAGAAGTAATTAAGTTAACTTACTTTTTTTATCTGGGAAATCAAAAAATCAGAGATAACTTCGCCAGACTTACTGACAACAATGATATCATTTAAATTAGGTAAGAGATATAACGACAACTTCCGGTAAGAATTTGAGCAATCATAGAATCATAATAGATAAAGTGAATTGAATCAGCTTTTAAATTCCGCCTTTACTCATTTCTCGCATAATATTAATATATTATAAGCGCGAATATTTCCTCATAATAAATTTTTACTTTATAAACATAACAAAAGCTGTTGTCCTTCGATGGTTAATTTGAATAAAAATTTTTATTTACTCGACTTAAAAAAAAATATCTTTATTCAAATTATAAAAACTTACAAACCAAAATTTAAACTTAACTTATTAACTAACAGTTAAATTAATTATATCCCGAATTTTTGCTTAACTATTTAGTACAAGTAATACTAAATTGAAAGAATTCGACACCTGAGTTTCAAATTGTATGATTGGAAGAAGTGCTAAATTCAATATTAGTTAAATTTGAAAATTATTATTGAAAAGTATATTTGGAAAAAAATTATATTGGAGTATAAGTTGTAATAGTTGGATCTATCTCAATTCGATATGTACTTTCATAACTTGTGTTAAAATTTAGTTACTCGTGTACTTGATAGTTCATGCAGGCGGTCGATAACTGGAAAATATTATTACAAATCGAAATTTTGACTCTTCGAGGGAATTAATTATTGGTGTTGCAAAATGAATCAGATAAAGAGAAAATATGATTTTGTATTTAATTTCGCTGTTAATAATTTGCGAAAAGACTCTTTTAACTGAGAAGTATGCTCAAAGACTAATCATCTTGGAGACTAATAAAATTCAAGACATTAAATATCAACCGCTAAAGGACCGTGTAGCCTAATGATGGGATCTATTGGAAGCAACTTGTTGAGACCTTGGCCTGCAGTTCGCTCTAGTGCTATCGAAGAAAATATTATAGATATGCAATATAAAATATATTGCATTGGAAAAAAAATTATCATATATCATGATCACAGAATTTCTTTCTTCCGGTCACAAAAAGGAATTTAATTAAAGCAACGGAACTAAACGTTTCTTTTTATATTAAAAACTCGTAAGGGTTGCTGAAGCTGTCTTGAGTGTTAACTTAACGCTCCATAAAAAACTAAACTATAAACAAAAACTAACTATATATATATAACTAAACTATAAAACTTACGGCCGTTTAATGAACTCTTCTCGTGATTTCGGAAATTTCGAGCCACCGATTTCTGTGGTTCAACACACTTGTTAGAATTAACATATGCGAATGTTTTAATTTTCTTGGAAAGCTTAAAATTAAGGAAAAAGAGAAGCAATTTTTTAGAGAATCAATTAAATTTATGAATAAGATTTCATTTTTTAAGTATGAAATAAGATTGTTGTCACGTTATTATTATTTAAATATTAGTAAATAAATGTTGATCTAAAATTAATTTTCAAACATTTTAGCGCTCATTATTGAAAATAAATCGTATTTTTGATAATTTTTATCCCATTTTTCTTAAATGCACAACATGTTAGTTTTTTTTTTCTTTTTTGAATTGGTTAAGAATTATTGGCTAAATTAGTTTATAGTGTATTTGCTCTAAATTAAAGAAATACAATTATGTATCACGTACTGAACTAAATTAATATTAATACCCTGATCATAATCTATTGGAAAAATTTTTTCATAGAGGTAAAAAGAAATTTGTTTTCCATTTTATTTTCATATTAAATTGTTGTATAATAAATGTAGACTATTTTCTTTACTAAACAAGAACTAATAATGATCTAGAGCGTGGCGGTTCAGGGAATTGAGCATTCGCCTCCCAATGAGGAGAACCTTGTTGGAATCCCATCGATGGCAGAGATTCAAATTCCGCATCCAGCTCGCACCAACCACAGTGCTGACGAAAAATATGCTCAGTGGTTGGCGGATCATGAGTTAGAATCCCCTTGCAATCGGCTAACCGTGGGAGGGTTTCGTGGTTTTCCTCTCCATGCAACGCAAATGCTAATTAGTCCCGTCGAAAAGTCCTCCTTGAAGGCTAGTTTGTCCTAATGCTTCATCCAAGACGTCCCATGTCTTCTGAGTTGGGTTCAAATTACAAGGTTACGGAGTTGAACATCGATATTCGTAAATTCAGAAGTGAGTCGGCAGTTCAACACCGGTTATAAAATAAAATATTAAGTACAATTTAAGGGTCGATACCTAAGTTCTAAAATAGCTATTATTTAAGAATATTTGTTATGAATAAATTTCTATATCTTTATATTTTTAAAATTACTGCATTTTATTTCCTCTCTGAAGCTTTTTGTGACACATGATTAAAAATATTTTTCTTTGTAATTTTTACATTCAGTGCAATATCTGATTATTTCTGAAATATGCTTTTCTTTTTTAACATTTAATTTTAATTTACATCTTTATTTTTAATCTTTTTATCCCCTTTCTTAATAGGATATTTTTAACAGTGAAACTTTTGCATAGTTATTGAGAAGTATTTCGTCATTATTAAAAGCTAATTGTTATAAGTTGTTCTGAATGATATGTTTCTTATAAAACTATATTGTAAATAATAATATGAAATGTCCGAAATTTATCAAGCTCTGCACAAATTTATTATAAAAACACTAGGAGAAGTACAATGATAAACGAGAAAAAGTAAACGCGTTAAATGCACATAAGGTGATAATTCAAAATAATAAAAGCGAAAGAAAATAATACAAAAATATAAAGAGCAAACGTCACAAAATGCTAAATAAATTATTGTTGAAAGTAATTAGAAAAAACAAAAAATTTAAATTTAAATTAAATTCAAAATCAATTCTAATAAATACAATACAATAAGAAGTACAAATATAAAACGAGAAAAACTACACTAACTAGCTCTTAATCTACATATAATTGCTCAAAACATTAAAAGGAAAAATAAATAAATAAAAAGGCAAAGCTACAAAAAGATTAAGTAGAAAAAGAATAAAACAAAACGATTAAACAACTAGATGGAATTATCGTTTGTATAGAAAATCAAACAAGAAACGGGAAATACCATAATACAAAGTTGTTTGTACAGTGGTAAATACGAGCCATTGTCAAACCAAAATATTTGTTAGTTTATTTAAACTATAATTTAATAAGAAACATATAATTCATTCTTTTAATAGTGACAAAATATTTACTTATTAATTATTCACGTTATCAACTTATTGTTATCCAGTATTCACTTTCGAAATTAACTGTGCACACTCTGGAGACAGTTCTGTAGAAACCTCAGGATAAATTAGTTAGTCAATGTATCTTCAAATACACATTATCTATCTACACATCTCAGATTCAAACATATACTTTATTAAATATTTCGGATAAGTTCTTAATTAAACGGATATTTCTTAAAGAAATATTTTTAATGCTCTAATTAACTTTTTCATGGGTTAATTATAATGTTTTTTTTTAAAATTATCTTTATATATTAAATTTTTTAAATATATAATTAAAAATAAAAATTAGATTAAGTGAGGAGCTAAATAAATGTAGTTTTAATTGTGCGTAATGATTATTAATATTATCGAATTTACTGAAAATAAAATTAAGATATCAAAATTTTGTAGAAATACTTAATTAGATAAAAATACTAATTTCAAAAATATTATTATTTATTTAAAGTTTATAACTGCTTATTTTGAATAGTGCCTGTTTTCCTTTGATAGATTAAACTTCTGTTTGTTTATTAATTAATCACGAATACTCTTAAAAAAGCAACATTTTTTTAATGCATTTAACAATAAAACTAGTTTATTAAAAATAAGTAGAAACATTTAATTATATAGAAATGTTATTGAACTTCTTTTGATTTATAATGATGCGTATGTGCAATTATGATTAATAAGACTCAAAATTGTAGAGGTTAATCAAAAGTAGCGGAGGGGGGGGGGAATATGAGTGGGATATTACATGTTACATAGATTTCTTAAAATTCATAGATAAATTTTAAAAATAAAAATTTATATAGGGTCATAAAAACCATTGCCTATTTGAAATATTATAAATCTCATCGTGTTGAGTTAGTCGTTTCTTACTTATTTCTTTAAGAGTCACACATTTTGTAATTATTAGATTTAAAAAAATATATATTTTATTTATGTACAGATGATTATTTTTCAAATCTAGGTAATTATCTATCTTGTTAAAAATAACAAAACGTTCTTACATAAAGTTACAATAATTATATAATATGAAAACAAAATGTTTGGTGTTTTTGAACAAAATATTGACAATGAAGGGGGGGATGATGATGAATGGGAATCAGTTATGGGGGTTTGTGGGTGAAGCAAGCAGGGAGTATTCCAGTACAATAAAAAAAACTTCTTCTGTTCGAAGTTGCGATTTCGCTGCACAACAAAAAATAACAGCAATTTGTCCGACATTCTGATGAGCTGTACATTTTGATTTCACTTATTTATTGGCTTCTGAAAAGTCTTATTTCTTATTGTTTTTACTAGAGATAAGAACAGATGAATTAAATCAAAAGTTTCGGAACTGATCAATAAAATATAATCAAGTATAAAAGTATTTTTTCCTCTTTGGATTGGTTAATAAGGAAGAGGGTAACAATTAAAATATCTATTTAAGAAGCGTAATATAACGCAATAACGGACGTAAAACTTCCTAGAAATGAGATGAGTTCAATCCAAATTTTAGGAAGTCTCCAAGTTCAAGCTAAAGCTTAACTTTTTCTACACTTTCAAGAAAAATAAATATAAAAAATTCTGTTTGGATAATGGTTCAGTTATGTCTAAAAAATATTAAGAAGTAGTATACTCAATCAGAATAATTTGTTCAGTATCAAATATCATAATATCTTGAACAAAAGCACATTGTCGTGGAACTTGTCTACAATAGAGTTAAATTGAAATAAGCAACTAGGTGTAAACTTTGCTTGTAATAAGGTGACAAACTGAAATATATTTCCTTTCAAATTGAGATTCTTACATATGCAGATTTCTATCATAAATAAAATAATTCCCTCCAAGATCTGATAACATTTTACATTACATCCACCTTAGGATAGAATGATCCCAAGGGTCAATAAACTTTTCAGATTCTTCTGCAACTGTCTCTTTTGCTGTTTGAAATTAACATCGCTCATTACGTCATAAGCAAATTTAATGGTAATAATAAATATAATGTGTAATACTAATTCAAATAATTTTATGATTCGTGTGTCCGGCTAATAAAAATGCTGAGATATATAGCTAAAACTTTTTTTTATTCTTTCATAATAAATGATACACAAATCCAAGAGTAATATTAAAAATGAATATACTAATACTTCAACAGAATAAAAACACATAGAACATAATGTCAACTAAGCAACACTGGAAAAGATCAACATGCACATATATGTAGTATTAACAATACAAACAAACATATTCTATACGAATAACAAAATTAAAATAGGAGTTATAATTCATTCAAGGCACTTTGTTTATTAGCATATAATTTGCTCAAACATTTTTTTTTAAATATGTAAAACATTCTAAATTTTTATCAGTTATACACACACTTGATACACGGTTCACCAAAATGTGTTTACACTGAAACATAGCTTCATCTATACATCTAGGAAATTCATTCTTGTTAAATTTGAAAATGTTATAAATTAAAACAATTATAAAAGGTAACCCAAAACTCATGAAAAATTTGTATTTTGCACTGTCTATGTTACAAAATGTTCCAATGAAAAAGACAGCTGGCAGTTCAGGGGTATTAAAAATTAAGCTTTGCACATACTTTTTCACAGCTGAAAAGTATTTGTATCATTCCTTTACCATACTATTTCCTGTTTAGGTTATTAGAAATAACTATCCAGTTCTAAGCAAAACTTTCAGTAATGCTTTTTAAAAGTGAATTACTAATATTTTTGTTAGCAAATACATTTGTGAAAGTAAACAACTTTGATTACATGGTTATTTGGGAATAAAATTACAGTAAGAAATTATAATCAATAAAATATAATTAACTCATATTACATATATAAAGAAGTTATATGTAACTGAATTATAAAGGGTAGAGGAAAGAACAATCACAAGTATTGAAAAATGTGAAAGCAGTACAACTAGTGATTTTGTTCAAACTTACATTTCCCGGTCAAAAATATTTTTACAAAACAATTTAAACACTAAATATTCAAAACAGTCCTAAAATATTTTTAGAAATAGATAAATATTACTGGTAAAAAACTGAAGAAACTTAATATCTTAAGAGTATATCAGAGATTCTTTGTTTTTTAAATATGTAGGTAAGTGTGAAGATAAAAAAAACTTATAAGTATATACATAAATGAATAACAGATATACAATAATTAAACATAACAATTAGGTATGTTTAACATGTCATTGACAACATAAAATATTTTATTTATAATTTATTTTTATTCACTGGTTTTAAAGGCACTTAAATAGATTTTTTTAATATAAATCTAAAGTATAGATTTAAAAACATATACACACATCAGCAATAACAATATTTAACATAGAAATAAAAAGGTAACATGCATGATTAAAATGTCTAGCTTTAAAAGAAGAGTTTAATTTTTTATTCAACAACAAATTTTTATTCAACATTAACTAGTCAACTAGGGAGAAAACACAATTTCAAAATTATTACAACTTAACAATTAACATTAGAAAATAGTAATTACTATTTACAATTGTGGTTCCTAATGTTAGTAACAAAAGAGGAACTTATTTAATGTGTAAGAGCTGACTACCAATAATAACATATTATATTCATAACATTAACTTTGTAAAAAAATTATAAAGAATATCAAAATTTTATTCCAATTTTTCAAGATAAATAGTAATAATCAAAAAATCTTTTGTTTTAAATTATGAATTTTCTGTCACAATAAAAGATCATATAAATCATAAAATGAAATACATTAAAAATACTTTATTATTAAGTAGATTTGAAATAAGTAAGTTTATTATCATAGGCATAGTGTGAGGGTGGCACACTTTTTTTTTCTAGAAAACTGTTAGTTTAGTTTTATGTATATATCCATAATTATATTTTATATGAATATATGTAAAGTTTTATACATAAATGTGTGTATAAAACTTAAAATAGACTAAGTTTCCTAAAAATAAAAAGTGCGCCTATGCTTATTACCATAGCAATTAGGTTCATTAATATTTTAAGTATAAACAAAATTATATTGTTATTATTAGTTCAATACTTATAATTATTAGGCATGGAAAAAGTTTCAAAATTTTCATAGATAGCTGCATTTAGTGAATTAACTTTTTCTTTACCAAATTATCAAAAACATACGAAACTTTTTTGTCCCATTAAATAATGTCTAATTTACAATACACATATACGATATTGATAATTAAAAATCTTTTTAATAACCAATATTATTTTATAATTTTTAATGAAATCTTTTATTTGGTATTTACACCATATTATGAAATTTTTACTAAAGTTTAAAATTTAACACTTTGTTTTATAACTAGTTGCAAATGTTAATGAATCGAAAAAAGAAAAAAAAAATACATATGAAAGACTTACTTGCAAAATTGATCAGGATAGAAAGTTAAAAATTGAATAATGAAATTGAAAAATCTTAAAACATTTCCAACTGAAATACTTATTAAAAACTAAATAGTTTCATAGGGCGTGTTCAATTTCAAATAATCATGTGTTGTCAACTAGTAATGATAAACAGAAAGTCATATTACAGGGACAAACAAGTTCTAATCAAATATTTTGTTCTGTTTTAATGCTATATGGAAATAATATTAGTAGAACTTAAAAAGTCTCATTGGTATATAAAAGGAAAAATTATGAAAAATAAAGAGTTAATAATTTTCAATACAAAAAAAACTGTCAAAAAATTAATTTAAACAGTGCAAACATAATGATTTGAAAGGAAAACTAAAAAAACTGTATCTGTATAAATTGTGTATCATTCAGAAAAAAAGGGAAAGTAAAGAGAATTTACCAGAACATCTGACATTGAAAATTAAATAATAAACACAAATTTTTTAATTTATAATATAATTTTTTTGCAAACACATTTTTGTGTCATAATATAGGCAGCCCTCAAAAGTGATTGTAACAATAAATAACAATATAAACTAATTTGCTTTTAAGAACTGTATGATTTCACACATAAATATATAGGTTAATAAAAAAAAAGCTAAATAATAATTTATAACTCAGTACTTCCAGTAGACAAAGCTATTGAAAGATGTGATAGCTTCTTCACAGAAACTTCCATATCGGACAAAGTATTTATAATTTTATCTTTATAACCTCGTGTACTAGTAGATAAACCTAGAAAATATATAATGAAAAACAACAAACTTTAGGTTAAAGCAAATAAAATATAAGTATAAATGAAAATATAACCAAATGAGTAATAATTAATATCATTGATAAAACTAGATCGAATGTTATGATTCATAAAAAATAAGTAAATTATCTTGGTTTGAAAATCAAAAATTTGCTTTAAACTCTCATTTGTTAAAAAGAAAAGCCAGCTTAATTTACAGATCTATTTCAGCATTGATTAATATTTTATCAACTGCTTTTAGAAAAAGGTTAAAAAAAATTATAATTAAATTAGAAAAATGCTGCTATTTTAAAGAAAATGGCAGGCTTAACTAAAATTTAAAACAAGAATTTTTTAATTTCAATTTATAGGACATAAAAAAATTATGATCATATTTTTTCTAAATGACAGACAAATATGAAACATTGCAAAATATTTAAACTTACTTTCCATTCTCAAATGTTTTGAAATTAGGAAAAACATAATTTACCAAATAAAAATTAACATCAGAAATGAAAAAAAAAAAAAAAAAATTAAATAAGTACAGAAGTGAATTAATAAAATTCTAACTATTTTAATTAATTTAGTCCATAATAACAGCAAAACTTAAATGCTTTTTTAATCCTGGAGTTTTAGCACGAAAATACTATCTCTTAACAAGTTTTTCAACACAATACTTAGTATAATAATTATAACTTATTGAAATTTAATGAAACTGAAAAAAAAAATTATTGAGTAGATAATTTATGAAATAAGAAACCAGTTTCTAAGCATTGTTCTACGTCAATTCAGTCTGTGAGAGAGAAGTTTTTGAATCATTAAGGCATTTAAATGAATTGAAAAATCATAGTTTGTGATTAAATATTTTGATCTTTTTTATTGAATATCAGCTAAATTTATTTGAAAATTATTTTTTCAACTCAATTGTTAGAAGAAAAACTTTCATCATTAAAACATTTTAAACAATTAACCTTCAATTTTTCATAAGCGAAAAAAAATCATGAAATGGATTTCAAGTATTAAAAAAAGCACAAAAATCCAATATCATAAAATTTTAAAATTAAAGGACAATATAAAAAAAAATAGTTATGTGTCATATTGCTATTTTAATACTTTTACCAAAATTCATTATTAGTGCCAAAATACACATAGAATATTGACATTGATGCTATAAAATTTGTCTAGTCTCAAAACAACTGCTTCATATTTTATTTGCACTTTTTCTATATTACATATTGCAGTATTGCATCTTGCAATTTTGTTTTGCACCTTCAAAAACTGATAAATTTTTTTTCTTAGCAAACTACTCATTACGCTATGAACATTCATATATATAAAACAATACATACCAGACATTTGTGGTAATAATTCCTCTATATGCTGTAGCATAGATTGCAGCTCCATTTCTAAATCTTCTAGACTTTTACTAGGTTTTAAGATAAAAGTAGAGGATATCGAATTCTTAACAGATGGTGCAGACAAAAACTTTTTCATCGGAGTAACAGAATAGTTGCAATCATTAGGATTATAATTTAAAGATTCTCCATAACTATTGAAAGATGATAAAAATAATGGGCTTAATTTACTTTCACTTAAAGGTGCAATTTTTTCGGAATAATTTAAAGAACTAGTATTATTCAAAGAGGATCCCAAATCAAGTGAAATTCCTGTTGATTGCATAGGAGAAGGACACGTCATGGAAGAGGACGATTTCAATACATCTGAATCGGTGAAGTTTCCGGAACTAGCACTCTGGAAAACGGGAGTAAAATCCAACGAGGTGTTGCAATTACGTTGTTTCTCAGTGGTGTTTTGACTGTAATTGATGTTGGAGTTGGATAGATGATTCAAAGCTAGTTTTGGCTCATACAGAGGAATACCAGAACTTAGTGGAGTGCTTTCAAAATAATGATCCATTTTATTGAAAGGTACATGAGGAACAGGAGAAAGTCCAGTGTTTTCTTTTGAAATGTCATTAGTTTCTAAACTCTAAAGGTAAAAAACAAATTAATTAATTTTCAGGACTTGAAACTAAGCATTAAATAAATACAGACTGAATACATAGAAAGCTACAAATTTGCATCACTAAGTATTTCTCAACATTAAAAAACTTTATTATGACAGGATCAGCTATATTTAAAACGACAAAAAAATCTTAGTCCTAATTGGAAAAGAAACAAGATTTATTGTTTATTAATGAAGAAATTTTTTTTTAATGGCGGGCACTTGGGATGTATTGTCCCATTGGTCTCATATGCCAGGACTGCTACCCTCTTCTTGTTCCCAAGTGGGCACCTGTGGCGAAGTCACGGTGGTGGAACAGTGTCGCCCACGTCACACAACCACAAACCCGTTTATAGAGCGGGTCACATTCACACACACAAAGGAGAAAGGACATAGAGCACACACAGAGAGAGAAAGAAACATCCATGCCCTGAGCGGGATTCGAACCCATAGGCTCCGCAGTCAGGCATGCTAACCACTCGGCCACCTGGTTGGCATGAAAAAATAAATAAATAAACGAAGAAAAATAAAATATAGATAAATAATGAAAACTTTTACACTGATTTTCAAGTATTGAAAAAAATAAGACAATTGATAAGTCAATACTAATAATAACATGGTTATGAAATTAAAATCTTAATTAGCAATTTTTGTACATTAAATTTACATATCAATATTTACATTTCGAATTTTTATTTAAAAAATTTATGTCTTAAAAGTCATTAATAAAAAAGGATTTAGTAATTTTGAAACCAAATTCCTAAATACATTACCTGCAACAAATTTTTTAAGCGTTCAAGGATCAAATCTATAGTTGATGGATGATAAGGATCAGATTTCTCATTTTCTTCTCTTTGGGAATCATTCTTCACCTCTTCATTCTTAGGAATATTTTCTTTGCAAGATTCAGGCATAGAAAACTGATTTCTATAAATACATTATAAAAAAAGCTGAGTTATGAATAAGAATTATATCAAAGAAAATATAAAATAATCATCAGGGATAAACAACCTTTATTACATAGTGAACTACAAAAATAGAAATATTTTTTGCTATCTGGAAAAGTGTGTATGTAAAAAAAATAAATTATGAGAATATAGGCGCTTGAACATCTTTGTAAACACAAAGCACTATTGCCAGTTAAAAGGAAATACTTGGAGTTTTTAAAACGTATTAAAAACTATAACTATAAAATTCTCTGTGAGTTACTGTAATTTTATCAAAACTTTTTAATCTTTTCCAAATTACGAAAACTTAGAATAAATTTTACAGGCCATTTTTTGGACTGCGATCTATAAGTGCATGCCTGTTTATGTTAACTATTAGATCTGTCATTTAAATATATTCAAGGAAAAATGACACAATAAGAAATATAATTTTTAATAAATCATAAATTTTAGAAAAATTTATCACACATGGTGAACTTTATGATAGAGAAACTGTGGAGTAATGATTATAATGAAATTTCGTAATAAAAGAATATTACTGAGAAGTTTTCAAATATTTCATAAATAGGTAATTTTTTTTTTTCCTATCTGGGCTATCAAGGTAATTTAACTGAGTAAGAATTAACAAGAATTTTTTTTCAACATTAAATTTTTATTGTGGAAACTATATCACTTCTTGTTTCATTTTTTTAAATTTGTAATGAGATAAAAACAACAAAAAAAAAATTTTTTTTTTCCTTCCTTTCCCTATTACTTTTTTTACCTAAAGAGAAAAAAAATATATTTTAGTTTAAGATTCTAATATTTTCCAATATGTTAGCTTTACTATCTCAGAGTTTTATTTTTTTTGGACACAAATTAAAAAAAAAGAAAAGAAATATCAATCTAACATGAATTTTTCTTGTGCCTTCTTAACCGAACACCTAAAACTACAATGTTAATAAAGGGAGAAAAATATGCTCTAATTATATCATCCATAATGGTTAAATTTTTTAATATATTATAATGAGTAAGTAAACTTTAAATGTATTATACATATATGAAAGTAATAAAATTTGCAAATCTAAAATTTTCAGTCAAATGGTTCAGCTTTTTGAATGTCTGTAAATGTGTAGATATAAATATTCTTGAAAAATCACGATAATGCATGCCAGTTTCATGCTTCAGGTTGATTGGCTCTAGTTAATGACCTCAGATAAATTTCAACAATCAAGTTCTTTCACAGGTTGTATTTAACTATAGATAAAAATCTAATGATGGTGTCGCAGTTTTCCACTATTGTCATTACATTTTTATTAAATAGGAAATAACAATGTAGGATCCAAGTTTCCCACATTAATTTCCATTTCATTTTGGTAGGCATCAGCATAAAATTAATAAAAGCATTGTTTTCCGGTAAAATATTTTTGTATAAAAAATTTAAACGTATTTTAACTGTAATGTCTATTTTTTTTAAAAATTTATTTAACTCTACTATTATTAAGATTTTTAATTTTTTTTTTCTAAATCAAGTGTTCAAAACTAAAAGGATTATTTTCAAGTTAACATATAACTTACTTTATTATGCTACATTTTAAGCTAAACTTATTTGAATCAGTGTTTTAACTGGGAAAAATATACCTGAGGATGCCCCTTGGAGAAATTGGCGACTTATGTTTAGCGCTATTCCTGGTTGCGCGGAACATCGTGGTAACAGGAATGGCGGCCAAAACATAATGATATTTCAATAAAACATTGGAAGTTTTAAACAAATCATCGGCCAAAACTTAAAATTAACCCAATATAAGTAAAATTAATAAATTTGACGAAAGAGCACATAATAACCACATAAATTCGACGAAATATGAATCGAAAATGGCGTCCGTAATACCGGACTAGCAGTGACATTTTTTTCTAAAATCCCTTTTTATGACTGCCCACATACCTTCGATCCTATTGACCAGATTTAAAAGTAACCTTACCAGCCGATATCCAACGTAGAACTAACGGATCCCTGAAATTGCATATACCGTTGAACATTTAAAAATAACGCTAAAATCTAAACCAATCAGAATCACAATTGGGTTTCAACATCGCCCAGCTTGGTGATCAACCGAGATCACAACTTGGCGAGAATCAAGGGGCACCCTCAAATATAGCCTACCCTTTTAACTATTATTATTTTTTATAATATATTTAACTACAATTATTTTTTTGGTGTTACGTTTTCTTGTTGACCGCCATTGGAAGTTTTTTGGATTTATAAGCTATTGCTACAGTAACTTCTCTTTTTCTTGCACTGTTTGTTTTCTAGACATGGTTCTTTGCGTTTATTGCTGTAGTTGTCTTTAATCTTGCCATTTGGAAAAAAAAAACATCTTTTTTTGTGGGTAAGTTACATTACTATGCTACTATAAATTGCTGTTAAAGAGATTTGTTAAATGATTTATAATTTCACGATCAGCTTCATGCACAATATGATGCATGCAATAATAGTATTTAATATATCAGCTTATTTGGTAAGCCAAAAATATTAATTTATGGTAGTGAATCAACTAAATTTGCTATAACAATAAACCTATAATTTTCAATATTTAAAAAAAATAATACAAATCAAAATTATTTATGTTCACTAATAGATCTTAAAAGAATAATACAAGATCTTCATACTATTTACCGATCAAATTTAACCCAAAATAAAAATTCATTTCAACTTTCGTAGAAAAAATTATTTTATGCTAAAAAAAAAAGAAGTTTTTTCCAACTGTGACACCTGTAAATATTATCAAAATAAATAAGACAAATGTTAAATATTCTATACTTATTTGTGGGTACCTTTTCTCACTTTCAAGTTGAGAAATTATTACAGCTAATTCCTAAAATAAAAAAAATAATAATTTAGAAATTTTACACTATGTACTTAATTTAATAGCAATTATGGTTAAAATAAATACAATTAATGAAAATAAATACCTTGACAACATATGAGGCAGTGGACTTTTTCAAAGAACAATTTAAAACTGGAGAGTTAGATGGATGATTTGATTTATCTTTTATGCTAAAAAGAAAAGTTGAAAGAACAAGTTCTAATATGATAAATCAAATCACATTTCTCTAGAACAACATACATTTACTACTATTTATTACATTTAAAATTTCCTCTTTAAACAGTTTAGTCAGTCTGTAAGATTAAGAAACAATCTGGATAGTTTGGAATTTTTCTAAAGCAGAGTATATTATAAATAATCTATATTGAAAATTTTATAATAAAAATAATTTAAATTTTAAATGAATGAGCTTTAAGTGTGATAGAAAATTTTGTAAAATAAAGCACATTTTTAAACATATCTATTTATCCACAAAACTACATCAATGATAAAACTATTCATCCAACTATTTTCCTTCATTTTCAGTAAGGTAAATAAATTATATGGATTTAATGGTTAGTAAATATCCATGAAAGATTAAAAGTTCAAAAAATGCATTTAAAATCGTGAGTCACCTAAAAAATTAGGTATTTAGATCATATTAAAAGAATAATAATAATACAAAAAAAAACTCAAAAGTTTACTTTTGTCACATTAAATAAGCACATGTTTAGTAAATTGTAAGATTATACATTTGTGAAATAAATTTTTTAAAAAAGAAAAGATGTAAATGAAAAGAATTTGTTTTCTACATATTTGTATATATTTTTGTTATGATTCTCTATAGTTATGGTAACAATAACAAATCCTACATAAAATATTGCCATTAAAACTTCAACATATATACATAAACACGTGTGCATCAATGTTTAGTATTTATTTTGCTAATAATAGTAAATATTTTATGCACAACAAAATCCACTGTATCAATAAAATTTTTAATTTACACTTCTCATCAAAAATAAAATAGAATTAAAAACTATTTAAAAAATATCTTTTTTAAGGCATACATATTAGTTGGCTTAAAACAACTATTGTTTTCTATTTTTGTCCATTGAATAACACGAGCAAAATAAGTTTACCTTTGCGAAATCAAAAAGATTTAACTGTGAATAATTGCTATTTTGAGATACAAATTTGATTTTCAATCTGATTTTCTGTTAATGTAGACTAAAAATGCATAAATATCTTTTAAGAAAAGAAAGAAGTACCTGTCACTGATACTTTCTTCATCAAAACTCAAATAAGCTTTGGATGGACAGCGAACAAAGGAAATATTATTTCTTACAGCATTAATGACAGCTTTTGCTTCCTCCCATTTGGTTGCCTGAAGTGCAGAAAAAATTATGAAATTTATTTATATAATCAGGCAAAAATTATGCAAAAGACAACAGGATGCAACTTACAGGATGACAAAATTCTTGCACAGGATGTTTTTCTTTATGTCCCTTGTTGACACAGCCATGAAGGAAACAATTCTGGCATAAATTATAGTTTATGCATTGTATACATCGATATCTGTAATGTGTTTAGTTAGTTGAAAACAAATTTTGGAAGATAATATATATATACTTATCTAATGATTTCTGTTTACTTGCAGCTTAAGCGCAATAAATGAAACTTATTGTTTTTCTTAACTTTCTTCGTGTTTTCTTGTATTTATTTATTTATTATATATATAATGCTGCTAGATATTAACAATTGGTAGTTTTATTTTAATACAGGTACATTGAGTATCACATTAATCACCGATTAGGCTGAATACCTTTTTTTAAAGATGATAAATAAATAAAATAATTTTGGGTTCAATTTTTAGTTTGATTCACTTTAAAGCGGTTATAAAATTGTAGGTAATTAAAAGTATCAAATGCCTGCCCAGTTTCTTTATAATGATTAGTAATAAAATAGTTATTTTGATTTTAATGTCATATGTAATAATCAGATTCTACAATCGTAAATTGAAAGTAAAGAAACAATATAATAGATTAGATTTAATAAAACTTTTCCTTCTTGTAAAAAATTTTGTAAAAAAAAAGTTAACGCTTTTTAGCTTAAAAAGAAAACAAAATAAGTTAAACAAAATAAATAAGTAAAACTTTCTATTTTTCTTAAAATGTGATTTAAAAAAAATATTTTCAGATTTAAAAGATCGTCGATAAATAAAAGATGTTGTTGCTAAAGAAATAAGTAAATATCTTTTAATAATATAATAATTAAATAAATAGAAACAATGGCAACAACATAGTATTTTAACATAAATAGGACATGTTACCTGAAACCAACAACTGGGTGGATATGACAATAATCACAGGTAATGGAATGATGAGCTGAAAAATCCAAGATGTAAAATAAAAAACACAATAATTAGAAGTAGAAAAAATGAGTCAAAAGAAATATATGGTTTGTTGCATTCTGCCTAGGATTTTATTCATATTAAGTTTGAAAATCAGTTCCAAAATTCCTCAATAGAGAGTGCTGCTGACTGGAAAAACTTAAAAACAATGCTTTCTGCAGCATATTAGAACATTCAAACTGCAAATACTGTCAGACCTCGATATAAGGTCACCCTAAGGGACATTGCAAAAGTGACCTTATAAGCGGGGTGACCTTTTAACCGATTCATTAGCAGATCGCAAAGCACGTAAATAGTAAACATTATGACTTGCTAAAATGGTAATACAAACAAAAACGATCAGCCATAAATTAAATAAAGTTAGATTTTTAAATTTTTTTTCAAATTTAAAATAAAGCTGTTTGCAAATTTCGTCAAAGTGTACATACATACATTACATCTTACCTTATTTAAAATAATCATTTATGCAGGTCTGTCTCGTTTTTGGTTTCATTTTTTCGAACAATGTTTTCTAGATATTGTAACTTCTCAAAATGTTCCTCAGCTCCCTCATGGTTTATAAAAAAATTTCATATGACATTTATTGCATTGAAGGCTTTCACTTGGGTTACATCAACAGTCTCAGGATCACTTTCATTGTCTTCACTGTCTACAACTTGTGAAACAATTTCAGAAATTGTAGCTTGTTTGTTGGCTGCAACATTTTCCTTGAACTCGAGAGGGGTAATTGCCTTGTACGGAAGTTAAATGGGCTTTTGTTAGAAAAGAGCTTCCCTCGACCTTAAAAGCGATTAAAAAATTACCTTATAAGCGATAACGATTTTTAAAACTTGACCATATATACGATAATCTGTAACAAAGGATTCCCATTCCGTGAGCCGGAACTTTGGAAAAGTGACCTTATATGCGGGATGACCTTATATTGAGGTCTGACTGTATTTGCAAAAGTATCTGCTGTTTTCAGACTGTGGCAGGTTATTAATTTAATAATTAATATAAACATAGCAAATAAAAATTAATTTAAACATTTTGTTTTGAAGTATTCTTAGTTAACTGTTTCTAAGCTTAGTATTTCGGTATACCTGGTTCTTATTTAAAAAAAATCTATGTATATAATGAACATTTGAACATTAAGATGAGTAAATAATATTCATTTTTAATTTTGAAACTGAAAGTAAATACCTGAAACAAAACATCAATAGATGGAGAAAAAGATAAATGTAATTACTTGTTTCAGATGCAGCAATTCTATGAAGAGTTGAGATCCATACAAGAGACTGTGGTTCTAAAACTAGCCACTTTTGAAAGTTTTTCAATGTAACTTTTCCTTTACTCTAAAAAATATAGTATGAATAAAATCATAACAAAAAATTTGTAATAAAATAAAACAGGGAAAAACTGCCCAATTTCAAGTATAGATTAAAAATATGAACACAATTTTGATGTCAGGAGTATAACAAAAAATAGGGTGCATCATATTTGAAAGATCTGTAGGGAAATTCTAGGTGATTTTGAAAGTGATAAGCCTAACACTTCTTATTTTAGGTCTGACAAAAATGTTCTCCTTTTTAAACTAATTGAAAAACATAGAATTTAGAATTTTTTTTTTATTTTATTATTTTCTTCTTTTAAGTTTTGTGAATGTTAGTCTGTTTACATCAAAAAGTAGTCAAAATTTAAATTTGCAATGAAATTTCGCTTGAACTATTTAGAAAACAATTGGCAGAGAGCACTATCGTGATAAAATAGCAAGATAAATTTTGCTAATAGAGGTCAGAAAACTATTGAAACTTGTATTGGCATTGAGCTCAGACCCAGATGCCATTTGATTTGAATACTCAAGCTTGTTGGAAAATGGTCAGAATTTTGATAAAGATAAAATTTGACTGAAGAGATCATAAAAAACAAAGATTTTTTAAAAAAAGAAGGGGGGAAAAAAGACCCAGATGACATTTGAGCTTTTAAGTTAATTTCAAAAATGGGTAAAATTTTTATTGACGATCAATCCTGTTTGCAGCCCCCAAAAAGTATAAAACATGCATTATGATCATGTACGAAGCTCAAGTAGAAATTTAAACCCTCTAGTTAGTAAAAAAAAGACAACATTTTGGTAGCAGGTCTCAATCCTCTCTGATATGAAAACAACGTAAAAAATGTCAAACATTTTAAATAAAACTCACAAATTTCAGCAGATGCTTAATGGATTTGGGCACAAGATGAGAACCAAATGTCACTTGCTCTCCCACAAGGTTTGGAAACTATAAGGGAAAAACTAATTTAAAAACTGTCAGATATAAAAACTAAACATAAAGAAAACGAAAGATTTAAACATTTTAGCAATAAAAAACTTTTTGATTTTCTGGATTTTAAAATGATTTGTAGTAACAAGACATAAAATATATTTCTTAAATTGCTAAAATAAATAAATTTAGAAGTTATTACCTAAAAACTTTTTGTTAACAACTTTTGATAATAAAAATTTAACAACCTTTATTTCAATAATATAACAACTCGTTTACAATAACTAGTTACAATTATTTAAACTATCATAAATGAATAAATTAATTTAAAAAAATTATCATCATTTCCTAATATTCCATATTATTTTACTACAAAAGATTCTAAGTTTCTCAAAAAATTTAATTTTAGTTAATTCAATGTAATGAATCTATGCATCAAATTCAAGGAGACAAACAGAAATGAAATAAACAATTAAAAAAAGAAAAAAACACTTTTGAGCATCAATTTTTGAATCAAAAGACCAATAATAGAAAAATAAAATATAAACAAAGTGCTACACTATTTGAAAAAAGTAGAATAGTTCCTTGATTTCAAAGTTAAGCACATAATAAAGTCTTAAGATATAATTAAAAAGTTCACGCAAAAACAATCCATAAATTGTTTATCAAGCAAAATGGTAAAATGACACAACATCATAAAAAATTACATAATGTCTTTTCATTAAATAATCCTGTGTGTTCACTAAATAACATTATTTTTTGAAAATTCAAAGTAACATTGTAGCATTTAATATATAAAGGTTCTTCAATTAGATAGATTGCAAGAGTGTTTTATCCTGAGCAATTGCCTATCACACCTTCAGAAATTTGGAACAAAGGATCAACACAGTTTTAACCTCAAATTTAGATCAATGTTTTTTATCATTGTAAAAAATATCATGAATTATAAAATGCCATTATTCACTTCCTAAAAACTACTTAAGCTATCAAACTAATGTTTGTTTTTTATAATAATTCTAAATTATTCATGCTACAGTGTTGTTTTACCTTAGGCTTGTAAAAAAAAAATTATTATTGTTTAAATTTAATTATTTAGTTTAATTTTAAGCTTCAATAAATTATTTTTAAGTAATAAAACAGAAATTTTATTTTCTGTATAAAAATAAGGAATGATAAGCTGCAAAATATATCCATTATTTTTTAAACGAAGAAAACTGCAATTAAATTGAAACATAAATTAAAATTAATTTTATAAAACAATGAAACTGCATTTCTCCAAATTCTTACCTTAGATAAAGAAGTTAACAAAATGGACAAATTCTCCTTAGTCAAGATATTTCCATTGGAACAGCAGTGAAATAAATCTAGAAAACATTAATGATACTATTAATAACTAACAATTTTGTATCATTAAAATAAAATACAATGCATTTTTCATAATTCTTGAGTATCAGATTTTTTGTAACAATAAATGCAAGTTTTGCTATTCTGAAGAACCCACCTTAAAGATAATTAGTATAATCAAAATTTATTTGTCTATGCAATTTTTTAAACTAAAGATAAAATAAATTTTTAGAAGATGTGCTCTTAGTAATGACAGGAAAATTTGTATTCAAGTTTTGAGGTGTGGGAGCACTGATAAAACTTTTATTTGACACAAAGACATAATTTTTCAAAATGATTTATTATAATTTGATAATTATCAATTAAGAAAAAAAATTTTCCTGTCATACTTCTAGTTTATTTCCCTATATATTCCGGGGGAAAATTCATAGAAACATGCTACTTTAAATATATCATCTGTTGTCTTCAACCAGTATCAATCTATTGCATTGCTGAACAAAGATATTCTTCAAACTTTTACAATTCAATCAACTGAAACTGCTGCTCTTGCCTTCCAATTACATCAGAAACTTATCTAATTTCATCAGACTACCTTGTTTTATTTTATTTTATAGCCTGCATTGAACAAACAAACCACATTTTTGGTCTACAACTATCAGTGTTCAAATCTGCAGTCTCGTAGTTTAAAATCCGACCTAGAAGACAAAGGAACTCAAGAATAACTCCCAAATAAACAAGGCTAGTTGACCAACTCATGTTGGTGTTACGCCGGGAGGAAAACAACGAAAACATCACATGGTTAACCTGATGACGAGAAGATTTTAAGTCATGATTTGTTAACTAACTGTTTTACGTCAGCATCGCGATCTGTGTAGGCTGGGAACAGAATTTGCATTGACCATCTCGATTGAATGATGTCACAAGGATATTAGTTCTAGATGATTTCAATTATCTGCTCTGTATGGCCAACCTATTGCCATTCTGAATGCTGAATTTGCTTGATAATAAAGATTTTAGTTTAATGTTTCACTCAGAGCACTGAAGCATTTGCTTTTTCTTGTAATACCGAGTTAACATCTTTCCATATTTCTTTGTGCTGTTTAAAGCCATGCATAGATATAACCTGATATATTTTAAGATCTATTTTTATCTATATTTTCAGGGATATTTTTTAATCGAAAAAACATATATAAATACAATAAATGTTTATCTTAAAATATTTTCATTTTTATGGAAGTTATAAAATAAAAATTACTTATTACACAATTTTATATTTGACTCTGAGAAAAGTGTTAAATATAGATATAGCACATTAAAAGCAATAAAAATTACATCAAGATTAGCTACTATTAATTAATTTATATTTCTAACATAAGAAATATAGCTCTAATAGAGATTTCAATTTAATATATATAAAAATATAATCATTAAATCAAAAGTAATGAAAGTGTTTTGTCAATTTTAACTAATATACAATGCAGAAGTGACAATTTTACTTACACTTGAATTTTTCTGATAACTTAGCAGATGAAAAGAGTGTGAGAGCAGTTTTTAAGTGAAAGAAAAGGATAGGTCTTTCATTCCTGAAATAAACACAATATCAAATAATTAAAATATAATGTGTGATAAGAAATAAAAAAGATATCACATAATTTCTCTCACTTAAAATTACAATAAAACAAGCAGATCATTAATGAAAAATAGAATAGAACAAATTAAAAATAATATAATAACTGTAGATGCCAATATATATATATAGATATTACTTTATTGATTATTATTATTTATTCTTTTAAAATTTTAGTTTATTAAAATTGCCACTAGTTTGATTAATCATTCTGGCTAAATATGAACAAAAGTTTTAGCATGATTAACAGATAAAAACAATAAAAAATGTTTTTAAAAAAGATTTAGATATAGTTTTAACAGAAATCAATATAGGCTAATAAGAAATAGATTTAAAAATAAAATGCAAGAAAAACATTAATCTTGAATAATTTCTCTAAATCCTAAAAATGTAATCCAAATAACTTTAATGTAGCTATTAAAAACAATTTTTCAGGGTATAATTAATTCAGTTGAATCACATTGCAATACAATTATAGAAAAGTGATTAAAACAATAACATACAAAAACCACTAACAGGGTGGCTAATTTTATAAGTTACAGCAACATGAACATGAAAAATTAACTTACTCTACAAAAGTGTTTTGTAAAAAAGCAACAAATAAAAATGCCATTTGATTAGGTTCATCAGAAAAACCATATTTTTTCCCAGCTTCTGTATACAGAACAGACATCAAGCTATGAGCTTTTGCTAAAGTGATAGTTTCATCAAGGGAGGAGTTTTCGAGTTCATAATCATTTAAGATTGTATTTACAGTCATTAAGTCAACTCTGTGTACTGAAATAGATAATTTTTTTTAAATAAAAATTATTTTCATTGCAAACATATATATAGTAAGAAAAGTATATGCAGTTATAAAATAGTACCCAAAGAAAACGTATTTAAATAAGCTGGATTAATTTTAAGCAAAATTTGAAACCATTGGGACACTTAAAACTAATTTACCCTCATGAGGCCATGCAAATATTACATCACAAGAATATTTTTGGCAATTTCGGACACCCCTTACCCAGTGTCAGCAAAAATAAGCAAAATGCAAAACCCCTCCAATGCTTATGCAAGAAAGTTACACCCCCCCCCGGTTTTTTCTTCAATTTTGACTGTAGTTATCTAGTTTTTGGATGGTTTATCCTGCTTGCCTTCTGATGAAAACAAAAACACCCTCCTTGTCTTTTTTTTAATAACTAACTGTTTTTATAAATAAAAAAAAGTGATAGTCTTAATAAATTTTGGTTCAATTTAATTTAAGTACTAACTTAAACTCTACCAAATAGATTGTCTTTCTTTGTATATTGATAATTAGATCTTATGTCTGAATAAAAATAAAGCTTGCAAATCATCATTCATTTTAGCAATTTATTTAACAAAACTGCCACTTATGGTGATCATTAAAAATACCTTTACAATCATACAAAATATTGTTATTTTAAATATAAAGTAATTTAAATTTCATATTAATTATGGCTGTTTGATTCAATAATTTTTAAAAGATTGATTGAATTTTTATTTCTGAATGTTTGGTTTTTTAAAAAAATACAATTATTAATACATAATATTAAATGTATTTTGCTAAAGCTTTCCCTTATTTTATTGGAAAGATAATTATATCATCAACTGACCCTCAAAACTGATTGTACTTTTTTCTTTCTTTTTTTAGAAACATGCACTTTTTTTAGACCTCTGCATAATCATAATACCACAATTTGAAACTATTCTGCAGTTAAAAATAAAAATTGAAAATTAAGAAAACAGTTTTGAAAATGTGTCAGTTATAGAATTGTTTATTGAAAGAAAGAAAAAAGTATTATTTTACTCATTTTAAAATATTTTGCGTAAAATAAGGTACATTGAAAAAAGAAAATGCTTTGATTACATATCATTCCAGAATAAAATTAAATTGTGAAGTGCTCAGATTAATTTTAATTTATTTCTTATAAAAACACAGAAATTAAGGACTTCTTTATGAACTTTAATATAAAGGAACATCAATTTTAAGCCAATATACATTAAATGCATAAAGGACATTTATATAATTGTTTTTTAATGGATATGAAATGAACAAATAAACATAAAAATATTCCTAATTTACAGAAAAATTTATTAAACTATTCTAAGTAATAATTTAATTCAACATTTTTTAAAACTTCATTTTAACAGTCAATGTTATTTTCATATTAAAATGTGAGCTAATAATAATAATAAAATAAAAAAATTCAGGCTGTTGATGACAAACTGCTACTGAACTAAAGAATTACTAACTAAAGAATTTCATACCAAAGAAAAAAAAATAGATCATCAGAGAAATAGTTTAAATTTTTTATAAAATACTTACATTATACAATCAGGAAGCGTCAAATTATTAACCGTAACTAGTTAATTACAGTATTTTGCACAGATTTGAAAACATTATTAAAAATTTTTATGTTTAAATTCTAAGTTAAAAGTCTTAATCTCTCTCTTAAGTCTTAATCTCTTAAGTCTTAATCTCTTAATCTTAAAGTCTAAATAAGTATAAATAAAAACATATATCTTAAAAAGAACTCCATTTTTTATATAAATTTAGATTCTTACACTTAGATGCTTTCCGGATGGTATGAAGCTTAAATGCAGTTCGATAGGCAGCATATTTAAATACATCGTATCTTTTTACAGATTCAATAATAGTGGAAATTTTTGGGACATTTTCTTCACTGAAACCTGATGTACTGAAATAGAAATAAATAAACATCAATCGTAATTACTATAAGCGCACAATTTTATTGAACAATAAAATTCAAAAGATTTGCCCTCTTTTAATTTTTTATAGAAACAGTTAGTAACAAACTTTAAAATATAGAGAACAATAGTTTTATTATTATGACTAGCTGAATACCTACTCATTGTACAGGGTAGAGATAAAAAACTGCCTCAATTAATCAGTACTGAACAACACTGTAAAATTGTGTTCTAAACTTTCAGACAAATACAGACATATATATAAGAAAACCAAATTGATTCCAATGTTTTTTTATTTAGGTACTTATTATTATTATTTGCTGACCTTCTTGGTGGTTTTAAGTTATTAGTCAAAGAAAAACACATTTTTAGTACTTCAGCCCATTAAAATAAAAATTAACTGTATTCAGTATCATCTGGCATAATGCTGTTGCTTAAGGCAACTCGTGATGTTTAAAATTTACCAGAGTCAAGCTTCTTTCTCCTGTACTTATATCTTCGAGGAACTGTACAAAATCTATTATAAAAATGTACAATATTGGTCCAGCTGTAATCGGTACTAAATTTACTCATAAAATTTGTTCTACTTTTATAAGAATATACTTGGTATCCACTAAAACTGCACGAATTATCATGATGTCAGCAGTGCCTGTTACCAAAATTAAGCATCATTGGTGTTAATAATAGTAGGGTGACTTTTTAGGGTTACCCGTACGAATAAGTACATTTTCTCCATTAATTTTGTCTTTTAAGTCATAGATTAGCGATACATGGCAAAAAAGTTTGTTATAAATTAAATAGCAACCTATCGATATTTAATTAAAAGTTTAAGTAAAAAAAGGTTAGAATACTTTCTTCAACAAATCATTGTTTTTTTTTTTTTTCATTCACAAATAATTTTATATATCTGATCTTTTTAGTTTGGCAGTTCAAAAAATAATTCATAATTCTTCACACAGCCAAAATCTCACAGAAAAAAAAATGGCTACTTTTACAAAATGTCTTATAATTATGTATAATCAATAAGTTATACTATCAAATAGCAGTAACTAGTCAATACATTGCGGGAACCTGTTGCATAAAAATATGTAGACAACAAATTTGTGAGATTTTTCTTAGCTTCAAGGCAAAATTTAAAATAAAATTAAAACCAAGTAAATTACTTTACTAATTATGTGAATAACAAATTATTCAAATGTTCCATAGAATAGGCAATTCAGAAACAATAAGGCAGTTTTAATTTTTCAAAAAAATTATTTTTATATTAGGTTATGTAAAGCTCAAACTAATTCATTGCATGTTATAATCTCATTTATCTCTTAACACATTCATAAAAAAATGTAATAAAAAAATCAGGATTAGATTCGATTGAAGAAATTTATTTTTAGTGTCAAATACTGGAAAAAACTTAAAAAAAGGACAAAGAATAAAAAAGTTTTTAAATTTTTTCGAATGGCAGGTACTGAACGTTGAACTCGGCCACTTGGCCGGCGTTTGTTGGAGAAAAAAATTATAATAATTAACCGAGTTCAAATTATTTTAATAACATACTTAAATACATGTTAACATAAAATATATATAGTTGTGACATAACAAATTTATCAAAAAATATATAAGATTTAATAAAAATTTCATTTATATACAAAGATCAGCAATTTATATTGTCAGTTATACAAAATTTTCTTTCATGACAAATGAATTTCAGTTTTTTAAAAAAATGGCTTATTACTATCAATATTTATTTCTTATTACGGATACTTTAAACATTACAATAATTCTTATATTTTTACAAAAAAGTGTTACATGTTTAGTTTTTGACAGTTTTAGACAAATGTTTTTAACTAGTGAACATCTCAGCATCATACCATAATTGCATTTTAATAATGATGCTGAAAATTGTAAAAAATAAAAATCAGTGAAATTTAACATTTTTTTCTTTTTTTAATTTAAACGAATTCTAAAGTATTTACTAATATTACTTTCTAATATTTTTAACTATTTCAAGCGTTATTTATTAATTTCAAGGAAGGCTTCTTTTTTAATTCAAAAAGTGATTCAAACAATGCTTCGTTTTTAAGCTAAAATTAATTTGTCCATTGTCAATACGTTCATTAATTTAATTTCATCAATTCTTATTTACTATACATTTTAATCTAGACATCTAACTCTTAAAATCTTATTTATCAATGACTGCAATTTAATCTAAGATCGATCATGACTTTCTGCACAGTGAATCAATAAGATTTTTTAAGATCACACAGAAGTTTTCAAATTCATTTTATATATTATTAGAATGAATGAATAATTAAGTACAAACCTAGTATAAACAGCTGCGTGATTAGTCTCCAGTCTATTTTCCCACAAGGTAGAATTTTCACCTAAAAAGGAAAATAATTCAAGATAAATAAATTCAACACAAAATAATTAATTAACTAATGACGATTTAGTACCCTTAAAACATGACAGCATGATGATGAATGAAAAACACGAAAAATAAAGCAAAAATTTAACGTTTAAATGAATAAATTAAAAATTACAACTTCTTGTTTATATTTTTAACATACTTAATTTCAGCGGTTTTTTTTAAATCGGGCAGTTGCAGTTACTTTGTTAATTTAAATTTGGGGAATTTAAAAGTTTTATAAATTATACTACATTTTCTTAGATAAGAAACAATAAATTTAATTTATTTATAAACAATCATAAATGTTCCAAATTTGTTCAGTTTATTTAAATTTCATATTTAAATATACCTTTTTTTGCATGGTGTGGCATCAGTTACAAGAAATTAATTATAGCAAGTTTCCGTTGGCACTCACTTTCACTTCAAATCAGCAGAATCAGAAACTTGACAAAGATCGCTTGCTGATGATGTTCCTGACCGAAACTCTCGAAAAATTTCAATTTATGATTTATTTTCAGTTTCTGGATTGCATGTGATCGAATGCAAGAAATAAAAGTTTATCTGTCTTAATATTTTTGCGATGATAAATATATATTCTTCTTTTCGTCATTTAGTTATTTTAGTTTGCATAACAAATATTTCTTTCTCCCTGACACCAGAGTTTGGTAAATCTCATATTTAGCATTCAAAATTTTTTTGCATTGTATCAAGAGTGTGTTGCAAATGTGAATAATTTAAACAATATAATTTTTTTTTTAATCCACCAGTTGTTGCTCTTAAAAAAGAAATGAAAAATCGCGTTATATATTTTCCTGTAACAACCTTTGGATCTTTTGGAGTATTAAATATATTTTAGACTTAGAAAATACTCAAACCATTTAATATAAAAATGATTAGTTTTGTTGTCTTATTTTGATTTTAAATTGTGGTGGACATTAATAATCCTCTGTTAATTATTTTTTGTAGATTTTATTGTATTACACATTTTATAATTCACGTGAGTTAGTTTTTATTTGCAGGGACAAAGTTTCTGAATACTTCCAAGTTCATTCATTAAATCATACTGGGGGCTGTAATAAGTTTACTTTTGGCATATTTCAAGAGAATATTCTTATTTTTGTACCTACGCAAATAGTCTCCAAATTTCGGCGATAACCAAGCACTAAGGAAACTAACTCATACCATATATGACTTTTAACCACCCATGGGCAAACCATTGCATATATTTATTTTTGAAATTTTTCTGACATTCTCCATGTTTATTTATAGCATATAAGTCAAATTACTATTCAATACTATATCTCATTATCTTTTTGTCACTGCCTGGTTGTTCCTAAGACTTGACAATTATTTTGATTCAGGTAGTGATACGGTAATCATCCTTATTCCAAGGTAATTAATTACAAGAATCTTTGTACTCCTATTAGCCATATCTAATCTATGCCATTCCCCTTAATTTTCATCTGTACATTTTTTATGTTAAATGAACAATTGTTTTTAATTTTTATTAATTAAATATTTCAGCTTAGTTGATATTAAAAATTAATCTAAAAGCAGTGACTTGTAATGATCATCAATGGTTGCACTCCGTTGAACAGAAACACACTAATAAAAAGAATTGTTATTCATTCTGATAAAAATAATAATAGTATGCTACTTTTAATTAATCAAATGGACAATAATTAGTAAATCATTTCTACTGCTCTGGCTTTCTTACATTGTTTTTTCCAATCAAAGATACCCAATTTCCCATTGCATATTTCATAAGGATTTCTGTTTTGTTACAATGAAAAAAATATGGTTTGCACATTATCAAAAATATTCTTCGTTACTTAAAAATTATTATTAAAATATTTTTTTGATACTTACTGATTTATTTATATAAAAAAGACAATAAAATATATAGATTATTGATTATATTCTAAAATTTTTCTTTTTTCAATAGGTGAGTTAGCTAAGCCAATTTCTTTAGAAATTTCTGTCTCTGAAGTTTCTGCTAATAGTGTAGAGATTGATTGGCATTTCAAGGATGAACATGCGAAATTCATCTTAACCTGTGAATTAGTTTATGGACCTGTCGATGATGCTTCTCAAGTTCAAGTATTTACACAGATACAGCTTATGGAAGAAAAAATAATTAAATTGAGTCATTTGGAAAATAATGTTACTTATCACATGCATATGATATGTCATAATGGCACTGAAGATAAAGTTCAATCAAATACTCTTCAATTCACAACTGGTACATGAGAAAAAAATATTTTTATTTGCTTATTTTTCTCTAAAATAAATTTTTAATAAATGTATTTTTGTTTTTAGGGTCCAAGACTTTACCATTGAATTATGTGATGCCATCCAGCAATTTTCATGGCCACAGTATCATTCCTCGAGAAAATTTTTATTCACGTGATGAAGACTACGTTCGTAATGTCAGATCCTCTAGTGTGATTTTAGGAGCAGTTTGTGGAATTATCGGCTTTCTCATCATTAATGTAACAATTGTCATGGCTGTCCGTAAATACTCCCATCGTCAAATGAGAAGGCGGCGGATATTAGAAATTGAGTGAGTAAAACTTTTTATTTTTCTTGTAAATCTATTGCATTTTGTTACTAAATTATTAAAAAGAATCAGACTTATAAATAATGTATGTACAATTCAAGTAAGATGTAATAAATATGATTGTTTAAAAAGTTACAAAATATCGATGAATTCTATTTATATTTAATCTATTTTATGTAGTTTTTGAAAGAAAAATGTATCTTTTTCAGTTTAAAGTAAAAACTCAGGACCAGTGGTACTCTCTAGTCTTTCTTTTTGGTTATATTTTCTTAAACTTTTGTGTTTGGTTATGTTTATAACCAGGGTTGGCCAGGTTTAGGACAGAATGGATTAGTCCACGGTTTAAACCGTCCTGTCCAAAACCCTTTTACTCAAATTATGTCACAATTTTATCTGAACAATATTTAAGAGGTAAAATAAACATAGAACTAATAACATATTGATAATTAAATATACTAGAGAATATTTGTTTTTAAAAGTATAATGTTTTATTAATATTGTTTGACTCTTCAATTTAAACAAAGGAAGATTAATCAGTAATCAAGTTCAATTGGTCCTCTCATTCAATAGTACATAACTGAAGTTTGGCCTTGCCATACAGGTTAAAATATTAGGGACTAAGTGCTTGGTTCGTCATAAACAGGTTTATTTATCTATAGTACTATTCAAGAATACTTTTATTTCATTCATGTTCAATTCTTTTAGCATAGTGGTGATACATCACCAGTGTCAGTAACTGAAACTGATGTTATGCCCTTCAAAACTGTTAATACATTTTTCAGTTATTTTGTATTTTCAATTTAAACTAATATATTTATATTTAAAAACATTTTTTTTTAAAATAGATGTCTTTTTTATCATCCTGTGATGCAGAAATTATAACATTTTTTTAAAAAAATATTGTGAAAAATAAAAGGTTAATTTTTGAACAAATTTAGTATTTTTTTTAAGAAAAATTATTATTTTTTAATATTGCCATATTTATCCTTATGCAAAAATATTATTTATCAGTATTAAAAGCATATTTATATTTAAAGGATTAGGTATTCACTTTTGTTGTTCAATGAATTGTGGAGCTTCAAAAATTATAAACCTTTTCCTATTATATTATATTATTTTCTTTTAATAAGTTATAGTAAATTGTATAAAAAATATCAAATATTTATTGATACATGTAATTATTATGTGTACAATGGTTACACCTATAGAATTTTTACCTTTTACCAAAGTTCAAGGTTTTGGACACTTTAAGACAGTTTAACCCAGTTTAGGACAGTTTTACCCAGTTTAAGACAGTAAAACCCACGTGTCCTGTCCAAAACCAGTTTAGGACGTGCAAAACCCCAACCCTGTTTATAACACAGCTCTTTGTACTTTATTACAATACCGTTTAATTATAACATTGTTTCATTGATTAAGCATAGTTCTGTTTTGATCTTGGCAAATGGCCAGTTATGCTAGATGCAAATGTTGCTATCAAATTTAGGTGAAGAAATTACTATGAAGTTTTTATGAGGCAAACATAGCATTCTCAATTTTAGTAACAAATTTTTGTTTTACATATTTTTCTTTCCATAGCTTTAGTAATATTTTTGCTTGAAGTTCTGTTATACCATTAAAATCTACATCAATTTCTCTATCATATTTAACTTTCGAATTTCCTTATTGTAGACAAGAAAATTTTAGCATGTAAGGTGTTAAAATATATACATATATATGTGTGCGTGTGTGTAATATAGAATGCCTCATACGATTCTTTCTATATTAAATGATGAGCTTAAAACAGATGTTTCTTATCAAGTTTAGGATATAGAAGTCGGTCTCTCACTGAAAGCCATAAAAAGTCAAGATAAACCAGATAAGGCCAGATAAAAGATTATTTTCTGAAGTTAATGGGCAAAAATTCGTAGATGAAGTATGCATTAAGATAGTCCCAAAAACTTCTCAGCGTCAGAGTGGCGCTATCTTTCTAGCGAAACAAAATCTCTAAATTTTATCATTTGAATGACGTTTCATCAAGATAAGAATATCCTTGCAACCACCTCCCTTTCAAGAACCTCTCTTTAAATATCAAGAGCACGGAAAATTCATTGCTTTTCCATATTTTTCATGGCTAGATAAATCTGGGCCAATTTCCAACATTCCTGCTAGGGAAACCTACAATGTAATAGTTGTAAAACTCCAGTGACCAATGTTTTCAATTCTTAATATAACTTAATAAAATGTCTTTTTATCTGAATCAGCCTAAATCTCTTAAGTTACCTAGCCTTTAAATGCATGTTATTACATATATATAATTTTGTTTAGAAAAATTTATTATTTATTAATAAGCATTATTGATCTCAGTTGAGTGTTTCCAAGTAAGTATGTCTATTATAATTAATTATTGTTCAAGTAATCTTAATTTTTCACTTACTATAGAGTAGAAAAATAGTAGGAGAATAAAAAATGGAAGAAAATGCCAATTCTTATTATTTTTTTAACTTTCATTAATTTATTTTTAAAAAATGTTCTGTAATTATTATTTTTATTGCAGAGAGCGTGATTATGATGAGTTTCCATACTTGCGTGGGGATGAATGAAGAATCCTAAAAATGTCTTCCCAAAATTATGAATCTAGTACTTGATAATAAGAACTTCATTTGATTCATTGGTCCATCATCTGTACGGGTTGTTGACAATCCTGTCCATTAAAACATACCAAGATCTTAAATCTTGGTCTGTTGCATTTTATATAAAATTTTAAACTATTCCTATTGACAGATATGAATACAATATTCTGTTTACTGATTTTTATTTGTTTATTATCTTTTTTTTAAATTGTGGAGGGACTCAGCTTTAAATTATACATTTTTATGATTGTTATAAAATAGTCGATATTTTTAATCTTAAATTTTTACTTTAGTTATTTATTATTATTATTTTTTTTACAAATTTCCTAAAAAGAATCTTAAATTATATGCTTTATATATGCTTTAGAAATATTTGCTGGTTTTTAAAAATATTAGATCTTCAAGTTTTTCAAAAGAGATCTTTTGATTTCTTGCACATTTTTTTAAAATTATTCCTAATTTTTTTTAAATAAATATTTGACTTTCTTAAATTTTTAAATATTTGAACCTAATAAATTATTTTAATAAGAAAATCTTGCCTTTAGGGAACGGGACAAAATCTATGGTTTGGTAAAGATTTTGTTTGCAAGTCTGGATTTAAAAATCAACAATGTATATCAGTTATCTCTTTTGTAGTGGTAAAAAATCATTGCTGTAAAAATGATCTTTTATTAAAGTCATGAAGTCAATGTATTTAAGTTAGAGATTTTCTTAAGTTTTATATAGTCAGTGTACTTTTTTTTCTGCTTGTTTTAAAGTTTTTTTATTTATTTTTAGTTTAGCTTAATTATTTTAAAAAAAAGAGATTTAATAAAAATTAAAAAAATTTATTTTATTTACACCATTTTTAATTTATGGTTGGTAGACTGTATTATCTGGGCCCTCCACTTCAGAAATTTTTGTATTGGATGCCATGTTTACTACTCATTTGTAAATAATACCTATTATTAGTGTGCAAAAAGTTTCAATACTTGTGTGAAAGCTAGTTTTCTATGCATTGTCCTTTTAATCAAAGTGCTTACTGTGATTTCAGTTGCATATGCCATGCTTTTATTCAATGCAGCTGAATAAATTTTTTAAACAAAAAAATCAACAAATTGTACATATATTTATGCATTTCTGTGATAAATACAGAACCATTAATTTTCAATGCAATAATATCTTATTCACTGTTATTTATTGCTTTGTTCTTTTAAAAATGTACTTGCTTTTATATTTTAATTGTATTGGCTATTGGGATGTCAAACTACTTGAAGAGTATTTCATACAGTTTTATATTTAAAGCACAAGCCTCTGTCATGATATGGAATCAGTCTTTTTAGTGAATGATAAGCTATTTTTGCAACTGTTGTGAATCTGACAATTATTTGTGACTTAAGTTTTGTCAATCCTTATTCTAATTGTGAAAATCAAAAGGGTTTGTGGTCGAATTTGTAAGTATTTGAAGAGTTTTCCCTACACTGCATTGTAAGTACTCATAAAGATATATTAAAAAAAATGTATTTTTTTTCGTCTAGGTTGAAAAAAAATTTCAGGTTAGTAATTTTTCGATATTTTTTTAAAAATTTTTTTGCTATTTTACCGTTTTCAAATTTTAAACAAATTTTTTTTTTATTGTGTTGCTATATAGTTAAAAGTTTTGATTTGAGTTCAAATCTCCCTAACTATGAGTTTATTTTATTTATCCTGGTTACTCTAAATGCTTTACTGTATTTAGAATAATTTTCTTTTTCATTTTTAGTAAGTTAAATGATTGAATTTTATGTATGTATGCATATTTTGCATTTTTCGTAATTTTGTACAGCTATTATTATTAATTTTTTTTTTTTAAATTTAAATCAATGTCCAATTCATCTTAATCAAATTTGAATTTATGTTTTGTGTCATTTTTTAATTGTGTTTTTTTATGGAAATATCTGCTTTGTGCGATGAAGCTACATTTTATTGCAGTTTTAATTTTAAAGATTATGTTAGCCAATATAAAAGAGTTTGACATCCTTTAATAAATCCATCTTTATTAACATATGACCTTATAGGAAATATGTTACTGTATTTTTCTATTACCTACTGCATTTACTATATTTTTATTTTATTTCTAGACAAATCTAGTTTCTTAAAAAATCTGTTTCAGCAAGAATTAATCAAAGTTTTAATAAGAATAAAATTCCGGCATATCATATTGAAACATTGAACAAGGGATCAGTCTTTGTCTATGAAAACTAATTTTTTCCTCTCAGAAAAAGGCCTATATACTATACATGTGTCATCAAAATTTTTTCTCTTTTAGTTTTTGCCATGAAGGTTCTTAATTTTCATAATAGACAATTTGAAAAGCTCTTCAAAATTTTTTTAGAGTTTTGTTAATATTTTTGGCTATTTTTATGATATACTTAGTTTTTTGTTTTATGCTTATACATTATATTACTGTTCTGTTTGCTTACTTGTTAATATGCTAAAAAATTCCTTTGGCTTTTAAATTGTGTTAAAAATTATTTTTTCTCATAAATTCTACTTAGGCTTGTTCAATTATATTCATAAAATGATAATAAAAAAAAAAGATTATCTCTCACTCAAGCTTTAATGTAATTACATATCATTACCATAAAAAGTTTTGCAATAATTTTTGTTTTTGTATGTGTTCCCTATGTACATTACCTTAATTGTTTTATTTTTTTCAGTTTGTAATCGACAATAATGCTCAAAAGCACTTTTGGCACTTTTAAACTAGGAAATAAAAATGACCTAGCTAGATAATGCAACTTATATCTTATCTTTTAATCAATCAAAATTTAATAGTCTTTAAAAATTAAATCTATTATAGTATTTCGAACAATTCACTTGGAAATTCTTATTTCACTCAGAATTATTAATAGAATAGAGAATTCTCTGTTCATTATATTTGTAAATATGTATATAACCATGTTAACAAAGTATTTTTTTTTCTTTCTTTTACCAAAAGATAAAAAAATGCTGTTGCATTTATAAAAACAAATATAATTTCATGTATGGGACTCAAAATGTTAATGTTGTGTTCTTTAGCATAAAATTAAAATATATTTTTATCTTTAATTTCAATGAAATTTTTTTTTAAAAAATGTGCATTGCTTTTATTTAACATTGAAATGTTTCAGTGCTTTTGAGCTCTAATTTGTTAAATTTTCAGTTTGCATTTCCTGTTAATTTGCTTCTGTTGTGTTTTCCTTTGATTTAGGTGATAATTTCGTATTGGTAGAAAAAATAAAGAAAATTTAAAAATGTAAAAAAAAAAAGTATTTTATTAAAAAATGACAATCATTCATTTAAAAGTACTTGAATGTATTTATATATTTGAAGTAGCCATTCGTTATTCCAAGGCCATTTTATCATAACCTTCACTAATTAATCAAACTAGTAACGTGAAAGAATGTTTCTAAGTTAGTATGTGTATAGGAAGGAAGATAGCACTTTTAAAATGTTCTAGATGTTTATTTTAGGTAGAAATTAATTTAAACATTATATATTTTTTACATTAAAAAAATTATTCTCAAGGAATATAAAAAATGAAGTTTTCTTATTCACTTCAGCACTTACGTATGTCACATCTAAAACATTGCATTTAAAGTTTGTTTTTGTATTATTTATAAAGGTTGTGTCAGTTATTACTTGTGTGTTTATCAAAATGTTTTGTTTCGATTAAATATGGTTAAAGGGTTGCCCACATATATGTGTGGTTTTAATTGTTAGCCACCTACTTTACTTACAGTATTATTCACAAAATATTTCTAACTAATCATATTGTTATGAATGATCATTAAGCATTTTGCTAATATTCATTTTTTTGATCCCCCATCACTTCCCTATCTGACTGTCTTCTGATTCCATACGGATTTAACTTTAAGTTAGTAAAAATTAACTTAAAGTTTAGCTCTTGAAACTAAATTCATTTCTATGTTCTTTTTAAACTATTTTTTGCACTTTTCATAGCTTCTTTTCTCTGTAAAAAATTTATGTAAACTTATAACGAACACAAATTTCTTTCACCCCTATCAAAGTATATCAAATATCAAACCTAGTTTTTCCCTTGAAGTATGTGTGGACAACTCCAAATGTTATAAAATTGTATGTTATGTCATTGAAATACTCAACCTCTCAATATTTTTAAGAATGAAATGTTCGAGATTTAAAAAAAACGATAATTCATTTTAAATTTATTTATTTGTATATATTTTATCACTCTATGTAATGGTCCAAATAATTTTCGATAAATGCATAGGTATTTTAATTGTTATTTTTAATTAATAACTTGGAATCTCTACCGCTTCCTAGCAAGTTGCTAGCGCTTCCGGCTGCTTTGTTATGAAGTGCAATTTTATAGTAATATTAACAGTAGCACGTTATATATAGTGTGCGAAACTAAGGCAGTAATTGCTAGTGCAATATTTTAAATGCAAACTTTACAAGTTAAGGAGTTATAATAATGCCCGCCTTAGCTATGATAACTAAATATGTCCTGCAATGCATAATCTATATGTGTCAAAGAATTCTGTTATGCATATTTTGTCTATCATGAGCTCTAGCTTGTTGTATAATAGCAAAATATATTAGGTTTGTGATCTCAAAGTATAGGGTAGTTTTAAGATATTTGTTAGATGCCTGTTGTTTACTGTTATCGACTCGTTGAAACTGCCTTTCTCTTTAAGAGCCCATTAAAATCTATTGTTGTAAACTAAGTATCTGTAAATGTCTATTTATACTGCCTCTCTAGTGAAATTCAAACTGTTCATTAATTCTGACACTACTCTTGTACATTTGTTTTGAAATCTTATTGATTTATATTTGTATATATTTTTAATGCACTATCACGTCAAAAAGGGCTGTTTTAAAAATTTATAAATTAAATCTAAAATCGTGTAGTAGGACTATTATCTGCTTTCAGTTTTTAAATTATAAATTTCTCTTCAATGCCAGTTTTCTGTTAATGTTGTTAATTAGTAATCCAAAGTTCCTTTAAAGCAATTGTTTGCATTGGAACAAACATTTCATTGGCTATTTTTATAATTTTATTTTAGTTATTATGTTGCTGAG